CCATTCCGACCCGTTTTAGTGGTAAAAACAGGGAGTTAATTTTCCCCCATTGACTTATAATGGGGAGGTCGCGAAACTGACCTGACCTTAGGTCACCGATATCAAAATTCCGAGATATACAAATTGCACATACTGGTACCCTAACTAAAGCCTGAAGAGAAGAAATTGATCGGTCAAAAACTCTAGCTCTGGCGTGATTGCAAACCTTTCTGAGGTAGGGTCACCAAACCGCCTCTGGTGACCTGACCTGAGGTCAGATCAACTCAAAATTTTCAGACATGTTGCGTAGAAGCCTTTTAGGAAAAGTCAGAAAATTTGAGCTTCCTAGCTCAACGCGTTTGGGAGAAATAACCAAAAAACCTCAGGGGGGGGGGCTCCTGAGGCCCCCCCCCGCCAGGAATAGGGTTAAATTATAGGGGGGGGCACTGCCGACTTTTGGTCCCATTCATTCCGTGCAACGCCCATATGGCTAGGTGCCCCCCTCCCCGTTCCGCCGCCTATGATGTTAATCAGTGCACCAATGCGTAATGGCCATTCGACACCAAAACTGCCATTGCTGCGACACCCGTGCTTCATCTTCGTTCGTCGACATCTCGGAAATTCCAGCCAATACCGGGCACAAAACTTTCAGTATCCCTTGCTACATCAATTTTACATGATACAAAACAGTCACGAGTTGCAACAGATCGGTCGTAAATGGCGCAAAAGTGACGTCATATTGTTTTTTATCACAAAAAGTAGGTAGGAAGAGCTGGCTCAGTCACATTTTAGATGATATAGGAAAAAAGTTAAGAAACAAGATATAGAACAGACGGCACTACAAATTGCTATTTCAAATTTGCAATTTTTATTCAACCCCTTGTGATGAAACTTGAGAATTTTCCTACAAAAGATTGCCGAGCATGAAATTTTTTCAAAGAAAGTTGACTTGTCAGTTAAAAAGTAAACTACCGAATTGAAGATCAAAAGAACAACCTGAAGGAAGGCAGAAACTACCCGAAATCGATACATTTAGCAACGCGTTACTTATCAACTCAAAGCACATCCATCACACGTCTCTGTGGCAGCACAAACTGATGATTGATCACTTTTACTACTGTATTTGCAGTAATTGATCCAATGAGAGTGGCCTGCAGCAATCTATACAGATAAGGGTAGATGTAGGTCGCTGACTTAAAGAAACCTTGTGATGTCTTCATTCACTACTTCTCTATATAATGAGAAGTCTGTGCTTCATTGCTTCAATATTCCACACGACTAGGATAGCTAAGCAGCGATTTACAAATAATTTTTTTTTTTTAATGCTCGTACAACAGCACGGAAGTGTAGATCGTGCTTCATCACATATGCACGTTGACGCAAAGCGATATCAAACATAAAAAAGAGGCTTGTGTGCTCCTTTGAGTAAAATCCCCGGGAGCCCACACTGGCACGCCATGATGACGGCTTCGTACTTAAGATGATTAATCGCACACTTTCAATTTGACGGCGCTTTTTGATCACTCCTAAAGCTCCCGTCAACGCTACTTAACTACTTTAATTTAACGGAAGAGATGAAGGAAACACGCAAAATAGCGAAAAATGTTAATAGCCAGTAGAATATTCGTGAATCCACGAAATCAGAAAATCTTCATTTCCGTCTTTACTTTAAATCTTTAGATGGCATGTAGGCCCCGACTATAATCCAGTACTAAATCCACCCACAAGAAGCCACCGGCTCCTGTGTGAAGTTTAACTTCACCTCAAAAAACGACACTGAAGGCGCCACCTTCATCAGTGGCATAGGGCTTAAGTTGAAAGATATTTCCTGATACATCAACCTAAATGGAAACATTGCGGATACTGACCGAGAATACATTAGCAGTGCAAACCCGTATTAAAAACGGATTATAATGCTGGGAGAGGTTGCTGGGCGAGGTATGCCTTATCATCGCTCAAGCTTCCTTCTACGGGCACTACGTATACCTAACACTGTAACTACTTCTCACTCTTCGGAATGCAAGAATGCTCTGACTTGATTCTAAAGGATACAAACAATCCATGATGCAAAAAATAGAGAAAGAGAGAAAAAGGAGAAAGAGAGAGAGAGAGAGAGAGAGAGAGAGAGAGAGAGAGAGAGAGAGAGAGAGAAAGAGAGAGAGAGAGAGAAAGAGAGAGAGAGAAAGAGAGAGAGAGAGAGAAAGAGAGAGAGAGAGAGAAAGAGAGAGAGAGAGAGACACAGAGAGAGAGAGAGAGAGAGAGAGAGAGAGAGAGAGAGAGAGAGAGAGAGAGAGAGAGAGAGAGAGAGAGAGAGAGAGAGAGAGAGAGAGAGAGAGAGAGAGAGAGAGAGAGAGAGAGAGAGAGAGAGAGAGAGAGAGAGAGAGAGAGAGAGAGAGAGAGAGAGAGAGAGAGAGAGAGAGAGAGAGAGAGAGAGAGAGAGAGAGAGAGAGAGAGAGAGAGAGAGAGAGAGAGAGAGAGAGAGAGAGAGAGAGAGAGAGAGAGAGATTAACAAATTAAATATAGGAAAAGCAATGGAAAAGACACATTGGACTAGCAAAATAAGGGAACTACCTCGGGGGGATAATGTGACCGGGCCCGGGCCCGGGCCATCCCAATTTGGCTGAAAACTTGCTCACAGAGCCTTCTCAGCACGCTGATTCCGAAAATCATGGTCTCTAGTGTGGGAATCTTTACTGTTATCGAGATAGAACCCTCTAAAGTTCTTACCACCCATGACCGGGCCATCCCGATTTGGTTGAAAATTTGCTCACAGAGCCTTCTCAGCACGCTGATTCCGAAAATCATAGTCTGTCAAATCGACCGGGCCATCCCAGTCAAATCGGGATGGCCCAGTCTTTGGTGTCGAAAACTTAAGAGGGTTCTATCTCGAGAACAGTAAAGATTCCCACCCTAGAGACCATGAGTTTCAGAATCAGTGTGCTGAGAAGGCTATGGAGCCAATTTTCAGCCAAATCGGGATGGCCCGGTCATGGGTGTCGAAAACTTAAAGAGGGTTCTACCTCGAGAACGGTTAAGATTCCCACCCTAGAGACAATGATTTTCGGAATCAGCGTGCTGAGAAGGCTCTGTAAGCAAATTTTCAGCCAAATCGGGATGGCCCGGCCACGGGTGGTAAGAACATTAGAGGGTTCTATCTCGAAAACGGTAAAGATCCCCACCCTAGAGACCATGATTCTCGGAATCAGCGTGCTGAGAAGGCTCTGTGAGCCAATTTTCAGCCAAATCGGGATGGCCCGGTCATGGGTGTCGAAAATTTTAGAGGGTTCTATCTCGAGAACGGTTCAGATTCCCACCCTAGAGACCATAATTTTCGGAATCAGCATGCTGAGAACTGAGAAGGCTCTGTGAGCAAATTTTCAGCCAAATCGGGATGGCCCGGTCATGGGTGGTAAGAAATTTAGAGGGTTCTATCTCGAGAACGGTAAAGATTCCCACCCTAGAGACCATGATTTTCGGAATCAGCGTGCTGAGAAGGCTCTGTGAGCAAATTTTCAGCTAAATCGGGATGGCCCGTTTCTCGCTGCTGGACTCGCTGCTCGCTGCTCGCTGCTAGCTTGACAGACGTCTTGCCCCGCGAGAATTTCTCTAGTTTCTGAAGAATTTTTCGGGACCCATGCACCACTCATACTGGATGCGAATATGCGCAAGCCGCAGGGTACAGCAACAGCAATGGCGGTCTCTAATAAAAACTCAGGAGCGACAAGCGTGACACACATATGACACCGGCACACATGCGTACAACGCAATCCTGGTCCGAGGTTGTTTGCTGTTCGGGGAAAGGTTCACGCAGGGTCCAATCTTACCAAATGCCGTGAATGCGCATTCACGGCATTTGGTAACATTCAGAACTATTCCACATTCACTTATTCATTCGTTCTGGCGACATTCATAATCATTTACGCTATCAAAATCATTGGACAAGATTACCTGGAGGTAAATAAAAAGGACATCTTGATATCGGTGCCCTCAACTCCGGCCAATGCTGCCAAATCCTATTCACGGCTTTGGTAAGATTGGGCCCTGAAATGCCTAGATTAGTGCCTAAATGAGGAGCTGCTAATGTGGCTGATAGTCCGGTTTGAGCTGGCGAGTAACATCCTGAAACGCGTAAGACATCACTTCATATTTCATGGACACTTGAAAAAAAAGAAATACGGACGATTCTTCAAATGGCCCTTGGCAATAAAATACCGAGTACAAAATGAAAACTTGCAAAGAACTCCTAAATGACAAATGTTATTTTTCAGAGTCTTTTGTCTTGGTGGTGCATTGATACCACTATAACAGCCATTGGCTTTGAGGTCACATACTAAATATGCAGGTGAGGTAGGACCGTAGAATCCCACTCATGTGCCAAACCTTTGCTATTGTGTTGCGGGCCCATATTTACGACGGTATTTGAGGATTCTGGACGTTAATGGAAAGCGCAGCCTTCAGCAAAAGTTATATTTTTGATGTGCCTACCAACATAAGATTTCGAGTAAATTTAACACGTACGCTCAAAACCTTAATAAGTTAAGAGTCAACCCAGTACAAAAATGTCATACTCAGGGAAGATGATGGAAAATAGAGAAAGAGGTGATATGGTCACAATGAGCGTCACGAACAAGTTCGAAGTTTCATCGGAGGTTAGCGCTCAATAGAGAAGACGAAACCACATCTCAGTCGGGCATGAGAAATAGAGCTGATGGACAAATCGCTCGTAAACTTTCACCGTCTTCTCCCACAGCAATCAGCAACAATGGAACCCATAACTCATAGCCCCAATGAAGTCTTAGTTACAACCATCCAACCGCTCTCTCCTATTGCAACTTGATACTTTTTGTCCGAGAAAAGCAAACATAAACGTCAAGAAGGTGCAGCCAGCACCAGCAATGTGCGAGGTGGCACAAATTTCAACAAATCAACCGGTTAGACGGGAGAGGTGATGTTGTTCCCCCGGAGAAGACGGAAGAAAGAAGAGTAACCTGCGAAATAAGGTCGTGGTACGAGACCTAAGACAAACACGAACCACTATAAAAGCCAGTGGGGTAGCCGGCAATGGCATCAGTACCTTCTCGGAGAGATTCGATAAACGACAATGCAGCTGGTATGGAGTTAACGGATCATTTGGCACATTTTAGTGATTCTACTTGCGTTAAAACTTAAACATAAAGCGTTTTGCGCCACATTAGAATATTCGAACTTGCATTCGGCTAACAGCAATAAAGTATGTCAGAATCAATAACGTTTTATCATGATCATTCCCAAAGATACACCTTGTGATTTTGTTCACCTCATTAAATGTGAATGTTCGTTCCAGCATGAAACGCCCAAAGGTTAACTTTAAACTTGTTTCATTTTCAGATTCCGTGTGTTCTTCTTTTGGCGGTCGCTGCGGCTGACCCGCAGTTTCAGCCAGAATCTCAATCAGTCGGCAGTCTGAACTACATCCCCACTATCCGTACAGGCACGAGACCTACCCAGAATATCAATCCCGCCACAGATCCCGACCAAAGCCGAGGCTCCAGCTCCCAGATCACTCTCCGATCAGCCCGGGACACCGGATCCCGCACAAACTTCGCTTCAAGCACACCTAGAATCTCCTTCGGTTCAATTCCACAGCCGTCCGGCAACCTACGCCAAAACTTTGGTCAGGTCCAGAACATCGCCGTATTTGGACGGCGACAGCAGCAGGTGAAACTGCAGCCATCGCTCAATGGCGAGCAGCCAGCTGTCATTCTGCTGCGGCAGAGTTTTGATCAGGATCTGGCAGGAAACTACCAGTACAGTTACCAACTCAGCAATGGTCAGCAGGTGAGGGTAACAACAAAGCGGCGGGGAAAACGTAAAGTAATCTTGGGGAAAACCAGGTCGCCGACCTGTCGATAACTTGGTGATTACATTGTAATCAACTTTGTGATTACATTGCAATCAAATGTACCTTAATGTTCTGTATACCGCTGGGTGACAGGTGCATGTCCCATTACACCATTTTTGTTCGTTGATTGTGTATTCATTCATTAGTTCATTAATTCTGTCCGTGAATCATTTTGTCAGTCACTAAGATAGTCAATGCGTCAGTCATTTATTTATTCCGATAATAATTTGCAGCTTCGAAGCTCCGTGGGCAGCTTAACCGTAACAGCACCTGTATGAATCGCTAAAAAAAAAAAAAACGTTTTACCCGTGACCTTTAGGTGGAGGAGGCGGGCCGCATTCAGCCGGGGACCCAGCCCGAGACCGGCACCATAGACCAGCTGGGACACTTCGAATACGTCAGCGATGACGGCAACACCTACCGCGTCGACTACCTGGCCAACGAGGGTGGCTTCCAGCCGCAGGCCGCCCACCTGCCAGTGGCGCCGGCTCAGATTCCCGAGTACGCCCAGCTGAGGCAGGAGCACCCGGAGCTCTTCTGGGCTGAGGAAGGTGGGGCCGGCGCCAACCAGCAGAAATTTGGGAAGGACGGAGGGCAGTTCTTCTTCTAGCTATGAAAGCTGTCGGATTCTAGTTGCTTACAGGTGATTAGTGAAGTATTTCTCTGTTGCTGTTGGTTTATGTTTTAATCGTGTTGTTTATGCAAGCAGTCGGTATAAACCGTGTTATTTTAATATAGCTTTACTAGAAATATGTTGTGTAGTCACATTGTGGGTAACAGCTACGCTCTCGTGTTATATTTATCTATGAGCGGAAAATAAATCCATCACCTTTCGTATGCCAGCTTTTTTTTTTTTATTCCATTCACATCTTATAATATGGGGGGGGGGGGTGGATTGTTCGCAAGCAGATTGGTCAATTGTCATTAATGTCAGACCGAGCTTTTCACCTGACTCTTTGTACTGGCTCGGGCAGTGGGCATTTTTCACTAGGAAGCACTCACAGCTCAGTCGAAGAGTCACTGTAGGTCGCAGCTAACTGGACTGGTGCCATGATATTCACAGCAAGCAGGCATTCAAAGGTCAGAAAACATTACGAAATCCCCCAAAACTTTGTTATACCGGTGGTACTGAGCAGCTGTTACGTGCAGCTTTTTTAAGAAATAAGATATCTGTCCCAGTACTCGGGCTCGCTATACGACCCCAACCCAATTAGTCTGATTATTGATTGCCTTACCTACATGAGGTGCAAAATGTAGTTGAGGTGGCACGTGCACATGCTGAGTTTTTTAGTGACAAAACGAGGGCTGCAGGATATCGAGTGCGCTCGCAGCCGCACCAAAAATGTGCCAAACACCTCACGCCAGCTAAGTAGCATTGCCGCGTATAACTTGCCAAGCAACAGCTCATCGTCGCTTTCTCTACATAAATTGTTAAACAAAACTTCATAGAGATATTGCAGGTATATGCAAGGGCGGCTACTTTTTGGGGCTAAACCTTCCAGATGACTTCTGGTAACCTGAACAAGTAACCTGAAGAGCTAAAAATGATGAGCATTTGCTTGCATCACTAATTTTTAAGACATTCGAATACTGCTCACCACTCGGTGTTACGTGGCCAACGCGACCAGTTAGGTGGGTGCTTTAAAGTTCATTTTGCCTTTAAGTTCTCACTCTACTGATTCGTTTTGATGAAGAAGCATAGCGTGGGTGCCTTGCCCCCGTGCGACCCTGTTCCCCGCCCCACCGAGACAGGTGGTGGCCATCGATCTGCGGCGCGAGGTCACTACTGGACCGGTCAATAGCCACCCACTATAATGCGGACCGGGAACGGACCGGGGCAGGGGTGGGGAGGAGGGGGGGGGGGGGGGCGAACGGATGGAGACAGGCGTGCGAACCATACGAGCAAAAATACTTGGAAAGAAACCGGCTGGCATTTGGAGCTTTAAGTCATCTAATAAGTTGTTACTTATTTTGAAATTCATGGAGCGCTTGATGATTAACGAACGATGAGATTAGGCTAAAACTCATTTATCACGCTTGAACGCCGTAGCAGAGCTAAATTGAAAAGCATTTTCATATTTGACGACTTTATTTTACCTCCTGAACTTGGCCTGAACTCGAACTGAGTTTAACCGGTTGTCAGTCCCTGGGGGTGGGGGGGGGGGGATGATGCACCCCTCGCCACCAAAAGGGTTTTCGCAGATAGCGCAAAAACCCCCGCGCATAGCACCGCCAAATTTGGCATACTTTATGGGGCATCCTTTTGGCACATTTTCTGAAAATCTGAAGTCCTAAGCATTTTAGGTCATGTCACCATGTCACAAACCCCGTTACAAAATAAGGGTAAAATTGGAATAATTTAGCGGCATCGGAATGACAGTCTTCCGGAGATAGCATAGAAAGGGTGACACGTAGCGCCACCAAATTTAGGACACTCCTTTGAGCATTTCTTCAAAAGATGTCCAGAAAATTTCCAGTCCCAGCGACCGCAGGCCAGGTCCTCCGAAAGCCGTATATCGTTAAAATAACGCTGAACTTGTAGCTGGTTTTTATCTTTACTATAAATTGCAGAGTTTTTCATCGTTTTGATTATAACTTGCAGGACATGCTAAGCTCAAAATTGATTTTATTTGCCTCGAGGTCATCGATGACGTCATAGGTCAGCTCAATGTAAAAATCACCCCGTCATAATTGTGTTAACCAAATATCACGGCATTCGTCCAGTTACAGTGACACAAAAATGACATAAAATAAGCTGCCAGTGTACAGTAAGCAATTAACCCTGTATACGATCTACGGACATTCTCTAATGCACGTCTGAACGGATGCCGTTCTTCCGATTGATAAAGCCGATGTGCCGTCTACCGAATCCCTGTCGACCGATTCGACCCGTCAGCCGCGGTTACAAGCGGTCAATATCTGACCAACCGGAAAACGATACTGTGACACTGTGACAGGAGCATTAATACAGCACCGACACTGTGCATCCTGAACAGATCTGGCTGAAAAGGTCACACAGCGAGGGCAATCAATGCAGGTTTTATGTGCGTTGTGCACGCATCACCTGCATGCCTCTCTTGTCGATAAGTCGGAGCAGTTTTTTTTTTGCCTTATTAGAATTTCGCAGAGGTCATGCTCCCGCCATGTGGATATTAACGCCCCGAGGCACACGTCAGGACGAGATATTGAGCCAACGACAAGAGGCCACTTATTGTAAGCCGAATGCGTTTTTATGTTGATGTTACGAAGACCTGGCGCTCGCAGCCAGCCGCCAGTAATTGAATGTTGGCGTATTTATTTATGTTATGGATCCGGATTCCGGATAAAACAGCCATTTGTGTGGTGCGTGAATATTGAGTATTGATCTCGCCATTGATAAGATGGTACATTTCCACTGCTTTGTATGTGTAAGGTGCAATTAGTAGCACCCCGTTTAATTTTTAGCACACAACTTCGGAATAATTTTGCGGGTCCGAATTGATAGCATAGTAGCCCACCAAACTCCGTCTAAACTGTTCATCTCAACCTCTAAAACCTCTTAACCTCTAGTCGATATTATATATCATTTTTGTTTGTCAAATGATATAGAAGTACAGTACCTTATCTTCTTGTAAAATGTGTTGAGATTAGAACACAATGATGGCTCTATATTTATCCACTCGTTACAGAGCTATGACAAAATGTGTCGGTAAAAAGTGACCAACACTATGTAATTGGAGATGCGCATTGCTTCGGTTTCCCTTGCTCGTTGGAGAGCTGAATGCTAGGTCAGAATAAAATATTTTATAGGAGAGGCTGACAAACACAAATGGGCTCTCCACGAAATTATTGAGCAGTGTGAAGTGTGGACACTTATATACGTTACGCATCAAGGTCGTCTCATTTTGGCTGGCTCCAATAAAGAAGAAAACACCAAGAGTCTCGATCACAGTTCATGTTCAATTCACCACACATGATATATTCTTGTAAACCGTCACAAAATTGACCATTCGCTTCGCCAGAGTCCCACTACTTTGTCACTTCTAGAACTGTACAAAAATGTACAGCTACAATTTGCCAACCAGGGCCCTGTTTCAGCGCATTGACGCTACCGGTATTGGCGCTCGGTTACCATGAAAACCAAATCAGAATCACCAATTTTTACTTACGTTTCCATAGAAACCGAGCGCCAATACCGGTGGCCCCAGAACACAGCACACACCTGACAGCTAGTGGAGGAGTCGTACACTGCTAGTTCTACTTGGTGGCGTAAGATGGCACTGGCATCTTTATACTGTCCTTTGCCTCGAAGAACGTGTAGCTAAGAGTTATCTCTTTCACATTTTCCATGTGGGGATCTTCGTCAAATTCTGGGTCGATATAGAAAAACACGGGCATATCCACCTGCAAAAGAATGAGATGTGTTTAAGAGTCACTGAGTTTCTTAATATCAAAGCCACGATATATTGAGGGTCATTGGACACTGGGTCCTCTCGTTCGAAGATTACAGCGAAAAAAATCACCGTTCCGTCAGTTCCATCGTCAGGACATGCAAATCTTTCTCCTCCTCGCCTCAAACCCCTGCTCCGGCTGGACAGGCAACTTTATCCGATATGGGCATCTCCACCAGGCCCGCAGGAGCAAGCCGGTAGCCGGGTGCGATTTGTGTCAGGGGAGCTGGTCGATAGTGCCCAGACCAATGTCTCCCCCTAATTCCTATCATCCTTCCGGCTCTGAAATGGTCTCGTCAGACCGAAAGGGCTAACTCAACAAAACAAACAAAACAAACAGAACAAACAAACAGCGAAAAGGCCAATTACAGAGCCACCATTTGATGCCTCAATCTACCCTCAGTATAGTCAAATCCTTCTCCACGCCCCAGACCCCTGATCGGTCTGGACGTTCACCTTCACCCGACGTGAGATAGCTCCTCAGGAGCAGACTCACGTGCGGCGGGGTGACTTTTAGCGGGGCTGGTCAGCCTGTCCATCGTGTTGGCCTTAGCCCCGCCGGCGCATCAGGATGCCCGCCCAGACCAATGTCACCACTATTTAATTTATTAATTACAATCATACAACTCCCTGATTCCTTTCATACTATCGGCTCTGAAATCGCCTCGCTATGGCGGAGGGGCGTAACCCAACCAAATAAAACAATAAACCAACATATAATCCGTCCTGTTCATCCTCCGGACCAGTCCATCGTCATCCTTCCTCACTCTTATCTGTTCAGGGAGTTCCGGACTGAAGGTCACCAGACCCAGGCGACTGGGGAGGGCAGCTCTAGACGAGGGCAGCTCTAATAGGGACTGACTCCTTCAAGGTGACCGTTAATTGAGCGGTTATGTGGCCTGTTCCAGCCGGTCTCATGTCCCATGGGTTAGCAAAAAGGACCAATTCTGGCTTAAAATAAGACGCACGACTTATGGTGAAATAGTAGGATGGGAAGGGAGAACCTCCACCCTCTTCAATAATTACCCTTCTGCGGACTCCCAGCTTGCTCCCAGCACACTCACAACCAAACCCTCCCTCATCCCCCCCCCCCCACCCACACACACACTTCTCCAGTCCTCCCTTACCTGCTCCTTGGCGTTAAGCCGCTGCTCCTCAAAGCAGAAGCACTGGATCTTGTTGAAGTAGGCGCCCGCCTCGAACGGCACCACGTTATACGTGGCGATGCCGTCAATGGGCCTATCGGTGGGGTTTGTGGCGGTGTAGAACGCCAGCGCCGTCTCGCCCGGACGGACCTGGGAGAGAGGGGGGAGGGAGTCAGCAGAGGAGGAGAAGCGACTCACACCGAGCGGAGAGGCTTTCTTTGCTCTCCAACAATGCCAAGCACGATATCATGTCCCAAATCATAATTTGCGACTTAGCTCTTGAACTTGGTCTACCATCCCTGGCCTTACGCTCTGACCTGATTCAATCCACCCCTTGAACTCAACCTCTGAGCTGATCCGTCCCATCCCTGAACCTAACATCTGACCTTAATCAACCCACCTCTGACCCCAGCCGCCCCGCCCCTGACCTTGATCTCGCGCTGCTGCGGCCGGAAGCTCCAGGTCATGCTACTGGCGGTGTCAGCGTTGAAGCGGATCGTCAGCTCGCGATCCTCCACCTTCTTCATGGTCAGCACCTTCTCAGCGTCGTGACCCTGGGTGGTGCCGCCGTACGCGTACGCCTGGAGGGGAATCAGGGTCAGGGGTCGGAGGTCACAAGGGTCACAACGTTAGGTTACGACAAGGGTTAGAACAGCCAATCGGGTCACGTGTCAGAAAGGTAAGGAGGGAGGGTCACACTTTCGACAGGTAAGGTCGTCAAATCTAGCCACCCAGGGAAACTAAAAAATATTAGGAAGACGAATCAGGATTGCATTTGAGGGACTTGGGATTCGGAAATTGGAGGACAATCAAATCCTTCTCTTACAGACGCCTCCAACCCCTTGATTTGAGCTAAACGGTCCCCTTGATTCGACGTGAGTAGCTCCTTAGGAGCTGGCTCACACGCGGTGGGCCTGCTCCTGAGACAAAAATGCATTTTACCTCTTCCACACGCTTTACTATCTCCCTCTATGGGTCCTAACACCATACACTCGTTACCCCATTCCCTTCAGGCTTCACATTTTCATTTTTCCCCACACGAACCTGACAGAATATCCTATAGAGCGGCACAGCGGCGTAGCTCAGACCTCCAACCAGCACACCCATGGCCGTCACATAGTAGAGCGTCGACCTGAGCCGGCGGCTGCGCTGCTGCTGACCCGACCCGCCGCCGGTCAGCTGACGGATGGTGACGTCACGCAGCAGCAGCTGACGCGGCGTGACGTCACCGGATCGCAGCAGCTGCCGACAGGCGGAGCAGAGCGGGGGCCGGGCGGCGGCCACCGCCAGAGGACGGAGCAGGCTGGAGACCACCATCGTCTGAGGAAGAGAGGAGCGACTCTGAGCTTAATGACACTGGCTGATGAAGACTACCCTGATGACTATGCCGAAGACCACGAACACTGTCCAGCAAGATAATCATAACCTCAAGAAGTCCGCCCAAGCCTCAGGGCAGAGGAGAAAAAGAGGGTTTGATGAAGCAGTTGTGGTAGGAAAGGTCCCCTGCGTGCTGGATGTTGAAATTTGTAATTACGCTGGTGCCACTGAATTCGACAAGTGATGATGATTTGGGGTTCAGGGCGCCCGAACTGCGGTCATTGTCGGCGCTCAAGAGTAAGTACCTCGTAGATAGTGTATGTACATACTGTGTAGTGCTCAGAGGCGCGTATAAGACATCTGTCGTTGGCTGAAGATGTCAGTGACGTGACAGTCATTAGTCAATCAGCTAAAATGATTTACACCATGTTTAGTGGCGCCTATTCGTATTTCGTCGTGCTCTCCCCATTTCCAGCAATGGCTAAATCTGAGGACTGTTTTACACGAGACTGTTTTACGACACTGTTCTGAGCTCTGTTCAGATCACGGACAGTCAGATGTGCATCATTTATTGCGCTTACTGATGCATACAAAACAGCACCAATTGCTTTTCAACACCACAAAATACATACTTCTACTGGTTTCGGTAACACCCTCCAGCTGCAGTGAATATCAGCAACACGGAGGTCAAAACCAGCACCACAGTTAGCACACTCGGGGGCAGCGTTAGAATCAACACATGGGCAGCAGTGACCGGGGCACACGTTCGATCAGAGGTTACCGTCACTTGATAACAGGATGCCGGACACAGATGCAACTACAATTTTATCGCCACGGAACGTCATCAGGTTCATCGGATCGCCCAAAAATAAATCGGAAATTGAGGCTAAATGGTGCTTCTTTTGACTGTTGTTTATAAAACGTCTGTGTGCTATACCACACTCATCACTTTTGCAGAGTACACTGACCAAATTAAGCACATCACTTTGTCACTTTACCACCATGAGCCTGGGTGGGCATCACAATTTATCAGTTCTTCCCACTTCGCAGCCACTGCCAGTAACTGCCAACACACCTCCCACCAACCGCACACTCAAGTCCCCGCAGCACCCCCACGTAGGTACTCTGCGGACCTACTCCCGTGTCTACCACCGCTCGTCGGCGCCAGATGCGCCCGTCACGCCTTTCCCGACTCGATCACATCTTTGGCCTCGTTGATTTTGGCCGCTAGGTACGGTGATCCGCCGCGATCCGGATGATTCAACAACATGATCCGCTTGTGCGCATCCTTGATACGCTTGGCGTTAGCGCTCGGAGACACCCCCAGCACGAGACTCGCCTCGCGGCGTGACATTTTCGTCTCGAAGCCGCCGCGGTAGTAGCGGCTGTTGGCGTCCATCTTGGGGAGGTTTTTGATGGCTTCGTTGAACTGTTTGGCGGCGCCCGGCATCGCGCGGAGTAGGTAGCGCCCGGCGAACCCCACTGTGGCCAGGCCGAGACCGGCTACGATCATTGAGCTGGCCATGGCCGAGGGGAGAGAGGCAGAGCGCAGTGGCGGCGGCAGACGAGCGTGCTTCGGCGACCGGTCAGCCAGGCTGAGGTGGCCGGCAGGTGGCGGCGCGGGCTCACGAATGAAACTCCTCAGCAGCTCAGCTTACTCACTCTGAAAGCAGGGTTGGAATCATTGTGATTTCTATGGTGATTTTATTTACCAATTAATTCTGGCAAAATTTGAGTTCATTGCTTCAACAATTGACATTTGTTCGGTCATGGTCAGAGCTTATCCATTAAATCAAAGGAAAAAGTCTCACAAGTGATTCCAACCCTGGAATATGTGTGGTATGTGCAAACTTTTTCTATAAAAAAAAATAACCAGTGTCTCTGCATGATGTAGCCTGGTGATATATAAAATATAGGTATTGATTGTTACATCTATTAATTATAATAACCATGTTCATTAGTAACCCATCAATATTAATGGGACTGGGAATTGGGAGAGGTCATTAAAATATAAGCAACCACACAAAAAGTCCCTTCAGAATCGATCAACAACATTACCCAGCTTGTTTTGTAACCACTGTAATTATATTCAAGTGTGTTAACTGCAAAATATTGGCAAAGATGCTATAGAATACATGGTCTGACTTAAATGTAAAAGATGAAGTCTGTCTCCATGGTTGCTCTGACTTCCTTTAAACTCACCTAACCTCCTCTCATAAAAAATGTTTCTGTCATTCACGCTTCTCTAAGCTCATCCCAATACCAATTCTCACCACCACTACTCTCCTCCCCTCTCATCCTTAAGTCTAAAACTTGGTTGGATTTCTGGATGAGACTCAAACAGACAGAAAATGGTGGTGTGCATGTAATAAAAACAAATAGTTTGTAAAATATAAGCAAACATTGTTTGTAAATAAAAGTTGAGTGGCATGGAAACATACATGAAAATTCAGGATAGTGAGGTATTTTTACATAGTTATTTCTGATTTTCCATCACTTTTTGGAGAAAAAATAACACTTATATCAAAGTCAATATTAATGCAATACTAACAGACCAGTTGGACCAATGAGAGGCCAAGAAATAACAACAGGCTTTTACTTACTTAAAAAGTATGGAATTGGGATAGGCCAACTGCCCTTGGAAACCTATCTAGTCGAGGTCCTCATGAATCTGACTATTCTTCTTTGTGAGGGGTGTCATGTGCGAAGTGTGCCCAGTTATAAGTGACATCTTTATAGACTACCTAACTTTGTAATTTTTCTGCTGAATGCAAACATCCTAGGCTAGGTTAGGTTATGCTAGCTTTGAATTTTTAAAATAAACTTAGTGCTAACTTTTGAATGGAAGGATTCACAAGGGCAGAGCTCCCACTACGAATAAGCTGAGCTTGTTGCGTTGGCCCTGCCCTCTAACTTCCAAGCTCGCAGTTTGGTGCGCCGTGCTGAGGATCTGCAGTTACAACTGGATTATTTGCCGGCTGTTGCCGTATGATGGCGCTAGCAGAACTTGTTACATATCAATGCCAGACACAAAAGATTAAATATCTAGGTAGTTGTGTCGTAAAGCAGGCGTCATACTTCCGTGTATATGGTCATGGAAGCTGGCCAGCCAGCTGACTGAATCCAGATAATGCTGAGGCCCTGTGCAGAGGTGTTAAGACACTTTTTTTAGTGTTTGATGGTAAGATGTTGCAGTCTACTGGCAGGAAATCAAATGTTGAAATGTTAGATCAACCACCCGGTCGTCAAGCGAGAACTTACCAGCATACGATGTAAATTGAGTCTCCGATCAGTTCTCAACTTAACATGTCGAAACTCAAGGACAGCGAGATTATTATCGTCGTCTTTGAGGCTCTTATTGAAAGCACAATTTAGTACTCAAAATTAATAAATAAAATATTGTATCCCTCCCGCACGTTGCATTTCATTTGTTACGCAACCGCAACAGTGAATATATGGTAGCCTGATATGAAATGGCGCACTACTTGTCCGTAATTGTATTTTTACATGCTGGTCAAAATAATATTTTACATGTACTGTGATAGTCATCATTTGCTTCATTGGATTAAATTTGCAGAAAGTTTCATGTAAATTATTTGACAGAAATGAGTAATCTAGCTTTTTATCAGTAGGAAATATCAAAACAATAATACATTGAAACGAAGGAAACCAGAAATTTCCTTAATTTGGTAGCCTTCTGAATAACATCAGTTTTGGAGTGAAAGATGCGCATGTGTTCCGATCTTGGCTCTGTCTTGGCTCTGGCTCGATGCTTGCCTGCGTGCCGGGGAGGGTGCATGTGTATTTTGATTTCTGTGAGAATCAGGCTTGTTTGCTTTATGGTTACTGTTTGCGCACTTTTTCATCTATTGGCTGATGGCTCTCGTACTTATCTTTTTTCAACACTGGAATCGGTTATGATGGACATCCGCTCATTCCAATGCCCCGTCATCTATTAATTTGAACTGTCAAAACAAGGCATGGCTTTATTGCTTCTTTGGTAATTTTCCAGCAAGCTCTGCTGTTAGCTCCCTGGATGTTAACTTCCTGTAAAGTATCTCTGCAGACGTTGGCTGTTTGTTAAGGGATGCACACTTAACACTGAGCCAACTCCAGAGGCAAAGTGAAAGCTCAGCTGGCTCTGTTTTGGACAAAGCTGCAGTAATTAAGATAAATGAGGCATCGTTTCAAAGCACTTTAATTTTGATTTGATAAGTCACCCTTTTTTCAGACGTCACTTTCTACCTCATTTAACCTCATTTACCTATACCTGTGCGTCTCTGAAGCCAGTGGCAGAAGATGGAGCCAAAGGCAGTGATTCTGGCCGCTGGGAAGGGCTCTCGCATGGTGGATCTCACCTGCCAGCTGCCCAAGTGTCTGCTGCCCGTGGGTGGCCTACCGCTGCTGTGGTACCCGCTGCGGCTGGTACAGGACGCCGGAATCCAGTCAGCCCTGGTGGTGGTGTCAGAGGCCGTTTTACGAGACCACAAGAACGACATCGCCCAGATACCAGCCAAACACGGCCTGCTGATTAATGTCGAGCTGTGCGCCGTGCCGGGTCGGGAGGACCCCGGCACGGCCGACTCTCTGCGACACCTCCGCTCCGCCGACCACCTGCGCCCCACCCAGCCGCTACTGGTGCTCAGCTGTGACCTGGTGACCGGCTGCGCGCTGCGCGAGCTGCTGAGCGCCCACCTGCTGCGCGGCGCCGCGCTAACGGCGCTGTTTGCCGCGCCCGGCGACCCGACCGTCTCGCCGGCGGCGGTGATCGCGCCCGGGCCCAAGTCGCGTCACAAACCCGAGCGGGACCTGGTGGGCCTGGCCGGACCCGAGCAGCGCCTCTGTCTGCTCGCCTCAGAGGCTGACTTTGAGGAGGAGGTGGAGCTGCGACTGGCTGTGCTGCGCCGGCACCCGAAACTGCTGGTCAGGAGGGACCTGCTGGACGCTCACCTCTACCTGTTGGCGCCGGGACTGCTCGACTTTGTGGACAAGAGTCCCCAGCTGAGCTCACTGAAAGGAGAGGTGGTGCCGCAGGTACGTAGCGCGAGCGTTTGTGGATCTCTTGCAGTCTTCAACTATTGGGAGATGTTTCAGTCAAGTTTGATTTATTACGCCTTGGGATATATTGTTTGAAGATATAACAGCAAGTATAACGATTGTTTTACATGTGTTAAGCCATCAGACGTCGTGGTAACTAAGCCACTTTTGTGAAGCCGCTGAATCATATGTGACGAGCACGTCCTTTCTTCAAGGTCTTGTGTTGTCAACATATTGTGATTACTATCCGTCGTATGTAATACTGATTGTGACCGATCTCACCGATTTATTCTATCAAAGTCCCTAATCTAACTTTTGTGACCTCTTTGTCTCTCCCTGCAGGTGATCCGGGCCCAGTATCGTCGTCCTCGCGTGCAGCCCTGCGACGACACCGCCCCCGCCCCCGCCCCCGCCCCGGCCCCGGCGGCGGTCCACTCCGCTAACACCTACCTACGTCAGCCGCGCTTCGCCTCGCTGACGGCCCGCTTCGCCGCTCCGGTCGAGGCGGAGGACGTGGGTCGCACCAGCTGCTTCGCGGTGACGACGCACGCACTGACGTGGCGTGTGAACACAACCGCGGCGTATCTGGCGGCGAACCGGGCCGTGACGCGCCTCTGGGAGACACTGCCGGGCGAGCGGCCGCCCCGGCTCCACCCCCAGGCCAACATACCGAGCGGAAAGGTAAGGCAGGGCGCTGGGTTGGGCTGAGAAACACTGCCCGGAAAATGGCCGATAGCGGCAAGGTGATTTCTTGAAATGCGAGCCGAAAGTTGGGGGTGGCTGAGCCTGGGGGGGGGAGTAATCAGCTTTTCGTTTTGGTGTTGCTGTATGTTTGGGCTGCGGGAGAGTCATTGAAGATTAAAGTAATCGCCCGTATTGCAGCGTTCCCTGCCCTCTCACACCGCCCCTGTCCGCTTCTCACTGCTCCCTGCCCGCTTACGCGCCTCTCACCGCCTCTCACTACCCTCTACCTACCTCTCACTCTGCCCCGCCCTTCTCCCCAGGTGCAGCTGAGTGACGACTCTGTAGTGGGCGAGGGCTCGTCGCTCTCTGAGCGGAGTCACATCCAGCGCTCAGTGGTCGGCCGGCACTGCTCGCTTGGACCGCGCGTCCGCCTCGTCGACTGCGTGCTCATGGATCATGTGACCGTTCACGAGGATTGTGTTCTGTCTAACTGTATCCTGATGAATAGTAGCACGGCGGAGGCGGGCGCCCAGCTGAGTGACTGTCTGGTGGGGGTGAATCAGGTGGTGGAAGCGGGTGTAAAGAAGAACAGGGAGGTTGTGTCGCAGCAGAGCGGTCATATGGAGGTCTATTGAGGGAAGACGGAGGGAGAGATGTGGTTATGGAATTGTTGTGGCTGGAGAGAGGAGGTAGGGGATGAGTTATCAGTGGAGAGCTTGTTGAGTGTGAGTGGAGTTGGCTATCTGTGACGCTGGGGTGTTCATCTTCGGCGTGGTAAATCGAGGATAGATAGCTGCGGCCTTCCCCGTGGCGAGTTTGAACACTTATACTTCCATCGTCGGACTGCAGATGGCAGCACGCGTGTCTTGTGTTTCACAAAGCGGTAATACATACTGCCATTGAAGCCGCTGGCTGGTGGCTCTGCCGGTCCACGGTCCTGGTAAAATCCTGTTTTGCTCAGGATGTAACGTGTTTCGTCAGCTCCGTGATGCCTGAAAAACCCGAGGTTATTGTCTCAGACTGCGGAGATATTTGGTGCTTGTTTGGTGGCGGCGGGTGACGGAATTTGCCACTATTCGCTGGACGTTGGACCTATCAATTGATGCAGGGCTGGTATAAACCTGTGTCTATGGTTCTTTGTGACTTCCAGACCAGAAGCTACAGGACAACATTTCAGGTAGTCTGTGAGCAATTTCAACCATGGAATGTGTTGCTAAAATACAAACTGTTTCTTATGTCGCTTTGGCTGTCTCTTTTGTCGTGTTGAAACGTTGAAACTGGTGTGGAACACATTTGCGACCTCTTAGCAATGCCTATTTTTCGCAAGAAACGCACGTTTAGTGACCATATGTATGTGTATTATCGATGCACAACCACGATTTGTCTGGACTACGTATGTCATCGTAAATAAGGTACACTACAGGGCAAAATGGTATTTTGCTTTAAGTGTTAAGTGCTGGTAAAATAAGTGATTGTGAGTGTGCGGTAGATCTCTCTCTCTCTCTCTCTCTCTCTCTCTCTCTCTCTCTCTCTCTCTCTCTCTCTCTCTCTCTCTCTCTCTCTCTCTCTCTCTCTCTCTCTCTCTCTCTCTCTCTCTCTCTCTCTCTCTCTCTCTCTCTCTCTCTCTCTCTCTCTCTCTCTCTCTCTCTCTCTCTCTCTCTCTCTCTCTCTCTCTCTCTCTCTCTCTCTCTCTCTCTCTCTCTCTCTCTCTCTCTCTCTCTCTCTCTCTCTCTCTCTCTCTCTCTCTCTCTCTCTCTCTCTCTCTCTCTCTCTCTCTCTCTCTCTCTCTCTCTCTCTCTCTCTCTCTCTCTCTCTCTCTCTCTCTCTCTCTCTCTCTCTCTCTCTCTCTCTCTCTCTCTCTCTCTCTCTCTCTCTCTCTCTCTCTCTCTCTCTCTCTCTCTCTCTCTCTCTCTCTCTCTCTCTCTCTCTCTCTCTCTCTCTCTCTCTCTCTCTCTCTCTCTCTCTCTCTCTCTCTCTCTCTCTCTCTCTCTCTCTCTCTCTCTCTCTCTCTCTCTCTCTCTCTCTCTCTCTCTCTCTCTCTCTCTCTCTCTCTCTCTCTCTCTCTCTCTCTCTCTCTCTCTCTCTCTCTCTCTCTCTCTCTCTCTCTCTCTCTCTCTCTCTCTCTCTCTCTCTCTCTCTCTCTCTCTCTCTCTCTCTCTCTCTCTCTCTCTCTCTCTCTCTCTCTCTCTCTCTCTCTCTCTCTCTCTCTCTCTCTCTCTCTCTCTCTCTCTCTCTCTCTCTCTCTCTCTCTCTCCTCCCGGAGAGGCTCTCCCACTGCCGGAGTATTTGTCGCTATGGGGTCGGATGGGTGTGAAAGGCAGGTCTTATATAAGATGCGCATTTATCCGCTTCCCGGGCTGCTTTTTATTCACTGCACGATGCACCGGTGCTGCTGAGACGTTCACTCTGCAACGCTCCACAGCTCGTGACGTGTATCGTGACTAGTATTTTCGGTATTTATGCATGCCATGCACGCAGATTGTACACTGTACAGGCATCTGAGTTCAGCACAGCCAATGTCATCCACCTCACCCTATTCCTGGCTGTGCGCCTGACACGGACAGCTGCTCTATTGTTCGGTGCCCCCTCCTGTTGACGAGTTTGCGCGGCACGGCCCCACGTCAGCTCCCCAGTTCCCTTCTATTCCTCCATCACTCCGTCCATCAATCAATCCTCTCCCCTGAGCTCTGGGGTTCATCGGTCTCTTCGTCCTCTTCTGTCCCCCCCCTCTCTCTCTCTCTCTCTCTCCCTCTCCCTCTCCCTCTCCCTCTCTCCTCTCTCCTCTCCTCCTCTCCTTCTCTCTCTCTCTCTCTCTCTCTCTCTCTCTCTCTCTCTCTCTCTCTCTCTCTCTCTCTCTCTCTCTCTCTCTCTCTCTCTCTCTCTCTCTCTCTCTCTCTCTCTCTCTCTCTCTCTCTCTCTCTCTCTCTCTCTCTCTCGGCCTAGCCCCCATCCATTCATAGATCCCTTCACCGGCGGTGTTTCGCTATAGGTAAGCGGTGGTAGCTCTCTAGGCGACTAAACACGGACGGAACGGTGGCGAGACTTACGGATGTTTTGTCACCAACGGTGTGCCTACCAGCTTTGAGCGCCATCAGCCTAATCGTTACTGAGAAGTGGAAACGGTCGCTGCTGTCCCTCCGGGTGTAGTGTGCTCCGCTCCAGCCGTCCTTCGAATGGAAATGCATTGTGAGGAGTGCCCCAACGATACGACGAATTGTAAAGCAGTCGACCCAGCCATCCATTCATTAAAGAGTCATTGTAAGTGGAACAAAATTGACACCGCTAATCTGGCACGTGGCACGTGTCGTGGCGGTCACCTAAATGATCACAAACGATACACTAAGAGCAGTATAATTCGGAGTAAAATATTAGAATTTTCCGTCATTGAAGACCGTATTTTAAACACATAGACGGCAACGGAAATCTTTACCTATGTTACAGGTAGACTGGGTAGCGCGGCGCCCGCAAGTCTCATACATTTCGATTTGTCGGTATATGCTATAAAAAGGCCCTTTTCGTGCTCACTCGTAATCGCTCGCACTCTAAATCTAAGCCATTCGACCGTGTTTGTGACCATGCATTCGATGCCGTTTCCCAGTCTATGGAAAACACCACGGCCCCGGGAGCTAGCATCTCCGCCTAACAAGAGCGCAGATGTATATAATAAAAAGCGCTGCGTTTGGCTGCGTAATTCCATATGCCGCAGTTCTTGATGCGGTCAAGGACTTTGGTCCATGCGTTCCTCCCACCATTATGCTCGACAGGCTTCGTACAAGTCGTCCAGACATCGTTTCTTGGCCGGCCCCGACCCGAAAAACTACAGACCTGAGACCTCACGCGGCCAGCGGCCAGGGCAAGTGCACGAGACCGTGCCCTCGTGCCCTCCCCTGGTAACGATGTAGGGTGTAAACATCCGGGCGATGGAAGAAGGCACAATGCGTTGGTTCTCTCCGGTGCCTCTTATTGTTCTTTTCACGTAGGATAAGCGCAATATTAGGAAAGGTTTAAAAATGGGCTTAGGTACTCCACAAAGTGCATTGGCTCATTGGAACTTTTCGATTTGTATAGGTATCTTCGTCAGCAATCGTATCGCATAAGTAATCGATGTTGAGTAGTACACGTATGGAATAAAACTCTGGCAAGATCTGGTATGAGTGGTAAGCCGGGTTCCTGATCAGAAACAGGCTTTAAAACGGTGATCAATGACTGTAAACACCAACCCGCATCTGATGCTCAAACGTGATACTTTATGTGAAGGACAATGGAAGGAAATTTTCCATCGGCGGTTTCTCACTCTCGCATTCATACTTTCACACGCACGCGTGGCTGGCACGCGTTGCAGTTGGGATCGTGGTAGACACGCGGCACGTGAGCATACACGAGATCGCGCCCTCGTTCCCTCCCCTCCGGCGGTACCGTACTGTACAGGACGACCCAGCATATTACGTAACTTCCCGGGTGCGAGCGCACGGGAGTACCGACCAGGGTAAACAAAACAGGCGGCTGGAAACACGTCGTAACCTTGTTCGAAGTATAGGAGGGGGAGGATAATGTCCCTAAACAGGTAAACCTGACTGGTGGGTCGCCGTGCGACTTCGTGGGAACGTTCGCTACTCCAGCGTAACCTGGAACCTTTAACCCTCGCCGGCACAGGCCATTTTGCGTCCTTCGACGGCACAAGGGGGGTTGGTACGACCCCCCCTCGCGTTTGGCCCCTGATCGAGATTGAGCTTCGTGGAAAAACCCTAGGTCATCGGTTGACCTTCCAGGTCAGGTCAATGACCCAAAGAAAATCGTGTTAGGAAGTCGTTAAGTGTGGCTGCTATGGGGTTTTTCGGGGTGATGATCACGAAGATCGGGTTAGTTTTGATCATAGATTATGTTTTTAAGCATTTAGACCAGGTCGGGTCAGGTCAGGTTAGGTCAACCTGTAGGGGTCGTGACGTGGGTAGTCGTAGTACGTGTCAACCGCCTCTTGACAGCTTCGTAAAATGTTACGAAGGCACCAAAACTACTTCGTAAGTGTTCAAATGGTTGCTAAATTCTAATTCAGCAAAAAAAAAAACTAACCTAGAAACATGTTAAACTCGAAAAAGTGAACCGAGGTCACCAAAGGTCAATGACCTGACCTGACCTTCAAGTGACCTTGACATTCACCCTAATGCATGGGAGCGACATCAAATCACATGTTTGAACGTTTGAAACCACGAAAAGCTTGCAAACGCGCGACTAATGCGAGCCAATAATATACGCCGAATCGCGATTCTGGCCAAACATGGTCTCGGAAAGTAGGCCACAGGTCAAAGGTCATTTGGGTCAGGGTCATTTAATTTTTAGGATAGATGTAAAATTGATCAATGCGAGGGTACTAAAAGTTTCGTCGCGATCGGTCGCTTTTTACGCATTCGCGAAAAAACCTTAGGGGGCTGTATCCAAACATGTTTAACCCCCTGTGCCGGCGAGAAACAGAAAGCATGATTGTTTTGATTTTAAATTACAAATGATGAAATGAACGATTAAAAACATGACAACTTCAATTTCATCATTATGTTAAAAGTGCATAAGAAATATAATTTGCAAAGGAATATGATTTAAAAATTGCCCAAACGGACTTAAAAAGCCGACTTAAGCATTCACAAATTACATTTATCTATGCCTTTGGCGAAAACCTATTTAGATAAAATAAATATTGCGTCTGTCACTGCTTCAATGCTGTAGAAATCGGCATAGGACAACGCTTTTTGTTTCGTTATAATGATTTCAGTCAGCCTAGTATAAGACAAAATTATCGTAAAATGTGAGTAAAAGTTTCTGAGAGTTTAAGGCAAAATCATGCCTAATTGCCTATTTATTGTGATTGGCATTTTAATCCGTATCGTGCAGGGGGAGGGGGAGTTTTTTCGCAAATACTTATAAAAAAGACCGCGCGCAGCGCCGCTGTTATTGGCACACCTTAAGGCCGACACCTTATCTACACATACAAAAAAAAAATCACACCCGGGTCTTCCCAGGTCAGGTCACTAGGTCACGTCAAGTGACTTCATCTCAAATAATTAATTCCAATCCTTGCCAAAGCTACACCGACTGAGTCTCTGACCGGGCGCTTTGAAACATTCAGCGAGTGGTGCAATGAAGTAACAGTATGCATAGAGTGTTTATCTTTTAATTTTGATGTATGCGGCCTAAGTTCAGATCAACTTTGCAACCTCTCCATTTAAGTCAATGGGAGGAAATTGAAATGCGCCTCTTTTAAACGAACGTCGTTCTAAATACTCTCGAATATCGGTTTACACTTTACAGGTAAACATACACACTGAATCGGAAAATTACACCCGTGACCCCTCTTTGTTCCCCTGATGTCATCTCAGGTTATGAAATGTTCAAGCTAGTTTTTTTACAATTACTTGGTAAAGACATGCTAGAGCGATGAAAACCCCCCAGATGTGTTCAGCTCGGCGATGTGGATCGACTGATATGCAAGATTATCTTTTTCCGGTCAGGTCATCACCCTGACTTGAGGTCAAATTTTCGAAATGATCTTCAATGTCAAATGATAATTTATTTGACGCGTCTCGACGAGAGGAACACTATGTTGCAAAATAAATGTTGTGCTTTTTCCATTCGAAAAAAAATTCCTATATAACAAAACATGTTTTCGTAAAAAAAAACGGCTTATATTTTTGGAGGTTTTTTTCCCTCTGGAGGCTACACCGGTAGTAAACTTAGGTTAAATCAAGGCCCTGGTTAAATTAAATATGAAAAGAAGCTAGCAAAAGAACGCTAGCGAGCTATCGAATGCCCTTTTCCGCGGCGCTGTACCTAGCTTGGTTCCGGAATCATGCGCGGGTTTGTAGAAAATGTTAAAGTAAGCTAAAATTGACCTTTTATGACCTCTGGTGACCTGACGTTTGACCTGACCTAAAAAATGGCTTAAGTATTTTCTTCATAATTCTTTTACGCTCTTTCGAATTCCGCTTACGCGTGTCGCTAGGTGGCTCAGCAGCCGAGTTGGACATGGAAAACTCGGATCACCAGCACGTGTCGTCAATAATCCCGTACGGCATGTAAAATGGGGATTAAACGGCAACCGTCCGCCGTCCAGCAGCCACTGTTTGCCGTTCGGCGTCCACAGTCCACCGTCCACCAACCACCGTTCGCCGTCCATCACCCTACGCCCGTCCACCGCCCAATATTTCACTATTTCACTATTTTTATTCAACCGTCTCCCGCCTAATGTCCACCGTCCACCGTCCACCGTCCACCACCTTGCACCCACCGCCCAACGTCTACTATTCACCATCCACATTCAAACTTCCTCCGTCCACCGTTCCCCGTTCACCATCCACAACCGTCCGCCGTCCACCGCCTACCGTTCACCATCCTGGTGAATGGTATCCACATTATCCACCAGGTATCCACATGGTATCCTGGTATCCACCAGGTGAGTATCCACATTCACCCTTCCGCCATCCGACGTCTATCGTCCACTGCCTACCGTTCACCATCCACATTCAACCTTCCGCCGTGCACCTTCCACCGTGCAGCCGCCCATCATACAACGCGGGCGCCTCCCGTCCCCAAGCTCGTGCCTGCCCGCGGCAAGGTCAGTTCCCAGCGGTGCCGCGCCGGGCGCCCCGCGTTCGGGCCAGTTCCGACCGGTCGGCGTTGGGGTGAGGGCTGATCGCGCTGTCGTACGCGCCTCGTCGGCTGTGTGTAACAGCTGTTGCGTAGTACACGGTACGGGTCGCGTGCGTCGATTGGGGGACTGCGTCGGCGCGCGTCGGTGGTTCGGGGGAGTGCGTGGAGTCGGGACGCGTCGGTGGCAGGCTGTGCGGCGGTGAGCGACAGTCAACGCTAGCGCGGTGTCGCTGCTCGCCTGCTGACGTGAGGAGAGCTGCAACGACCGGTTGGACGAGGCCAGCGCTGGGTTCGGAGAGGACCAGCATGGACAACATGGTGACGCGCTGGCTGGAGAAGCTGAGGGAGAACCCGCCGCCCTGGCAGGGGGTGGTCGTCTGCGTGTGCGGCTTCGTCCTGGAGCTGACTCTCGGGGCTATCTTCACATTTGGTAGGTAGACCTACAGGACTCACCGGCACTATAGATGAATAAACACGTAATTCCGCTGTCGTGATATCATGTCGTGTTTTGCGTTTTTTCTCTCCTCTTTTCCTCCCGAAATAAACTTAGGTAGGTATAAACTTTTATGTATTTGTGTCATGTCCTGTTTCATGTTTGTCTGTATTACGGTGTTTAGTTGACCATCCATGCTTTGTCTAAACGGGGATGAATTAATGTATACTCTATTGTAATGGTATTCCTAATAATAACGACATTTCTAACGCGCAACAAGAGAATCGTGTAATTTTGGAGAGAGGTCGGCGGTCAGAAATGCTCATCATAACTTTAAGGACACAAACAGACAAAGAATCTCTGTGAAACTAAGTTTGTCAGTTATATAATGCCAACCTTTTTTGAAGCACTGTAGATACTATTTTTAATTGGCAGTTGATTATTGTCGGGGCTGTTTGCAATGGGGAATGTGGTGAATTAGAGACGATGCATCTTAAATTCCCATGGCTTTTGCGCATTCCTTAATTCTTATCCAAATCACTGGATTTCCTATAACGGATATGCTTGTTATTCTCGGGTACGCTTGGTTTCGTGACCGAGTTGTGGCGATCCTGGACTATTTTATCCTTGCCCTCTGGACCAGACATTCGAGCTTAACTCCGGTATATTGCTCACTTAAGTTCTGAGCTCTGATTCTGGTGACTTTCACCAGAGTCTGAACTTTCGGAGCTGGGTGAAAATCTCTGTTAGACTGGGTTAGCACGGCCTATGCTCGATCTAGCTTGCATAATATACATACCAGCATCTGTAAACACCGTCTTTAACTTGAAACACGTCCTCTAACTATATAATAGGCGTTACCTACTACCCATAAACTCCATCATGTCAAGTTACTTGGCTGTGCTTAGTAACACAAAGCAGACAGTTGCCGTAGTGAGACCAAAGGACGAACACTTTTTAGTCATGCGCTGACAGTATAGCACAAAAACTTGTTTACGCAATACTCTGAAGACTACCTTACTCTGAGTTCAGACGATCATATGATGAAATAGGGCGTTGTAAAGCAGCGAATTGAGATGTGTCATGATTTGGCATTAAAACTGAAATTCTGTGCCAATTTGACCGGCGCGGCCCAGTGGTCCGTAAAAACAAACACCCCTGTTGTTACTCGGTTCAAGAGCCGCGTGGTAACAATGGGTAATTGAGAAGAAAAAAATCAAATGTCCCCTATTGTCTTATTGCCAATAAGAGGACATTGAAAGATCATCTGAAAAAAAAACAGCAGACGGTTAAGGTCATTGGCTGACCGGAAACATATGAAACATATCAATTAATCGGCATTGAGTAGTTGTATTGGTTACAAACTATTAAACAAAGTTCGAAAGTATTTGCTACGACTGGCGCACCAAAGGAATGCAGTTTTATTTTCTCCATTGCCTCATGCTAAATAAGACGATCACAAATTGATCTGACGTTTGGCTACCGATGTAAAAATCCCAGGTCAAAGTTCCATGTATCCTGCTGCCTTTATTTTTCATTTAATCACGTTTCAAAGCAATATTCAGTCGGCATATTATCGACTTTTATGTATTTTCAGTCGACTTTTTCTGGAAGCGAGATCACTTGACTTCAACTTGTGACCTAATCCACTGAACTATGCTAACTTTTTACAACATGTGCGGGAATGAAATTTGTTTAAAAACTGAGACGATCCCATCCGGGGAAAATGATGACCAGAAGTTACTGATTGCGTTTAATTTTCATTCCTAGTCTTGTATTTAATAGTGATCACTGAGCTCAGTACCAGAGAATATCGAGTCTGAAACCAGTATAACGCCTTTTGGGGCGACTAACGGAGCGAGCGAGAGGGTGGGCCTTGCACGTGCGAAATTTCGAGGGGGTACCTCCAACTGACTTGTGCACGGCACCTTATTAACCGGTCTCTAGCGATGTGCCAAATTTGAGCACAATCGGCCCAGCCGTTCTCGAGATCTGGAAGCGGCACCCTGCACGTGCGCACGTGCAAAATGGGTCCCAACTGACTTGTGCACGGCACCCTACTAACTGGTCTCTAAACGTGTACCAAATTTGAGCGCCATCGGTCCAGCCGTTCTCGAGATCTGGAAACGACCCCTGCACGTGCGCACGTGCAGCAGCACCCCAACTCTGGCACATGGATATGCAGTGCCTAGTGGGTGCCTACCTACATGCCAACTTTCAGCGCAATCGGCCAAGTAGTTACCGAGATATTGCAACAATTACAAAACGGACACCTCTTCGTTTTGCACGTGGCACGTGCATAAGGGGTCACCCACATGCATCAGGAATAGTCCAATACTTGGTAGAAGGAATGAAGCTACCCTACAAAAATTACCGCGTGTAAATCGGTCAAGTGGTTGCTGAGATATAAGCCTCGCAAAAGCGTGACCACGGCCGGCCGCTCATACTCAGAAATTTCCGTTAACCTAAGGAAAGACTACGCTCGCTCCGTAATGAGCAAAAAGCTACTTCTTGCTTCCGTGGTAATGCCCGTACATTGTTTAGATTACTTATCAAAGATCAACCGCAACATTGTATATGTAGGTAGTTAGCTACTAGCTACGCAATCCTTGGAAGTTCGGCTGAGTTCGTCATTTCCATTTATCACGAAGTTTTTAGAAAACCAGAAGGATCGACCATCTGGCATAAACAAAGTAAGAACACTCCAAACATATTAATCGAAGAACAACATCAAGCCAAGATATGATCGTGGTGGGGGTAACGAGTGCTCTCATTTCGTTGTATGCGATGACATGACTAGCTGCCCTCGAGAATCAGCGACCGCTTTCTTTTGTGCACCGCAGGCAACTTGACCACCTACATGACGTCCTACATGAGGGACCGCCTGGATCCCACCATCAACTACGCCCAGCTGATGTGGGTCTCGGCGAGCCTGTCTTTCTTCGAGGGTCTGACCCTCTCCCTGGGTAGCTGGCTGACCAACAGGATCGGCGCCCGATGGACAGCCTTCATCGGGTGCTCACTGGTCACGTGAGTTCCTTTGGGGTCTTCGACATTCAGTCACGTGATTTGCGAATGGTCGCAGGGCCTTGTCATGGTTTTGTCACGTGTGAGTTGGTGAGATGGCCAGGGGCGAGACACGTGATTTGATAAATGCTTTTGAGCATTGAGTCACGTGGTTAGGGAATGGCGACTACATAGAGTTCGTTCGGTTCCGTGGTTTGGGAAATTCACCAAGGTCAAGCCATATGATTTGCATGGGCTCATCAGCGTCAGTTGGGATGGTAAAATGAGCGCCGAGTGGGGAAGTGCTTGTCATGGTTCGGTGAAGTGTTCAGTCGGCTCATAAAGCCAGAGGCAATGTGAGACTGAAGGGGTGCGGAACTTCAACAAACCTGTTGAAGTTTAGCTGAAGAGTTTGCTTTGCTTTGCTAGGCTAGGCTGGGCAACGTGAGAATGAGGCTTTAGCTTCGTTAGTGACTTCATTTAGAAATTAGAATGAAAGCAATTAAAAAATAATGATAATTATAAAGCAGCAATTTAACTGATAGTGTTCTCTTTTGTCCTGTTACGGCCTCGGCACAACCGTGAAGCTGATTAAAATCTGACAACAGAAATGGTTAGCATGGGAAATGTGCTAAATCGTTGGCAAACACACGTGTTATTGATTATTTTCGCTAGCTCGCAGCACGTAGGTAACACAAACGTAATATTTGCTGTTACCTATATGTATCACCGTTTTACTTGATAGACGGCATGTTTAGGCAAACTGATTGAAGTAATGCTTTTTTCAACAGCCGTGGAATATGATCTTCATTGACGACGAAGACGGGGGAGGGGGGGGGGGGAGCCGACCTGACCGCCCTCTCCTCATCTGGTTGACAATATAAGAATGATACTTGGAGGGGGGGGGGGGAAGGGAGTCCGAAGTCGAAACTCGAAAGGACAATGGAGCAGGGCAGGCAAAAGGGACGGATACTGCCCAATGGACGCGCATGATTCCTCAGATTGGGCTAAATTTTATATTTTGTCGTTCAACAATGCTAAAATCATCGCCACTTAAAATAAACTCGTGAATGCTGGCCAGTAGTCCTCGCCACTTACTTTGTGAACTCAGTCAGCTCAATTAACAATTAAGCTAAAGCCTAAGTGGAAGTTAGGATAAGGAACTGACATCTTTCCGGATATCCCAATCCATCTCACCTTCCTATCATGAATCAATAGCTATACGCAGCTGTACGTCTTTGTGGTAATGGGAGGGTTCTAGCGCAGGGTAACGTGCGTAAAAGCCAAAGACATTTATTTTTCGTCTCAATTCAATGCATATATGTACATACCACAATGCACGTTCTGTTTGCGTTCCCTCAAGGCTTACCATGATTGAAAATAGCTACTCTGCACTACTGGTTTGGAGTAGGTACTTGCATGATATTTTCTTTGATTGATTATATCCATCATGTTCGTGACAGTTGATCGGTTGGAGTACGGCACCTCATGCTTGTGCACGTAGGTACTGGGTGCCCTCTATCGCTCTCGAATGTATTTGGTTGGCGGGAACCCGGTATTCAGTTACACTACGCTGTCCGCTCTCGCAATCAATTCCATTGGCGATTTTCTGCAAAGAATATAATATGCGACATAGCTAGCTGCACAATTCACATGCTTCTGCGTGGAAACTACATGTCTCCCCTCTCCCGGCCTTACGCCACATCTCAGAGCAGTGCGCCTGGTGGGTAGACTGTTCCGCAGTACACCCTGCCGTATAGGCTGTGCCGCAAGGCACAGCTGGGACGAACCGAGCCGGGGGAGAGGGAGGGGGGATGCAGTTTGGGACGCGTGATGATATGGATATGTCAATGTGTGGCGCCATACATTAACAAAGTAGCTCATCATAAAATGATTCTTATTAGCGGTCTTTGATGGATCGATTGCTTCCTCTTCCCTCGTCTACAGCTGTCACACTCAATGCTTTCGTCAATAAACAATAAACATAGGTGGTGATATTTTCCGTGACGGAGCAGTTGGACGCTGTCGTAAATCCTACCTAACAAACAGTTCCCTGGTTTTTATTCACGTCTGCCATTTGTCGGCTGTAAAACCCAGCAGTATGAATAAATATTTATTAGTGGGTAACAGCAGTGGGAATGATTTCATATCTTCGTCTGAGCCAGTACATGGGATACCATGGCCAGACAATCTTTTCTCGCCCTCTGTTCTGTCGCCGCCGAACAAACGAGTAAAATTTCGGTCACCAGACCAAAAATAATGACCCAGTCAGTGTCACCCACGCCTGCTGTGTGCTGGACCTCACCCAGGAAAATACGTCTATAAATAACTGTGCGTTAGGCCCCTAGCATCGAGTGCCAAACTTTCGTCTGGCCCATGACATGCCTCTGGCTGCGAACCAGATGACTAATATTTTCTCGATTTTCGTGTAAAAACGACCGGTTATTTCAACTGAGCCTTGAGGCCTACATATTGTTCAGTTTCTCAATAGTTCTGTTAGTTCATCAGTTCTCACCATTGTCTCCACTGGCGGATCCAGGGGGCAAATGCCCCCCTCCCCGTAGCGCTTGAAATCGACGAAAATTTGCGGTTTTCCGCGAATAAAACGAAAACTTAAGAAGTTTTATGGAGAAAAGTTTATTTTAAACTGCACAACAGTGCACAAGGAATCTAAATTCGATGAGTTTTTTTTTATTTAGAAACGTTTTGGGGGGATATGTCGCCCTGCAGCGTCCGAGACCGCCTTTCTGGATCCGCCAGGCCAGTGAGTTTCTCAATAGTTGTGTTTCTAGTCCTTATATTCACCCCCTCTCCGGAAGCTGCAACTACACGATCTGACACGACCCGAGGTGACCTCTGGCCTGACCTCTGACCCCAGGCCTGACCACTGACCTCAGGTCTGACCTCTGACCCCAGGCCTGACCTCTGACCTCAGGTCGGGGGTGTCGTTGTGCTACTTCGCCGTGCAGCACTCTGTCTGGTTGGTGGCTCTGCTGTTCGGCGTCATCAATGGACTCGGAGTCGGCATCGCCTACGTGGTGCCTCTCGTCTGCGGCATGTCGGTACGGTCTATTTTTGTCTCGTCTGTGGCATGTCGGCACGGTCTGTGTTGGTCTCGTCTGCTGCATGTCGGTACGGTCTATGCTGGGGTCGTTGGGGTCGTCTGCTACGTGTTGGTAAGGTCTGTGTTGTTTTCGTTTGTGACATGTTTGTAAGGTCTAGATTGGTCTCGTCTATGGCATGTCTGTATTGCGTTATGCTGATGTCTTAGAAACGTTTGTTTTCTTGTCTCATCTTTTGCTATCAATGGTGACATTACCTAAGTTAACGCTTGTTTGTGGTCAGCAAATATTGGAAGTTGGCATTGGTGTTGATAAACATGTGTGCTTACTGCTTTACATTGCTTTTCAGTGGTTTCCGAATTCAAAAGGAACATCTAACGGCTTCATTGTCGGAGGGTTTGGCCTCGGAGCTCTCGTATTCAACAGCATGCAAACGGCGTTTCTGAATCCCAACAACATCTCCCCAGCGGAAGACGGGTGAGCGTAAATGAAACAAAGTCGTCTTTCGCTCCTGTATACACATGACAATCTAGGGATTCTCACCTTCAAAATAGCAACTGACGAGTATGTTGTTATACGCACAATTGCATATTGCAAAGATTTAGTAGACTAAAAGCACACACAATTGACGGCAGAAACTCTTCGGCCCAGAAAACTGCTACAGAAACTTTTTATTCACAATTGCTCCAGAGTACAAGTACCAATTGTTACCAAACTTCAAATTATCTTTTGAGTGCCGATCTCCTTGCCCACCGAACCAACCCGCCGCCACCTCTCACTTTACCTCTCACCCGTCACCCTCAGCTACTTCAAGGACCAGCAGCTGCTGTCCCAGGTGCCGTACGTCTTTCTCCTTACCGGCGGCGTCTACATCGTCCTGCAGGCTCTGGCCATTGCCGGCATGATCAAGAAGCCGGTGCCGCTCAAAGAGAGCGATGACTGCCAGGAGCTCGGCGTGGAACTGCAGGTAAACCCAATAGGTGGACAGGTCGAGTCGGAGAGGGCGCTGGCAAAATAATGGCTGGATTTTGAACTTTGTTGACAAGAGAACGATTGGCTGAAAGGACAGTTATGCTTATACAAAAGGTCTAAAATAAGCTTTCATAAAAAGGCTCTTTTATTCAAGCCTCTATCTTATTTTATGTCAAGATTCTACATGCTTATAACCCTTTAACCCTCGCCGGCACAGGCCATTTTGCGTCCTTCGACGGCACAAGGGTTGGTACGACCCCCCTCGCGTTTGGCCCCTGATCAAGCTAGAGCTTCGCGGAAAAAACGAGCGTGTTGCCCGTCACGAGAGGAAGCCGATGATACCCAATTTTAAGGTCCTAGGTCATCGGGTGACCTTCCAGGTCAGGTCAATGACCCGAAAACCGGGAAAATCGGGACCTGTTAGAAAGTCGTAAAGTGTGGCTGCTATGTGGTTTTCCGGGGTGCTGATCACGAATATCGTGTTAGTTTTGATCAGAGATGATGTCTTTAAGCATTTAGACCAGGTCGGGTCAGGTCAGGTCAGGTCAACCGGTAGGAGTTGTGACGGGTATTCATAATACTTGTCAACCACCTCTGACAGCTTCGTAACATGTTACGATGGCACCAAAACTTCTTCGTTAATGTTCAAATGGTTGCTAAATTTGAATTCAGCACCAAAAACTAGCCTAGAAACATGCAAAACTCGAAAAAGTGAACCGAGGTCACCCGAGGTCACCAGAGGTCAATGACCTGACCTGACCTTCAGGTGACCTTGACACCCACCCTTATGTATGGGAGCAACATCAAATCACATGTTTGAACGTTTGAAACCACGAAAAGCTTGCAAACGCGCGGCTAATGCGAGCCGACATACGCCGAATCGCGATTCCGGCCAAACATGGCCTCGGAAAAGAGGTCACAGGTCAAAGGTCATTTGGGTCAGGGTCATGCAATTTTCAGAGTAGGTGTGAAATTGATCAATGCGAGGATACTGAAGTTTCGTCGCGATAGGCCGCTTTTTACGCGAGCTATTCGCGAAAAACCTTAGGGGGGGGGGGGCTGCATCAACCCCCTGTGCCGGCGAGGGTTAAAGCAATTGGTATCTATGCAATGATCGATTGGCAATATCTTCCTACGGACTTCAAAACAATATCTACACTGATTCAAGACATATTATTTTGCTTTTAACGTGTCAAGCCCGTTCAATTGATAGCTTACCTACTTTAGGCTACTTACCTACATATGTTGTGAACTAAATAACAGTTTTATTCTGGACTTTCGCGAAAAGTACCATTGCTTCGGCCAACCGACTATCACATTTTTGTATAAATATTTACATCAAACGGTGATTGTTCGTCACCTGTTCATCAATTTCCGTATTTATAATACATTCGCCCCACTCACACTGCCACCCTGTCCGGCACTGTCAGGCGACCGCCGACGGGATGAAGCCCGAGGACCCGTCCTCCGACCCCGGCGCGGCCGACCAGGAGCCAGAGGAGGGTAGCGCGGCCGACTACAGCAGCAGCATGACCATCATGCAGGCCGTGAAGACGCCGACCTTCTGGCAGCTGTTCGTCACCTATCTCTGCAACAATCTCTGCATCGGCTTCATCAACCCGCTCTGGAAGACGTTTGGACAGCAGTTTATTCGTGAGTCTCCCGCGCTCTCTACAGTTTTTTTTTATGGAAAATCTTGGCGTGCAGAACCACAAAACTTTGTAAGGCTTACCTATCACACGTCAATTTTTTATCGTGTATACATTTTTTATCCCAAATTTTGAAGCTGACCTTTTCAGCTCAAGCTGACCTTTTCAGGCTCATTCGATACATATCGACGAGAAAAACACGATGTTGGCAAAATAACTCATACAATTATTGACGCTAATGTTGTTGCAAAAATTGTTGAAAAACTGTTTCCTTTAATCCATCTATTTTGGTGGTTTTTGCCGTCTGTATAGGTCCAACCGTTAGGCTCAGGTCAAAGCTAAGGACATGTCAAGCGAAAGAGCTTTGAAAGAGCTTCGAACCGAGACTACCGAGACTCTAGCCCTTTTTGCTTCACGAGATTAAACCCCAAAATTCAAAATAATTATATTGTCAAAATTGGGAATTTCTTATCTACAGCTAAGTTCGCCATGAACAGATCGGAAAATCTCTTTAATTCTGAAAGAGCTTCCACACGGTCGATCTTTGATCGACCAGCCTCGTGACGCTTTTTACAACCTTAAAGGGACCCTCCCACCTTAACATTAGATTTGAGTTGAGATAGCCAAAATGGGGTCCCTGGCTCACAATTACCGGTTTCGGCACTCACAACATCGAGAAATGCCTTAAATCGGAAATATTGAATTTCAAAATTGCAGCATTTTGATTCAGAGGTGCTAATGCTTAGGAATACCCCTCTGAATGTGTGACGTCAGCGCAAATATCTAACGATTTTTAAATGTTTGACTAAAACGTTTTGTAGCACGCGCTGGTATATGCTATTTGCGCGCAACATCTGCCGCAAACGCCGCACTTCTAAAATAAAGTCGCTAGAAACAGCGGAGATCCCAAAAAAGTAAACAAAAGTAAAAGTCTAATATCTTGAAAACCGGTGAATATTTTTCGGTGAAATTTGGTAGATATTCGTTTTCGCTCTTTCTGAACCGAGCGACATCACTTTCATGCCAATTCATAAACTTTTTTGAAGGTGGGAGGGTCCCTTTAAGCAACCGCTCGACCGATCGACAAGCTGTTTTCTGCATCAGATAGATTCTTCAATAAAATCATGAACTCAACACTTCCGATACATATGGGTGACCAGCATGGCACGGCAAGTGCCAGGTCAGCGGTGTCAAAGCTGTTCTGCTTACGCGACTTTGTTCAGAGCTTACTTATATCCCAGAAACCGCCGCGCTAGGCCGATTGACTTGAATGATTGGTAGAGTACCCCACATACTCGTAAGTCAGTTGGGGTATTACTTTGCACTTGTACACGAGCGGTGCTGGAGCAATAGCGCTCGCTCATTTATCGCCCCCCCCCCCCCTAAATGCGTCTTGCTGATATGCATCCTATTATTATATTTAAAAAAAAAAATATGGTAGACAGTAGGAGTTTATTATATGCTAGTGTTTTTTTTAGGCTTTTATCTATCATTAGCGCATGTAATAAAAAATACTGGCAGGCGGCGATGATACAAATTTCTCGTTTTATAAATAGTTACACTAGCTTTCCTTAACGATCTACTGTGGAAATCCAATACACTTCAATTGGGCCGTGTGTCTCATTAAGCGGCGCTACGGCAGAGCTGCTCTTTAACGGCCCCAGGACATGTGCAACTTCCTCGAGTCTTACCACCCACCCCGCCCACGGCCTGGAGCCAGGCTGGGTCCGGTGGGTGGGCCTTACATAACTGGAACCACGTGCCAGCGGTGGTGACAACCAGTGCGTTGGCACGAGCCGCTCTCCAGAAATGAGTGCAGCAACAGATCGGCACGCTGCAACTTTACCCCACCCAAGGAGAGCCGACGGAGACCGGTTATATAACGCTGCCCATGAACCCCTCGGCTGGGGTTTATATAAGCCGCCCGTGGCTTATATAACGAAAGGGGTGGATAGGTGCGGCACACCTAAGAAAGAGGTGGGAGCATGCAACTGATGATAATAAAGGAGGCACCGAAAGGTACCTGGACTACAATAGTATCTGGGGCATTCCACGATAGATCGTACCAGGCCCGTCACCCTCATCTCTCAGATTTTAATGAAAATCCGTCCTAGGGGTAATCATAGACCCCAAAGACGCCTGGCAAAATATCAGACTTCTCAGATCAAAACTTTTTGAGTTATATTGCATTACATTTTTTAACTTCGGTTTGCAACGGTGAGTTTGATGGCCTATAACTCAAGAACGGGTTAAGCTACCAACAAACAGTAAACAACACTAAGCTTGCGATGAATCAAAAATTAGTATTACCATTTAAAAATTCCAAAGAAAAATTTCCATTGTTGAGCAAAAACCTTAATCTTTTTTCATTTGCCTCTAATGACCTTTGGGACCAAAATTTTTCCATTTTTTTTTCAAAATAAACTTCATGTCATTGCAAATCGACATGCAAAAAATTAGAAAGGCGTTCTTTCTATAAAATCCTCATTTTCCCGCAAACAAAATGGGTTTCGGAGGGGTTGATACGACCCCAGCACGCCGTTTCGCTTCTAATAGAGCTAGAGCCTCGCGGAAAAAACGAGCGTGTGTGCCGCAACAAGTCGCAGCGATTGGTACCCGATTTTAAGGTCTCAATTTAACCGGTATGGCGTCTGAGGTCAGGTCAAGTGACTGAAGTTACGGGTTCGGTTTTTAGTAAATAACTTCGCAAAAAAAGGCCGCAGGGCCGCGATTTTGGCATCATTGTGTTCGCCTAGCTCAGGTGCATCGAATGGTATACTTTTTGCTAGGATGAGGTCAACTTAAGCAGTTGACCTCGGATCAAGGTCAGGAGAGCCCTTCAGGTCACGAAGCTGGGCAACCCTTATCATATGGCATATCATTCGATTCGGAAGGTCTTCCCGAGTCCATTGGTGGCTTTCCCAACTCTCTAGCTTCATTTGATCGGGAGATATTGACGAAAAACTCGTACGACCCTAGTGACGTCATAAATGACGTCACGCAAGGCTACCAATGCAAAAGAAAAGCATTGGACTTTGCAAGAAGTGCATGAAATCACGATACCATGTACGTGGGGTAGTTTTAGATCATTCTCGGCGCCAAACTAACAGTTTTTATATTTCCCAATTGACTTATAACAGTGATGTCACGTGACCGACCTGACCTCACGTAACCTTAAACATTCCCAGATATACAAGTTGTGAGACCTCTGGAGGACACCATGTATGAGTCCTGTAACTTTCATCTCGGACAGCTATGGTCGTTGGCGTCTAAAACAATGTCAGAACCAAACAGCCTTTTTCACCCTCGCGCTTATAGGAAAGAGTATTGGATGAACCCTCTTTTCACTTTTTTCAGATGACTCAGACTTCAATTGAAATTTCAGTAACCCGTGATGTTACTAGGCAGCTTTACCACGCCATTTGTAAGCTCCCCTCCCGAAATCACTATTCGAAACCGTTATCGTGACGTAAAATAAATACATTTATAGAAAGAACACCTTCCTAATTTTTTTGCATATTTGTTAACAATGAGCCAAATATTTTTTTTTAAAGAAATAAAAATTCAAAAAATTGGTCCCAAAGTCCAAAAAATACAAATGAAAGAAAACTCGATACGTCATAAATAAAAAATAACGTATTTTTCGAAATTTCAAAAATACATATTAATCTCTGTTTCATTGCAAGTTCAATGTTATATAACATTTGGCATTTGAATAATCCGTCTTAGAGTTACAGCCCGCCAAACTTAGCGCTGCAAAGCAAGATAAAAAAATGTTATACACCATAACTCAAAAAATACTTATCTGATAAGCCTGAAATTGTTACAGGTGGATTCAGAGCCCCTGATTACCCCTGAGACCGATTCTCGTCAAATTCCGAGAGATGAGGGTGTCAAATTGGAAAAAAGTGGTACGATCTATCGTGGAATGCCCCATCTAACAATACCGCCACATAATATTTTAGACGGCGACAGGAAATCTTTCAAGGTACAAGTAGTTAACACATAGCAAGTGAACACACGCACAACTACACACACAAAACAAGTACCTAAGCTCAGACTTTAAATACTACATTTTTGAATATTGCCCTTTACTTTGGGCGATTTTTTCATGTTGTTTAGTTTTACCCTTGTCGAATAAAACCGGCTTTTCATAAGCACTTTGTTATCGTTTTTTATAACTAATCCAGATGATAGTTTTGAAGGGGTGCAATAGATAGGAATATGCATTATGCATGCATGCATGCTCTCGAAACCGTACATTTGGATGCAGAAATTATCCCGCTTACTCGAATGTTGTCTTTCTTCATTCCTCATATTTACAATGTGTGACCATATCGCCCTTTTCCAGGGATGACCGACGTTTCTGGCCGGTTTGTGTTTCAGAGGACGACCGTTTCCTGTCCGCCGTGGGCTCGGCAGCTTCTGTGTTTAACCTGTTGGGACGCGTCATCTGGGGCTTCGTCAACGACAGGACCAACTACCGGGTCAGTGATATGGATAAGGCATTAAAGGATTAGATATACCCCAACCTTGTCAGTGAGTACCGTCGTCATGTGTAGCCCTGCGATCTCGAACACGTTATGCAAGGGGCTCTATGTCGAACGCTTACCATAAACTAATGCTGTTTACCGATACGGCACATGAGATCGGGAATTAAACGGAAGCTACATTTTGATGCCTTGTTTGAAGCTTAACAGATAAGCAGCGGTGACAGCTTTTGCAATTTGAACTTGCAATGAGCATGTTACTCAATCAATCAATCAAGCAATCAATGTATCAATAATGTCATTTACCAATACATGAGCAATAAAAAGGTACCTAATTTTTAGACCATTTAAATCAAGCATTCTGGATTGCAGTCAATTTGTAGGTACTAACTATTTTGGAATTAGATATTATAACCTTTTTTCACCGTTTACATATTTCGATGCAAAAGCGAGGTAATTCTTATTTTCGTAAATGAACTAACGCTTTGCACGTCCTAAATAGACCCCCCTCACCATTCGACGAATGAGTGTAGTGGCTGACAGTTCCACCTCTCGCCGCCAGAGGACACTGCTGTGGCTGATATAGTTCCATCCCTCGCCGACAGGTGGCGATGCTGGGAGTGGCCGGTCTTCTCCTGACCATGTTCGCTACTCTGTACCTGACCATCCACGGCGGGAAGGCCATGTTCCTCATCTGGGTGTGCCTCGTCTACATGTCTTTCCCGGGCACCTTCTCCATCATGCCGGCTGAGGTGAGTGCTGCCATATGAAGGGTCGGCATATGAATTATTATGGGAAGAGCTGCCATATCAGATAGCTGCTCATTCAGACGTTTATTTGCTACTTCATCCTCCGTTCCGTCGTTTCCATCCTCAGGATACTGAAATCCTTCTCCTCCATACCGCAACCCCCACTCCGGGCTGGACAGGCACCTTTATCTCATGCGGGCTGCTCCCTTAGAGCGGCACCGCTGCTCCCGAGGGGGCACAGTGCACACCCCATAGCCGGGTGCAGAAAGTGCTTGGGGGGGGGGGGGGCTGGTCGGCCTGTCCTCTGGACGGGCTCAGTCCCGGCGACTCTCTAGGGTGTCTGCCCAGATCAATCTCCTCCTAATTCCTATCATCCTTCCGGCTCTGAGATGGTCTTGTCAGACTGAAAGGGCCTACCCCCAAAAAAGTTACTTGTTAGAAACGAGTAATGTGAAAAAGCGTCTTGTCACGGGTCAGCAACAAATTGCAGTTCATGTTCATTTACGTCAAACAGCAACAAGGAAGGCGTTAGATAAATAAAATAAGCGCGTGTCACTGAGGCCTTAGTTATTTCGTGGTTTGATGGTCCTTGCTTGATACTAGGGTTGAATCATATGTCTATTTTCAAGAGAGAGGCTTGAACATATCCGATCGTAAGCATTTCATATTCGTGATAATATCTAAAGACGATAAACCAGAGAAGCTTCGCGTCCCGTAACGATACTGGCAAATATCAGAACAGCGATAAACCAGGGCGTTGTCTGAACGACACTGCAGGCAGCCCGCGCCGCCGATTGACCTCACCTACCCCCTCTCACCCTCTCACCCGCCAGGTGGCCCACGTCTTCGGTCTGCAGCACGCCGGCGAGATATACGGCCTGATCTGGCTCAGCGGCGGCCTGGTGGCGCCCATCCCCGTGTTTCTCACCGACCTGCTGCTGCAGAGGTTCGGCTACCTGGCGCTCTTCCTCACATCGGCCGTCTTTCCGACACTCAGTGAGTAGGATCGACAGATTTGGTTCAGCTAGGTAAAAAAAAAGTTAATTCAAGTTGATATCGCCGTGTTTCGTTGGTTTGTTTTTACTGCTTTGCATTGACTCTTGATCATAAAAGCCATGTTATGGACTGGAGATAATACGAAATAAATGAATGGAGGAATGAATAACTATGTGCCAATGCCTACAAATGTAATAGGCAGTGACATCGGAATCAGACACATCTGAGTTAATCTTTGTCAGGATTCTTTCTCAAAGATAACCGGTAACCCACAGTAAAGAAAGAGACAGATCAGCCTTGTCATACAATTCGAAAGAATCCTGTGAATCTGACAGAGAATGAGGTATTTGCCACCCCTTTGCAATTCAACTCCTGAATAGTGAGCTTAAGCAGTGGGCACTCCTTTTACATTTCAGTAAATGGATGCCTAGGTGGGGACGGCACGGTTTCATCATGTATGCAGTGTTGTTGACGCCACACACACGGCTGTTGCTGACAATTTGCTGAAAATTTGCTGACACCCTGCCGTCTCTGTTCGCACAGGCGTGATCTGCACACTGACCTTCCGTGGAGAGTCAACGAGGCGTCAGCGACTGCAACCCAAGGCGATCAAAAACGGAAACTCGATATAAACTTTCTAAGTACGAGTACTTTTTTTGTTTATTTGCATTTAGCTTAAAAGTCTGAATGAATTGTAGTACCTAATCAAGTTTCCACTAAGGAAAACCTGTTTTGATTATTCGCTATTTAGTAGTAGGTACCCTAGTTGTTTAATTGGTGGTTTATACCTGAGCGAGCTACTCGGGCTCTTCAATCTGGCTTTCTGCTTCAGGCGTATGTTAATGGTCCGTTTGTTTCCTATGCCGCCATGTTTGGTGACAATGGTTGCGAAGTGCCTTGATGTATTCTCCCGGTTCTCTTTTTCATGTATCTCGCTCGTTTCTGTGCCTGGTGCCTTAGTTTCATCTTCTTGTCATTCAACATTATTGGGTGCTCTAGCAAGAAATATATGGAAGACAATTAAACAAACAAATGTAGTTGACTTGTTCCTCGACATGGAAAATGCTCCAACCGAATACCTATATGTTAAAAAGAAAAGGGTGAGCTTTCGGCCACTGGCCAATTTATCAAACCAACGTGATAATTAGCAACATCGTTAACTATCACGTTGGCTTGATCAAGGCCAGTGGTCGAAAGCTCACCGTTTTTACTATTCGGTTTGCCTTGTAGGTACCTTTTTGATGTCGGGAAAAATGTCAACTTCATTTATTTGTTTAATTATCTCCTTGTCATTTATTGGCCAGTTATGTTAGACACAAAGCGTGTCTGCACTCAATCGACTTAGCGGGTCCATTCACATGTAAGTGATTTGTGCGTTTTCGCTTATCGAAACTACGGTCATGTACAAATATCAAGAGAGCGATCATGCATTGATGAGATTCGGAACAGAGGCGGTCATACGCCAATGAAGTGAGCTGGGACATGGCTTAGGTGAACAGTGATGATGCTTAATTGTTTTTGGGGCTGCCTTAATCATGTAATGGAAGTATGACTGACTGTAAAAGAGTGTTTGATAATGTCATAGTGTGGTTCAGCGTCAGAGATTTGCTATACGAAATGTTTCACTGAAAAAGTCTTTGGTAGACGTTTGCGTAGCAATGCTCTTAGCATTGACACTTGATACTATGAACGGTAGTCCTTTGTGCTGCTTCGGGCTTCCTGCGAATACGCGTATGTAATCCTTGTCGAAGGCGTATTTTCTTCTCCGAGACCCGCTGACGCTGACCATGTACATGTGAATGATGTGTTGGCATTATATAAGATGTCGGGGTTCCGGGCACAATACACTGTGTGCAGCTGCCGATGGATCAGCTGTGTGAAGAAAAAAAAATGAAAAAAATGCGTTTCGTATTCTGACTGACGAGGGAACTGTGTCAACAATAAAATTAGAGGGGTAGATATTGAAGATTGGGTGTTGCGTGGCTCAATCGATTATAAGCTACCGTTCAAAATGAGATGTCCACCTTGTACCTATTATTGCATGTGTGAATGAATGGCTCTGCAGTTGGTAGCCAGCCTGTAGTTAATGTTGGATCGAATGTAGGGGAGAGTGGAGTCAAACGTAACACGGGGCAATTGTAAGTGTTTATAATTCATAAACTTAGCAATATAATCAGCTGATGTAATAATTGAATTAGGACTTAACTCCACAAGAAATCATTCGGGTCGGAGCTTTCGAATTGTATTACAAAGCTTCGTCAGCGTATCGTAATCGGGTTCGGGGGTCTCGGTCGCAAAATTGAGGGTGATTTGTTTTACAATTCGAAAGCTCCGACCCGAACGATTTCTTGTGGAGTAAAGTCCTCATTCAATTATTACGTTAGCAAACTCCACATCATGTCCTTTGGAGAATCAGCTGATGACTGGACCAGGAATGCGCCATTCTAACGCCATTTATTCGCAAAAAAAAACCGAAGGAGAAGAATTCCACCCAACCGTCTTATAAGTGCGAGGTTTAACCCTCGACGCATACGGACCTGTTGATTTTCTACATACGCGCCGGCCGAGGGGGGAGGGGGGTACGAGGAAAAATCCGAGATATACAACTTATGAGTCTCCTAATGGAAACTAGGTCCTGAAAGTTTAATCTCCCTGTGAAAGCTCCTCTGGCAGTGAGGGCGTTGCGAAGTCGCGACATCTGAAGACCGTGCAGAGGTCCACTTATGACATCATAGGTCAGTGACCTGACCTGGCACGAAAATGCAGTTCAAGTTGGTGTCAGAAGATTCGGCTTGATTAAAGGTCAGGTATGCCAAGTTTCAGCTCTCCATACGAAAATGGAAGTTTTCACTGACTGCAAGTGGATAAAAATGAAACATTATTGAGTGGTTCTTTGAGTTTAAAGGTAGACTGCCACCTCTGGGCCACAGAACGGTTTTCACAAGAGTAACCACACCCCAACACCACTGTCTAGTCCATTTTCCGAATTCAGTCCCTGTAGCATGAAATCAATCACCAAAGTCACATTTGATACCATCTTTTCCCACCCGAGAGACTTTGCTTTATTGTTTATCGTCAATATAGTTGATTAATTAGCTTTATTATCCGAAGGTTGTGACTTTTCAATTAAGACAATCACTATTCTTTAGAATTGTGATTTTCTATTGAAAATATTGCAACATTTAGGTAGATGCTCTGATATTGTAATTGACCATTATGACTGATTCGGTAAAGTAAAAAAAAAAAGAGATTTCCGTGCTACCCAATTTCAAAATTTTAAATGATTTTTTTTTTTAAGTTTACCTGATAACCATGGGAATTCTTTTTTTTAGCTTAGCATTTTATTCAAGTTGACAACCGGACATTGCAGGTTTGTCGACTTTTTGCCCCACTAACTTCCCTGGAAAAGTGGAAAGGCCGTTGACATCATGACGCAGACGTTGGCTGAGACAAAAGATTAAACGCGTGCGATTAAAGAACTTCCATTCACATTGTCCAACTACGACTACAACTACTGTAGCTTCCAACTGGCAGAGCTCTTGTCAATGCGACGGACATATTTCATTCACTACGAGTGGGCCCGAACGAGTAACCACAAAAGGTAGCTACAACCGCCTCGTTCAATGCTGAGAACTAAACACCAACGCACCGCACTGCAAGGTGGTCATTACCGCCGTGAATGGCCGCACAATGCGTCGGCCGGTTAATGGGAACCGTCCCGCGCTCACATAGCCACCTTCCACAGCGTGTCTGCTAAAGGGTCGTGAGAGAAGACCCACGGGGGGCCGGTGGTGGCGCCTGCGCCCACACAACACCAACTCATACAGCTCCCTGGATGTCGTGCGTTGTTTAGCGTTAGCGTTAGAAGGTGGTAGACGTACCGAGGATGGTGGCAGTATTCTTCTTACCGAAGTGAGAGGGCGGTCTTAAACGTCAAGGTGTACACACCCCAATATTTCGACGATAAGGCGCGGGAAGGGGGCAGTGAGCGAAGAAGCTAGGATTATGTGCTGTTCTCGAGGCTCCAAGAGGAGCTAACCATGCGCGCCTCCGCTGGATGGACTAAGAAACCGTCGCGGCACAGGCAAAGGAAAATGCTGCAGGTATGTTCGGCTTCCGCTGATATTCAGTTTTGAAACAATGCGACAGTAGGGTAGACCAGGTTCAGAATAGCGCAGGAATAGGATACATACTAGATATACCTATATTGCCGCCGTATCATTCAGTTTCTTCCCTTCTTTTATTTTACCTTTATTTGTAATGCAAACTGTCACGAGCCTCACAGTTCGGTAATTTTTCATGCTGTCTCGACTCTCATTCCCAATGCGACAGTCGGCGTCATTACCCCCTTGTCACGACAGCAGGCGGCCGACGCGTTCTCCGAGAAGGGCAGACCTCGGGTCAGTCTGGTGGGAATCAACAATGTGATGGATCGGCAGCAGCGGCTGACCAGACGACTGGTCTGGGCCGTAGTCATCGTCCTGGCGGCTACACTGATGATTCAACAGGTCAGGGCTCACTCAGAGGTCACTGAGAGGTCAATCTCAGTTTATTCAGAGGTCACACTTGGGAGTGATTCAGAGGTCAGAGGACAGAAGGCAGGGGGCAGTGGAATGTGCTTCGCGGGTGGGTACGGAGATCCGCGTTTTTCACACATGACACCAAAGATAGGTGTGCTTGTGCAGGTAGTGAACTGCATCATCCGGTACACCGGGTGATGTATGATGTACAAGGGAGCTGATGTAAACACCCGTGCATGTATCATTGCGCAGGTCGCCACCTGTCTGACCCGACACATCAAATACCCGTGTATTTGTGCAGGTAGCGAACTGTCTGAGTCGTTACACCGAACATCCAGTGACGTCCGTGATGCGAGTGACGCGAAATGACACGCTGCTTCTGCCGGCTATCACCGTCTGTGACAACACCAAATACATCCGGTGAGAAAAAAAAAAGAATTTGCCCCCAGATGTATCTGTGAGGGACAAAAGCACTATCAGCAAAAGAAGGTGAATATATACAATCATAGTGCGATACCTATAGGTAAAAGGTGAACAAGAAGAGGTTAACGACATAAAATACACGGTACTTGCACTGACTTGACTATGTGACAACCGATAATTATCTAACGAATAAAGTAATTAAATGAATTTTATCTAAATCTTCCATTTTTACGTGTTTGCCTACCCGGCGCCTGTAACCATTCTCCTTAACTCTAGGTCGCTGTACCGAAATAAAACAAACGGAACGCTGGACTTTGCTCGGCTGGCCTGGGACGAGCTGGGCTCGGAGACCATGGAAAATTTTCTGTCCGACGTCACTCCCGACCGGGGTGACGTCATCAAAGAGGTGAGAACGACGTGCAGTGACGTCATCCTACAGCGACGAGTGACAGCGGCGAAGCACGATTTTATATATATATAAATTTAGTTCGAATGACTTTGAATGGACGGATTGACAGAGCCGAAGCCCACGCTAAGCAGAGCTTGTTGCGTAGACTCCGACCCCTACCGTCCCATCGCGCAATTCCGGGTATCGGGAGAATTTAGATGCCAAACTTTAACGTAGCCGGACACGGCCTGTCCCACTCAACTGACTTCAAATGTCTGCGGCTGCTCCCACCAACCGCAGACCATCCCCGTCAGAAATCTCAAATATCGAGCGCCGGAGCGTCTCGAACCCGGGCTCTCACTACCGGGAGTCCAATGCTCTACCAACTGAGCTACGGGACAGGCAAATGAAAAGATACTCATGACAAACAATTTTAAAATGCTAACGCCTGCGGACTATGTGAATACATCTGGGCTAGACTCGGGTGGTGTCAATACTTCACATTGAGGATCTCGTCAGCTTATTATCTACCCGATAGTCGATACCACATGTGTGCGGCTGTGGCATGCTGTGCCGCAATACAATCGACTGCGCTTGTCCGCACAAAACACAAAGTTTGGCTTGAAGTGTCGCATACACATCGCACTTGTAAAGTCAATCAAGATAATTGAGCGGCATTTACATTATTTCAACGAGGTCCGCCGATTCCTGCAGTGCCTACTGGACAACCACACGTGCGAGGAAGTAGGAGAGTGGAGAATCACCATCAAATACGACCTGGGACGCTGCTTCTCCTTCTACCCAGGTCAGTTGTGGTGCTTCGTGAGACCCCTGACTGCGTCCTTGGGCATGTCGCGAGGGGGAAGGGGAAGGTAATGCCAGCCTTTATAACAGCCGGCCGGTTCGTATGTATGTGCATAGTTGAACACAGAAAGCGATCTACAAGGATGCATTTTTTGCTTTTGTCCTTGGGCATAGGCATTCAAGCTTTCTTGCATAGACTGACAACGGAGAAACGCCACACATTTCGTTCTCAGCTCTATGTATAACATGTAGCTCCAACTCTATGTCCAACTCTAAATCCATTCCGAGCTTCGCCGATAGATCCGGCCCATGGCACGACGCCCCACATCTGAACTCTATACGACCCAGCTCCAACTCCAACCCTCTACCCTCCAAGGCTCTCAATGATCCAGCTCCAGCTCCAACTCCAACTCCAACTCTCTACCCTCCAAGGCTCTCAATGATCCAGCTCCAGCTCCAGCTCCAACTCTAACCTCCTACCCCGGCAGATGCGGCTAACGGCACAACGCCCCACATCTCCGCCGGCTACCGGCTGACTCTGGACACAGTCGACACAATCCGCAACGGATTCCAGGTGGTGACGCGCACCGCCCGCGGCTGGAAGGTGTTCGTGCACGGCGTGCATGATCCACTCACGCTGAAAACGTGGATCGCCGTCAACAGACCCATTGGTAGGTGGGAGTAGTTCAGTAATCCTCGGTAGGTGGTGCGGGACATTCAGGCTTCGAAGAACTGCTGCCGAAAGAACCCATCCGTCTCGATTTCTAGAAACATATCCATTTTAGCCCGTCGTTGTAAAGGAAAATTTACAACGATATTCCTCTTTTTCTTTGCACTACCAAGGTCGTAACTCATCACAAAGTAACTACGTAAGGATTCTACGTTCACAAGCCATGTCTCTACAGACCAAGCCCTGACCTGTACTCGCCCCAACCTACACCTTACAGAGCTGTCGCCCGGTCAAATGCGTAAGGAGGCCATCTCACCCGAGCAGGTGCGCTCACTAGACCGAGCCGAGAGCCGGTGTCGGCCGGAGGAGGACTACAGCTCCGTGCGCTGTATGGAGCGCTGTCTGGCAGCCTGGGTGGTCAACACTGGATACAAGTGCCGGTTAGTGCAGTGCAGTGGTGAGAATTGGATAGGCACTAATGCAGTTCAGTGACGGGAACTGGCTGTACCAATGCACGTCGGTGTTAAGAATTGGATACAAATGCAGGTCAGGTCAGTGGTGAGAACTGGATATAAATGTAGTTCAGTACAGTGGTGAGTGAATTGGTTAGGTACTAATGCGGGTCAGTGCAGTGGTGAGAACTGGATACAAATGTAGTTCAGTACAGCGGTGAGTGAATTGGTTACTAATGCGGGTCAGTGCAGTGGTGAGAACTGGATACAAATGTAGTTCAGTACAGTGGTGAGTGAATTGGTTACTAATGCAGGTCAGTGCGAAGGTGAAGACCGGCTACAAATATAGGTCAGTGCTTCCAACAAATACAGTGCCGTGCGGGCAACATTTAACAAATAACAGGTCAGTAAGTGGTAAGCACTGGTTAAAACAGCGGGTTAATGGCGTTTGCTCGTGTTGTGCTTATGTTTAACTCTTTATTAACCGTTTTAGCCTTCTTACCGAAGGTTAAAACGGTCAAGCGGAGGATATCCAGCTTTAAGGTCCTAGGTCATTGGTTGACCTTCCGGGGCAGGTCAAAGACCCAAAAGTCGGGCAAGTTGGGAGTTGGGACCTGCTAGAACTTCGTAAAGTGAGGTTGCCATGGGGTTTTAGGGATCCTGATGGTATGTGCAATGTACATATTCTTGTGGCTGCTTATTATGGCTTCGTCAGTGCAAGGTCGCAATCAGCAATTAGCAGTCGGCAGGCGCGACCACCTACTGACGCACGTAATTCATTTCAGAACACTGGATATGGACATCGCTATACCGGTCTGCCATAACCATACCACCTACATGGGCAACCAGTACCTCTTTGACGAGGATACGACCAATGTGAGTTATTATACCGACGTTGCTTACAGTCATTAAAGAACCACATCAGGTCGAACGATCAAGCATAAGTCAGTCAGTGTACTCGTGAACTCTGATAGGTAATAAACCTTTTACCTTGGCATCACTTCATCACATGTTTACCTGGACACGGTACTCACAGAATACAATAGATAGATCACTAAATTTACTGAGTTTAATGACCAACCGCATTTTACCGCGGTTATAAATTTTAAATAAACAGCGTCAGCTGCGCGCCCCTCTCGTAAAAAGCCGCCGTTACCCACCGGACCCCGGCTCACGCGCTCCTCTCGTTAAGGCACCGTTACCCACCGGACCCCTGTTCACGCGCTCCTCTCGTTAAGCCGCCGTTAACCCACCGGACCCCCGGCTCGATTCCCAGGACACATGGCACGTGGACGAGTGTGCGCGGCGCTGTCCTCAGCGCTGTGACGTCACCATGTTCAAAACCCAGGAGATCCAGACGCGCACCAACACCTTCCGCATCAGCAAGGGGAAACTGCACCTCTTCTACGCCAGCAAAGTCAGTAGCTACTGAGGAATTTCAAGGTTAGGTGCTCATACAAAATAAGAAAGTAAGCCATATTATCGCAGGCTAGTTGCTACCGAAATATTTTTGTTGACAAATAAATGTGAGCACATACATGCAAACTTCATATTTCATATTTCTTATGTTGCGCTTACTTTCTAAAGACAAGAAAACATAAATCACCATTAAAACCATTTTGGGTTCAGGAAGGCGGCTCGGCGAGTTTCTGAATAACAGCTATACCTATGATCATATTTGAGCATACAGTATCTCCATCACACCATTCTCAACGCCTCCCCACCTCCCTGTCGTCAGGAGCTGTTTCTGCGAGAGGAGAAGTGGGCGTACGAGCTGACGGCGCTGGTCGGAGAGGTGGGCGGCTCGCTGGGGATCACCCTCGGCCTCTCGCTCCTCACTGTGGTGGAAATTATCGAGTTCCTCATCTACGGCTCGTCGCGGCTCTGTCAGGCGAGAAGAACGGCACCCGGCGAGGCGCCGACCGCCGCTGAGGCGCGGCCCGGGCGGAGAGAGAGGCGCCCGACCGAGGGTGGAGACCCAACGGCGAAATTAGGCAAATAGTGGAGACCATTTGTGATGTAATGCGTGGTAGAATGTTGTGACTAGGGTATGGTCGTAGAGCTGCATCGTGCAAAGCCACCCTTGTTGATGACACCAAGGGTCGATAACAACGGACTAGGGAAAGACAGATGTACGCTTAAAGCCATCCCACTGAATGCTTGTCGTGGTATGAACAAAGATAGTTACTTTACCGATTGCGCCTTGGTGCTATTTGTTCGTTGTGAGTCCTTTTTCTCAATAACGGCACTAAAAGTACCATTGCATGGCCCAGCCACCTCACAACTGTGTTTTTTTTTTTTGTCGAACCGATAGTCCGGTAAAACTCGGATCCATAATCGCACTGTTTGTATTTATTATTACGACTCAGTGGGAAGAGCGCGCACGATTTGAAAACACAAATTTGCAACTTCAACATGTGCATACAAAACTGGAGCTTTGGAACATGCAACCTTCTCGACAAACAATAAAAACAAAAATAAGCATCAACGGAAATACGATAAACGAGATCATGCTTGTAATATCACAACCACACATATTGCACTGAGTGACACCGTCTTTTATACATAAACGACGATTATGGACGGACAAAATTGACCGACTCGCAGTCATGATGCAAGGCATCGATTTGTAGAGAAAATGTGACATAGTGACTGCAACTGCTCCAAAAAGCTAAGAATATTGCACTTAAGATCATACTTTCGACTTTTTCGATTTAATCGAACATCGATTCTTCTTTTTCGATTTAATCGATCGTTTCACGATTCAGTTCGATGAAAAAGTTCGCTTTAGTTAGAGTTACGTCTGATCAGCTGATCAGCTTTGTTGTATCTTACAAAATGGCATCAACAGCGGTCTCTCCATTTAAAGGCTTCAACATTAATGCCCTCCTTAGTGTCGCCTCATCTTCCGCTCCCCTCCCTCTGTCTTCTCTCTCACTCTCCCGCTCTCCCTAGTCGTCAAGCTGACAAATGGCCGCCACGCCGCGGTTGATCCAGTGCGCGGGCGGCTCGCCAGACGGCAGTGTGATGTAGAACACAAAGTTTGTCGAGTGGCCGGTAGTGGAGAGGGTGCCGCGCCGTGCAGACGTGTTGTACAGGGGACACGCGTACAGGCCGTCCGTGCTGAACTCCGACTGTCGGCACCGGCGGCCGTGTTAGTGGCGGCGGTGATAGGAGCGGTGATATTAAACAGCGCCCCCCCCCCCCTCCGGTACTGACAGTGTAGCATCTTTGATGGTTCGAAATTCGAATGTATCAACTATAGACTCACGTAGCGGACTAAACCAGTATAACGCCTTATGGGGCGACTAACGGAGCGAGCGAGAGGGTGAGCCTTGCACGTGCGAAATTTCGAGGGGGTACCTCCAGCTGACTTGTGCACGGCACCCTACTAACCGGTCTCTAGCGATATGCCAAATTTGAGCACAATCGGTCCAGCCGTTCTCGAGATCTGGAAGCGGCACCCTGCACGTGCGCACGTGCAAAATGGGTCCCAACTGACTTTTGCACGGCACCCTACTAACCGGTCCTTAGCCATGTACCAAATTTGAGCGCCATCGGTCCAGCCGTTCTCGAGATCTGGAATCGACCCCTGCACGTGCGCACGTGCAGCAGCACCCCAACTCTGGCACATGGATATGCATTGCCTAGTGAGTGCCTACCTACATGCCAACTTTCAGCGCAATCGGCCCAGTAGTTACCGAGATATTGCAACAATTAAAAAAGTGACACCTCATCGTTTTGCACGTGGCACGTGCATAATGGGTCACCCATATGCATCGGGAATAGTCCAATACTTGGTAGAAGGAATGAAGCTACCCTACAAAAATTACCGCGTGTAAATCGGTCAAGTGGTTACTGAGATATAAGCCTCGCAAAAGCGTGACCACGGCCGGCCGCTCATACTCAGAAATTTCCGTTAATCTAAGGAAAGACTACGCTCGCTTCGCTCGCTCCGTAACGATCGTGCAGTCTTCTTGTCTATCTCTCTGTCATTCATCCACTCCCTCCCTTCCTCACTCACTCCCTCACTCACTCACTCATTCATTCACCCACTCACTACCTCCCTCCCTCTTTCACTGTCTCACTCACTTGCTCACTCACTCATTCACGCCTGACTCCCCAAACTCAACCTCCGTACGGTCGGTCTCCCACCATACCTTGATGTCGGGCTGTAGCCAGATGATGGGCAGGGTGTCAAACAGGATCTTGGGCAGTGACTCGGCGAGCTGACCCGCCGTCCGGTCCCAGCGAGCTCCCTCCAGGAACAGGCCCTGTGAGACGACAGCCAGGCGGGGTGTCAGGTCGGCTTAATCGGCCACGTCGGCACCAGACTGAGGCTTGACGACGCTTGAAACAGATTTTCAATATACTCGTACCTGACTAGCGAAATGCGGCAGTAAAGGTTACACACACGTTTTCAGGGTATTATTCAAAACATGCATGAACAACAAAATAATAAAACATGGGTGACGCTAAAGGAAACACAGATGCGTGTAAGTTGTATTTACTACGTTAACAATGCATGTCCGATTGAATGACCGACAACCGTGTCACTATATTGCCCGTAAAATTTACATCGGCATAATAGAGTCCGAATACTGAAGCCCGACAAGGGCCAAGCCGGTTTCACTTTCAGGTGAAACCATATGCGCCGCAAAACCATCAAAATCATACAGATGCAGAGCCCAAAAGCCTGCAGACACTCATGTAAACCTCATTACTACCGCAGCCCTTCACAGCAAATTATGCGCTCCAGCCGATGCCATGCGGGCCACACAACATAGACAATATGTACACGCGGCAAGGCGTGGGAATGTCGGTGCCTGAGGGCTGTGGACAAGCACCATTTCCTGAGCCTTCCACACAGGAAAAAGTACTTCCCACAATGCGTGTACTGGTCATGTTAACGTCGTGCACACCAGCTGTTAGAATACATGCAGAGCGCACGCATGCAACACACAAACACACGTCTTGGGGTGCTACAAACGCTAAACACTTGTGGTGCAGCGTGACAACCGCACAGACACAGCCAAAGACCATCGGGGGACCACAGACAGGCTCTGAAACATACCGAAACCGCGTAGCTGTCCTCGGTCGGCTAGACAAGAACATGACAACGTGACAGAAGTAATAGAGAGACCGTCATTACGCGTCGGGTTATAGATGACACACTATTTTTTCATAATGCTGCCCCGAGTTCCGCTAAGATCTCGGTGCAGCCTACTTTACGCAATCATGTGTCTTTTTCACAACCTCGTTTTTGATGGCCACTTGTCAGTCATACCAATATCATGCACTCGTCAATTGGTGCACTTTTACAGACATCGCCCAAGGTTACGCTTTCGATTGAGCTAAGTTGGCCACTAGGCGACTGCCTGCACGAATGCATGTATCCCATATTCAACTTCAAATTGATTCCAGCGATTGTCACAGAGAACTGACTATGTCTACGATGAAATACAGCCCTCCCACTCCAGCCACGAGTTAGTACTCACTTTTATTAGTTCGCCATCCTCTGGCTTCTCGGGCGCCTCTGACTCGTGCTCTGTGACGATGTATCTGCAGAAAACGGCTCAGTCAGCTTACACAATGCACAAACAATCCAGTATGATAGCCGACGTGTCACTGTGGGGTGCCCCACGTCCCAGCTATGATAACGAGAACAGAGTGCGGTTAAATGTGTCTAGCTGTTACGCTCTTTACCTGAACCTGAGCTGGTGGATAGAAATATGTCGCTTCCTGACGTAGTTTTGTATTCCCACCTGTACCCGAGCTGGTCAATGAAGATGTGCCGCTTCCTGGCGTACTTTTGCAGGCCCCTCTCCACTAATACCCCTACCTGAACCCGAGCTGGTCGATTGAGATGTGCCGCTTCCTGGCGTAGTTTTACACCATACCCCACTAATCCCCTACCTGAACCCGAGCTGGTCGATTGAGATGTGCCGCTTCCTGGCGTAGTTTTACACCATACCCCACTAATCCCCTACCTGAACCCGAGCTGGTCGATGGAGATGTGCCGCTTCCTGGCGTAGTTTTGCAGGACGCCCGTGAGGAAGGAGTGGATGAAGAAGAAGCCGGAGAGCCAGAAGACGGACGGCGTGCCCGTGTCTATCCAGTCTTGGAGCACCTTCAACCTGTGGATGCGACACCAGAGTCACCGGGACGAAACATGGCGGCTGTCCGCCAACGGTATGCCAGGGATGAACATAAGCAAACACAGCTGATAAGATGGACACGGTGAAAGATGTTATGGTCATGAAACTCACCTTGCTAGGAGGAATCTAAGCTAGGAAGCATTGGCTGCGTGAGGTGCTATCACCTTTCTACCTCAGAGCCTAACCCACCTGGTAATCAGATCGGAAAAGTATCCACCGAGGGGCTTCAGGCTCGGGTAGGACTTGCTGCTCCACAGGGCGGGCACCTTGCCCACCGACATGGAGTTGAAGACCTCCTCCAGTTCGGATGACATCACCACCAAACCTGTCGGGAAGCGGGACAGGGTGTTACCTCGGCAACGCAGAGACAATAGCACGTGTCTGATTTTTCCTCCCTTTGACTGACAATGCATGTGCGGAGCTTGCTTATCAGCGTCGACTTGATTTGAATGAGTCTTCGTCAGTCTACACAGCTTTTGAGTTAATAGCCCGAGTACCTCCGAAGGAGATAACTAAACATTTCAAACAGAATGAAACCTAGTATGAAATGAAGACAAAACATCTCAGTTTCGTTTAAGTAGGAACTAATCATAATAAAACAGGCCTTCCAGTGACCAGCTTGTACATTTCGGGCGGGGTTCAGCCTCCGTCCATACCCACCTTTGATGGCCTTCTGGACATTAACCAGCGTGGCTCGGATGACGGCCGTCAGACCGTTGAAACGAATCAACTCCTGTGGCAAATAAGCACATTTACGCGTTCAGACACATCCTAGCGCAAGCTGCTGAGCACGAGAAAACTATTTCCCTTCTCTATAAGTACTTCTGCTTATCCAATATCCACACAAGTTTCCCCCCCCCCACCCAACCCAGCATATTCTCTCCCTCAGACAATACCCGCATATCTCCCTCCATCTACCCCAACAGCTCTCTCCATCTCACACCTTCCTTCACCCTTCCCACATCTTTCCCTTTGTCACTTCACTTGTCTCTCCTCCCCCAGCTCTCCCTATTCTTTCCCACATACAGACCTGTTTGAGCACAGTGTTCATGCTCTCCTCGTATCGGAGCGGGAACTTCTGCTCTGCCAGCTCCAGGTCAAACTGGGGCTGCAGCCGGGACAGCAAATCGGCGGCCAGCTCTGTCACGGCGTCTGAGGCTGACGTACCGCCGGCGCCACCCGACGTCTGCTGCGGCTGCGTCTTCAGCAGGCACAGCAGCAGCTGCGGGGATGACAGCGGGTCATAGGGTTATCAGAGGCCTGCGGAGTCACAAGGCGTCTTCAGCAGGCACAGTGGCAACTGCAGGGATGACAGCGGGTCATAGGGTTACCAGAGGGCTGCGGAGTCACAAGGCGTCTTCAGCAGGCACAACAGCAACTGCAGGGATGACAACGGGTAGGTTACAGGAGGGTTAAGTAATAGTCTTCAGCAGGCACAGCAGCAGCTGCAGCGGGTAGGTTAGAGGAGGTTAGCGTTGCTCTTTAGCAGGCAGAGCAGCAACTGTAGCGGATAAGGTAGGGTTGGATGAGGATAACACTGCCCTTCAGCAGGCACAGCAGCAGCTGCAGAGATGACAGTCATGGATAGGGTTAACTGAGGATTAGCACGGCGACCTCAGCAGGTAGTGCAGCGACCATAGACAACAGGCCAGAGGAGGATTAGCATTAGCACTGCTCTTACCAGGCAGAGCAATGCACATAACAGCATATGTCAATCCTCTACTTATGTACTATTACTACTATCCATGATCCACTTAGCTCATATGCCCGTGCACCGCCGCTATTCAACTGACTCCAATCATCCTCCCACCATGGAGGAATACTTCATCCATGCTCCCACTCTCAACCTCGTCCGCGGCATCTCACCATGTTAGTTTCCTTGTTGTCTTTGGTGATGTCGGCGTTCTCGTGAAGACCAAACACCTCCGGGTGAGCCAGCATGGGCAGCGAGCGGAGGTACTCGACGTACCCGTCGTACGTCTCTGTATCCGGTACCCGGTACACACCCGACGGACTGAACTGGTACCTGAGGCAACGGCGGGCGCGGGGGTACAAATAAAAATTAAATGTCAAGTGGAAAAGTGTACGGAGTTCACGGATATGAGAGCTTGAACTTACGAACGGGGACGTGCAGACATTCGTACATATCCCGCAATAATCTCTTTGTGATACCGAACGCTGGCCCAACTATGCCTAGAAAGAACTTGCTACCGCAGTGACCACCCTTCTGTACCTTTTCTCCTACCGCAATTTTCCGTCCACTACGTCTCAGCAAGACCCCACCGGCCACCCCTACCAGCAGCTGCCCAGACGCCCTCTCCTTCCCTTCTCATCGTTCTTCCCTCCCGTTTCGCACCTGTCCTGTTCCACAATATCGGTGTTGTAGAACAGCCCCAGCAGACTGAGCAGCAGGCGCCGGTCCTTGTCGTCGGTAACGCGGCCCCCGTAGTTGCACTCGCCGGTCAGGTAGGTCAGAGCCGCCAGAGGCAGGTGGTCGTACTCGTTCAAAAACATCTGTGGAGGTCAGGTCAGGTCAGGTCAGGTCAGGTAGGTTAGGTAGGTCAGAGCCGCCAGAGGCAGGTTGTCGTACTCGTTCAGGAGCATCTGTGGGGGAGAGAGATCACGTCAGGTCAGGTCAGGTAGGTTAGGTAGGTCAGAGCCGCCAGAGGCAGGTGGTCGTACTCGTTCAAAAACATCTGGAAGGGGAAGGATTGAGGTCAGGTCAGAGCCGCTAGAGGCAAGTGGTCATACTCGTTCAGAAACATATTCTGTAGGGATATCAGGCCATGTCATGTAGGTGAGCGAATCATGATTGCCTACACTATTTTGAGTACACCAGCATTGTAAGGTTACACCAGGTTTCGCGAATATAAAAGAAACAAACCAAAAAATAACTATTAAATGCACCACGGACCCGTTAGGCAATAGGCAGCCCCCCTTCCTATCCATCCAAAACTGCCTCGCCTCCCTCACACCATCGGTCATCGCCGCCCTCCTCAATACCACCGTCCTTCAAGCCGCCTGCCCTCGTTCGTATGTACGCACATTCTGCAGCCAAGCTATGTGATGCTGATACTGTACGCAATTACCTGCAACTGTGTGATGTTGATACCTAATTTTTACCCGCAGCTGTGTGATACTGATACCGTATCTAATTACCTGCAACCATATGACACTGATACCGTACGTAATTACCTGCAGCTGTGTGATGCTGATGCTGAGGTCGGACTCGTTGAATTCGTACGGAATGTTCCAGCCCAGAGCGCCGAACTGTCTCCGCTCCTGAACCAGTCCGTGGAAGAAGCACAGGCCGAACAACAGACGCTGCCACGCCTGACGGAGTGCACCACAAAGGCACGACGTTAACTTAGAGCCTAGGTACTCGCACACATACGCAGTGTTAGCTAAACGAAAGGAAAGACAGATGACTACAAAGTCGTTCTAGCATCCCAAAAGAGACGCATTTCCTCCCACGGTAGCTCTGTTATTACCCTGTTCCCTAACTTCGCTTCCCCTGTAAAACCAACACCAATGCCATATTCCCGCCGGCACTATGTAGTATGAATCCCGGAAGTCTGAACTCCGCCTTCACGACAATACCGTTCACGTACCCGATTCTGCCTGCAGGCGCCGAAAAACTCCGGATTCGAGATCGGATCATTCAGGTAGGAGCGTAGCAGGTTAGCCCGCAGGCCCTTGGGCGGCTCGTTGGTCATCTTCACACCTGAAGGCACGGAGAGGTGGTGGGAAAGGAAACTTCATACAGTGAGCACAACACGGACATATATGAAACTGTAGCTGCATCGTGTTGCACTGCTGATTAGCTGCTTGATGGATCAGCGGATAACTTAAATGCTATACGACCATGTGTGACAATACGAGCACACAGCTAGTCCTGGGAGTTTCCTCTTTTATTTGATGCGACATTTAGTTCGCTGCTTCAAATAGCCTTGAACACCGAACAACAGTGAGGCCGACGGTTGGGGTGACGGAGCATAAATAAAATCCCTCGCTCCCTCCTCTCCCTAGCTTATCCCTCCCTCTTCCCCCATCTCCGTCTCCCCCTCTCACCATTCTGCAGCACCGACACGGGGAAGTCATCGCTGGGGTAGCTGGTCAGCCACAGCCGGAACCTCTGGTGGGTTTTCTCCGGTACGATCTGGTTCTCGCAGATCATCTCCAGCTGCGGCATCCAGCTGGTGGCCAGGTGGCAGTTCTGCAGGACCACCCAGCCGCCGTCCACCAGAGCCGACTCGATCATCTGAGCCGCGATCGGGCCCTGCGGGGTTTGGAGGGGCGTGGAGTCAGGGCTGGGGTGGGTTGGAGCAAGGAAAGGGTAGTCAGGCCGGGTCGTTGTTTTTTTATCGTACCCGTATCAATGAGATGGTCTGCTTTGTCATCCATTTTCGCCTCACATACAATCACGCTGTTCACGCGAGTTTATCAACACTTTCACAGCATCCTTGACTTTTTCAGTTATGCTTAGCTTGCTCGTCCATTTACCCATTTTCACCCCTTCTCGCGTGGACCCGTCCCAGTGAGACGGTCCATCCCTACTCACCTGCCCCAGTGAGACGGTCCGTCCGTTCTCACCCGTCTGCTCACCCCTTCTCACCTGACCCTGTCCGAGCGATATCGTCTGCACGTGTCCCGCCTGTCCCTCCTCCTCAGCAAACTTCAGTAGCGTGGCCATCGGGTCGGCGCCCGGCGACAGGACGAATATGAGAGGCGTCACGCAGGACGAGTCCCCATACGATCCGGGCAGGTCGAACGTGGGAGGTTCGATGTAGTACGCGCCCAGGTTGTCCACGATGAATTGCTGACGGCGGAACAATAGGAGTGAGAGTGGAACGCAGGAATGGATAGATGGGCTACAAGGGAGAGAGTAGTTCTGACGTGATAATGATTAGAGAGTGTAGCAATTAACCATCAGACGTTAATGCATTCTAATTTCATAAGCGAAACATTAAAACATTGCACTTCTCGGAATTATCCATAGACAAGAAACGCTTGATTTGATCAAACTTCTGCCATCTTCTGTCTGTCTGTCTGCCTTCCCTGTTATATTGTCTCGCAACAGCATGATGCCTTCATGGAAGAAAACAATGTCAATACGTTTCCTCTATACACTGCCCACATATTCAGCCGGGCTGTCCTCGTCCCGTACCTGTACAGCCGGTATGAGTTTATCGGGCCGCAGACAGCGCAGCAGCAGCATGCGCGGCAGCCCTATGAGCTCGTCCCAGCCGCCCGGGTACTGGGCCTCGTGGGGTGCCGACGAGTCGTAGATGGCCTTCCAGGCGGCCGGAGCCTTGGCCACGTCACTGAACAGAGCCGCGAACCTGCCGGCCGGGAGTAGAACTGAAATGAATGCTACTGAACCTCACGATTTGGCTTTCACTACGTGCTCCGCAATTTGGCTTTCACTTAACGTGCCTCTAACTTCTCCCCTTGAATTTTTACTGACTCGCCCACAGTCAAGAGTTCATTTATTCCGCCGTGCAATCCTTCCCTTACTGACTCTTACAGAGCAGAGAGATCTGTCAGCCCCCTACCCTGCTCACCCGCCTAGAGTCGACAGGACAGGCGCACTAAAAGCGCGGTCCGTCAGCCCCCCCCCCCCTATTCACCCGTCCAGAGCCGACAGTCGCACCATCTCTGCCCAGACATGGTTCCCTCCCCCTCCCCTCTATCTAAGGAGTACTAACCCATCCAGAGCCGAAAGCCGCACCATCTCCGCCCAGGCGCGGTCCGTGAGCCAGTCTGAGGCCGGGTTCGGGTGCGGGTTATCCAGAGCGATACCTCCAGTCAGGAAGAACCGCCACTGCTCCTCATTCAGCTCGCCCTGCGATAGAGGACAGCGTGAGGGAACGTAGGACTAGGAGGGTGGCCGGAGCGGCAGGGCTTGCCACTAAAAATTCCGTTATTTTCGAGGCGATAACTCGCACTAAACTGAGCTTGTTGTGTTTAGGTCCTTACATATTCTATCACTAGAGCAGGAAAATATCGGATGGACATAATGACCAATCAAATTTTTATTTCTTATGCAAATTTTTAAATTCAAATGACATTAGCCCAGCCAGCAAATTTTGTCCTTGTTTCTCACACAAGCAAACCTCACTTGACAGTAGACACCAAACCAACCGTCTTGTGATCTCTCCATCCCCGATTAGCTGCTGCGCTACCCCATCTTTCCAAGCCCCTACCGCGTCCCTTCCGACACTCACATGACCCTTCATGATGCCGACGCAGAGCAGACACGAGAAGAGCAGTTTGTGTCGCTCAAACAGCGACCGGCACACGTTACGGTAGATGCTGCGGGTGAAGAAATCGTTCAGCGACAGGATGCGCCGCTTCAGGTCCGCCGACTTGGGACTGGAGGCGATCGACTGGGAACAGTAAAAACAGAGGGGGAGTGTGAACGATAGGAGCTTACACTTACAGTAATTGCGCATAGCGACTTAAATAGATAGTGTCACTGGCGTTAAATCGGACTAGAAACCATGCGCAAAACACACAAAGATACTGAGCATTGGGTCTCTACTTATCATTCAGTACGGGAAAATGAAGCTGTTCGCTCTCAATCTTTTTCAATACGTCAGAAGCATCAGCTGTGATTACATACATCCCTGATCGCTATGCCCTTTGTGGTACGGTACCCACCTGCAAGTACAGACCGATGTACCACGTCAGCGAGTACTGGTACATGGGATCGATGTTAGCCAGCTCTGAGATGCAGAAGAACAGTGTACTCGAGTGTACGGCCACCGGACGGTACCCCACGCGCGCCTCGTCAATCTCCTTTTCGGTGGCCGCTGCCACGGCTTGCTTGGCGGATATCTCCTCCGACAGAACCTTACGGAAAGAGAGAAGGACGGTTAGGTAGAGGATTGCAGATGAGACAGAAAACGCGACCTCAATCTGTGATAGGAGCAGGAAATAAGCATAATGCGTTTGGAGTTAAAGGTGAAGAAGTTAAAAAATGACAAACTTCAAAAACACATAACTGAGTAAAAAGAGGAAACTAATTCACCGTAAGTCAATGACGATAGGATGGCCGAAAGGCACATCGGTGGACGGTAACGCGAAAGATGGCACAACGTAAAACGCACCTGAAAATGTCAGTATGTAAGTCCGAACCCCACGATGTGACTACTCCAGCCCGGCCGTCTATGTACTATCCACAAACCGTAACAAACCACTAACTTCCTAGATGTCCACAACCCACATCCCCAAAACATCTCACCTTTGACGAGGACAGGATCTGAATGGCCGTCTCATCCTCCAGGATGTTCCCCTTGGAGGAACTGAGCACCTCCAGGATCTGATCCTCGATCTCCTTCAGCTGACGCTGGTTGTTGGCGCCCTCCACGATCAGCTCGTTCTTCTTCTCCTCGAGGTCAGGCTTCTCCTTAGCGGCCACGATGCCCAGCAGCTGGTCCTCGAGGCCCAGCGGAGTGATCATGAAGTTCAGAAGCGTCACCTGGCGAGTAATAGGTGTCGTTGGCGGATATGGAGCGGCAGTCGGCAGTCCTCGACCTTCTCACGGCACTACGCTACTTGGTGCTACGGCTTCACCACTCAGCTATCAGCGCTTCGGTTTCCATGGAAGTATGCACAAACTTGGTAACTTTGCTTACGTTTTCATGGAAACCGAAGGAGCCTGGTAGCGAGTAGCGACTGCCGACGGGCGGCAGCGCAGTGTGCAACACCCCCACCCCCAAGTCCACACCCATGTAGACACGAAATTACACACTTCTTTACTTTTACCATGACAAACCCGTGTACTATGTACAAACAAACCCTTCCGCATCCCCATCACTTTCGGGCTGGCCGCTGGCGGTTACTCTCACGGATCCATCACACAACTGGATCCGAGGGCAACGGCAAGTCCTCAGTTTGAACTAGGTAAGTACATTTTTTCCGGGGTGACCGCTTGGCTTGAGCGACATGGCGGGCTGTCCCATTGGGACATTCCCGTCTACCGAGACGATCTCATTCACGTGATCACGGTGAGGACAAGACTGGAGCGAACACATCTGTTTCAATCACTGCTCGACTCGACCCAATAATCCATAACAAGATAAAGTACCTCTTTCAATGGATCATAAAGAAGTGTGCGTGCAGTCAGTCTTGAAAGAAGTACCGCGCATCGTTGCGGTCGGTGCAGTCATTCCACGGTTTATCTCGATGGATCCAATGCGTCGATGCGCGGTACTTTCAAGACTGACTGACTGTACATACATACCTACATCGTACATACAGTGTGTATTGCGTAACTCTATGAGTCGTGAGCGCTGAAAATATCTACATTTTTAATGGAACTATGATCAATATGAATCAAGAGTAATAATCTTTTATGATTTAGTGTAGAAGCATATATCAACCTGTGAGGTAACGTTATTTGGCGATGTAGAGATTGCACGGTACTTGAATGCCTATAATAATATAGCAGCCCCGAGCTTTTTACGTTCTGGCGCATCCCGCCCGTTTACGGCGCAGGCAAATATTCAGCAGCCGGCTTGGAGAAAACAACTCTGGAAGTGTTTCTCTCTAAAGTCACCTCAATATTTAAAAAAAAAATCAATTTATTTTCATAACAGGTAAGTCTGCGTGCTGCATGATAAGCTGCTGCATGTTCGTGCTATGTCACTGATGGATACATAATGTTCAATCAGAGGCAAGGCACCCCATCTTGATCTCAATCTCATCTCAACTCAATCCCTTGGAGTGCAGATTTTCATGTTTTTGGACCATATAACAATGTTGTTTAAATATAGAAGTTTAATTTAATTTATTTTTCTTTCTTTTGATGTGGCTGCCTCATTTTTTTCTTTTCTAATGTAATCACTATGCAGACACAAAAATAGTGACATTCGTCACAGAATGTGGATGATTTTCCATGAAATATCAAATATATGAATATATCATAACTTTGTTTTTATTACAATAAATCAATACTTAGCAGCATAAGAGGTAGCAAGCAAGGAAAATAAAATAACATTGACATCTAAACAGTAAAGGAATTTACTTAAATGCACATTATGTTACACACTACACAGGCATCGGAACAAGCTGATTCTGCGCATTTCCATCCATGCATGTTTAGTTTTTTTTTCTTCAAAGAGTCTGTGAAATCATGCAGAAATTACAAGCAATCGACTGGAAATACAGCATTGCACTCATACATTTAATAGGTGCATCACAAGGCAGTCGTGCCACAGTTGACAGCTATAACTATAATGTTATCAATGCAAAGGTTGAAGTTGTACCTACTGTTTTAAGCAATGATGCAAACAAAAGTTATTGCAAAGAAAATAATAAATAAGGTGGCACGTCCATGCTCCATTTGGAACTAAAAAGATGCATAAGAGTGTGCAAACATGTTTGACATTTCTCACCCATTTCATTGTGAGAACAAAGTCTTCACTATATTCTTAAGTGAACACAGCAAACTCATCGTATATGATCATAGGGTCATAGACTCAGTACTTCCCATCACGGGGTCACTAACCAACCAGCACTGCATAGTAGTCATGCACATAATGGTTAAATATTTCAGAGCTTGAATGAGTCTTTTCCATCATGTCTTCGCTACCGTAAAACGGGGTGTTAAGGGACAGTTTTGAGGTGTTTTGTTAGATAACTCAAGAAGGGTTGGAGATAGAAGCATCAAATTTTCAGCATTTTATGTGGAATTTGGTGCTTTACATGCCTGCCACATTAAAGTTTTTAAGATTTATATCTGCATATTATTTTTTATTATTTTTTATCACTGTCCCTTAGCACCCCAATGTGGGGTGTTAAGGGACACCCATATTATTCCAAGAAATGGTCATCAAATGCCCTCAATTGGGGTGTGGAAGGGCACACAATTTATTTATTAAAATGTTTTGCATATTCTGTCACAAAACAAGTCAGGTTCATTCACCACTAATGACCTTTTTAGCCAATTATGTGTAATGCAGTTACCGCTTCTGGAAAATGTGCTAATTATAAGGTAAACAGAACCAAAAAGTACCCTTCTGTCAACAATAAAAGCCCATGTTGAAGCTAGTCACTTGTCATTATGTTGCCTTCTTTGTTTTAGCCTTTTTATGATGACATGACATTTACCTACATCAGTCTCCATTGACCCATCATTGTAAAAGAGAGTGTTGAGATGTTTTGTTACATAACTTAAGATTTGTTAGAGATAAAAGCGTGAACTTGCCAGCATTTTATGTGGAATTTGGTGTTTTCCATGCCTACTGAAAGAAAACTTTATTTTAATATTATTTTTTATTATTTCTTCCCTGTCCTTAGCACCCCACATCCACCTCAAAATATGCATGTATCCGGAAAAGAGGAAGAGGATGATGAATGAATGGGTGGATTTGCACAAGTTTTTCAGGAAACATGTGCAATACATGTGACAATACACCTATGCATTCATTTTCCCTCTACACCTACTAGTTTATGTGGTACACAAAGAGTTTTGGAGATGTTTCAATTTTGTGAAAATATAGCATGATTTTCAAATCCATTTTTGAACCAAATCACTTGCATGAAAAACCATACCATTTTGTCCTATGGTCAAGAGCAAAACAGTGTCAACTAACACACTGAAGTTTTTATTGAACCTTCTCAAATTAGGAAGTTAATATGACTCAAAATTTTTCCCATGCAACTGTCCCTTAGCACCCCACGGTCCCTTAACACCCCATTTTACGGTACATTCCCTGAACAGCACATTCACAATAACACCCAACCCCATTCCTCCCTCAGATCTCTCCTCCCGCCGCCACCATGTCGGGTCACGACCGGAGCCGCGTGGCGCCTCCCACCGAGGACGAAGAAGAGGACCTCGTCGACACCCTGCTGAAGCGTACGGGCTGCATGGAGAAACACTACGCCGTGCAGGCGTGCATGGCAGAGAATGGCGACTGGCGGCGCTGCCAGGACCGTGTGTCAGAGTTCAGACAGTGTATGGAGCAGTACCACAAACGGGCCAGGGAGGAGACCGACGCCAAAGGGAAGAAAACTTCGTGAGGGAGTGGTTGATAGGAGTGTGGTGTGATTGTCAGGAGGGCAGTATTAGAAGGAAGAAGACTGAAAGGTTGGTGTGAATAGCGTGGTGAAAAACATGACATGGGATCAAGGTCGAAGGATGCATTAGACAAGACGTGCGTTGCTGAGTGCTGCCAGGTTTGTGTTCGTTTGGGGATGCGTTTCTGCGAGTCATGCAGCGACGGATCTGCCGCTGGCGCCATCCATGGAGATTGGAAGTCATTGGTCTGTTTGACGAACATATCCGCGTACTGGTCTAACGTGACATGCTTTCCATCGCCTCCCATACGTTCTTGAGACGTCTTTCCTTACCGACACCTTAATCGCTGCTTGAAGGACCAGTGAGCATTTTTACCGCTGAGCGTTGGCCTTTGAATGGCCCAGCTCGGTGTTCTTCTGACTCAGTTAAATTGACTCAACTATCGAGGCTCATGTGTGTGACTTCATCTCTTTGTGAGAGTTGTGTGGTGCCGTTGTGATAACATGCTCCCATTGGTTCACGAATTGTCACCATTTATTGAAGTCATGAGGTGCACCATGAATGGACACGTCCATTAGACATGCGCTCTGTGACGCGCCGATCTAAATGAACGAGACTGCTGGGATCAGGTACTAGCACCTCGGACTGATCATGTGATAATAAATAGTAAATACCATATAAAACTAAGCAATTGCTTTTCAGATTGAAACAGGTCATGGATTAGCCGTGAAGTAAGGATCTACATTGATGAGATTCGTTCAGCGTTATGTCGCACAATGACATGGACGAGCAGCTGAAAGAGAACAGCCGCGTGCGAGGTTGCATAAGAGGCCTTTGCCAGAAACCTGAGTCCGTAAAGTGGGATGCGCACTGCGTGTGGGATATGCCGGCAACAGCACTGCCGCTGACCAGTGGTGTTTACCATCACGCCTAACGTCTGTGGGTTTCACCAATCAGCATCCCGACTCTCCTTTCCAATCAGCATCCCGACTTTGTCTCCACTTCTTCCACCACGTATTCATCCGCTAATCGCTCATTTCCCTCTTTAACCCAGGCTCTACCCTCTCCATCTGTCATCAAGTATTCTCTCACCGCCCCCCCCCTCTTCCCCAGCTCTTCTATCTCGCTCATTCACTCACCCTCTCCTTTCCCTCTAACACTGACCTTAACGGCTATCTGTGGCAGCTGCTATTTCACGCTGACTGGCTGGTGCTAGCTCCCTCTGACCTTCACCGTTATCTCTGGCAGCCGGCAGGTAATGCCACCTCTCACTAGCCTCACTCACGGCTATCTCAGGCTGGTGGTGTTACCTGATACTGACCTTGACGGCTATCTCCGGCAGGTAGTGCGGGTTCCTCAGCCGGGTGGTAATGTAGAGCCGAAAATCAGGCGAGTACTCCAGCACGCTCTCACCCAGCTTGATGTAGTCGATGCCGCCCTGCTTGTAGGTCAGCTTCTGCAGTACAGGCTCTGGGGGCGCGAAATATGACGGTGGGGATGATAGCGTAGCCCGAGGTTAGACGTATGACGTAGTGACAAAGACATAGACAGCCCGAGGTGTGTGTCCGCAATATTCAACTCAATTTCAAGACCCGTGTCACTCAGGACTGGACTCTTCACAGTTCACATACCACTGGCTAACTGCCCTTACCACTTATGTAATCGCTCAAACCTCAAATTCAGCCCAGTCCGTCCCCCGCTCTCCCCTCCCATCTCTCTCCCCAGCTCACCGAGCATCGGGTCCAGCTCCTCGTAGACGTTCTCGATGAGCATGGGCTTGCCGAACTGCAGCGAGTTCTCCAGGGTGCGAACATAGTTGGGATCGGTCAGCTTCACCACCGTCAGGCCGTTCTCCCGCTCCATGTTCTTCACCCACTTACTGGCCTGGCCTGGCGGGACGGGGGGAGACGGGAGGGGTCACCGGTGGAGATGTGCTTCAGTGCAGGCCGTTTCATTCACTCCTCTGTCTACATTTTTATCTATTTATTTATTAGACATGCTCTTACCAATAAATTTACATACTCGATGTTGGTGCCCATTATTTTTTTCGCACTTCATTTAAAAATCATAGTGACATCACATTATTTTACATAATTCACCGTCCTATCACATCCTTTCTGACCACTCATCCCATCATTAACGACATTACCCAGCCTCATTCACATCATCTTACCTCACGTGCAGTGTGCCCTTCATACCAGCATGCCAGTTTACCACACCACATCCCTCTTACCCTTACCTCATGTCCCCACATACAGCAAAGCGACCGCCCCATCCCACCGATCCCCTCCCATCCCGTCGCCACTAACCCTGCGGGTCGATCATGAGCGGCCAGCGTCTGGCGTTGCTGACGATGATGCCGTTGTCGATGGAGAAGGCGTCCACGGGCAGGCCGGCGATCTGCCAGGCTCGGATTCGCACCGGCTCTCCCAGTGTGGCGATCAGGGAGAATTGCTCCGAGCAGGGGATGCCCGCCTCCTGACAGCGGGATGCCCAGTCGTCCACAGCGTCCTGGAGAGAGGAGGCGGGATGTGGGTGATACAACGGAGCATACGTGACAAAATATAGGTTGGGAGAGGTTAGGGAATCGCTCGTATTTCTAAGCTGGGGATCAAAAAGAATTGAGCTGAAATTCGAGTTTGAACGTTCTTTTCCTCGTGTTGCTACGTTGCCCATGAACAGCATTGGAAAAGGGTGTGTGTGTGTGGGGGGGGGGGGGGGGTGGGGGGGGGGGGGTGGCTGACCGGGTGAGATTTATGAAACACTGCATTCTTCTTCAGCACCGTCTCGGAGTGGGTTGCAGCAAATCGATAGGGAAAGTTCGCTAGCCTTCCAAAAATTCAGACTGAATTACAAGGCACCTCTTGGCTTTTTATACCTGTCTGTAGTCGACTGTGAACGGTCCCATGTAGGCGACCACTCCGGCCGACAGCAGCACGTCTCCCATGATGTTGTCGTAGCGTTCAGATAGGGTGGCGGCTGCCTCACTCCAGCGGGTCTTCTCGCCTCCAAGACCGCCTGGCGAGGGGGGGGGGAGTAACTGATATGATAAGCAAGAGCGGGCCTCGCATAAAAGTGGACTGGAAAAATGTATATAAGGTTTCACAATATACAGCATCCTTAGGCCAGCTGCCAGCAAAGCTTTAATGCTCATTGAAGTACCTGTTTTCTGTGACAATAATTCATTTTGTCGCATCATACCGCCTTCATTTTCAATAATCATCCCATAAAAAATATAAGCGAGCACCCTCCAGCCTTTACTTTATCACATTCCCGAAGGGCCCAACATAGCCGTCCTCCATCATACCGATGAGTTTCTCGGCCCTGTCCAGCTTCTGGGAGCAGAGTTCGATGTTGTCCTCCAGATCCCGCTTCTTCTTGGTCATGGCGGCAAACTCGTCATTGAGAGCCTGCAACTTGTCGGCTACCTGGCAACATACGGTCAGACGGTCAGTTGCCAGATAGGCACTACATAATACCCTGAGCCCTGTTTCACGACACCTCACTGCCTGACGCTACTTGAAGTCATGACGCTCGATTTCCATGGAAACGCAAGCAGAATTGTAAATTTTTTAATACACTTGCATAGAAAACGGGCGCCAATGCCTGGTACCGTCAGGTAGTGTCATGCGCTGAAACGGGGCCCTGAACGTCATGACGGATGGAAAATGGGTTCCCAGCGGAGCCAACAACTCTCCCTCTCCGCTCACAACCGTCATACTTGTGCGAGGCTAGCTACTGCCGCCCTGCTTCCTCGCGAGGGCTCCCACCTGTTGCAGCTGACGTCGCTTCTCATTTAGTTTGTCCATCTGGGTAGCTAGTTCTCCCTCAGCCTCGGCTAGCTTGGCCTTCTTCGGCGCCACGATCTTGGCTACCCTGCCGGACGGGGGATGGGGGGGGGGGCGGTGATAGTCCTCAATCCTCAATCCAGATGCCAACTGTCTCTATGACCTGACCTTTACTGACCTGTCGTATACCTCCATGGCCTGAAATGACCTGTAAGACATGGCTCTAGTGACCCGTCTACTGACTATTCTCAGCCGACCTCTTCTGACCAGTCGCATACCTCCCGGGCCTTGACCTCTACTCACCTGTTTCTATAGCTTGGTCTCTACTGACCTGTCGTGGCTCTGACCTCTACTGACCTGTCATACACCTCCATGGCTCTGACCCAGCGGCAGAGTCCCTCACACGCTGTTGAGACGTTCCGAATGATGGACGGGTCGAAGTCTGGATTGCTCGTGTACCTGAGATGGAAAGGTCAGACATTGATTCAGTCGTGTGTCCCATCTAGGGGCCATACTGATGGAGGAAAGCATCGCGTTACAAGCAGGGTGATTCAAACATGTGCTTCAGAGAACTCAACCTACAGCACAAATCGAGAATTCCGATCACTTAAATCGACACAATCCACTGCACTCCAAACTATGTTGCCTTATAACCAAACATGCAATCTAATTATCTACCGAACCACTCATAGGCGGCGGAACGGGGAGGGCACCGGGGCACCGTGCCCCCTTTGATTTTGGCATTTTAACATTAGCCCTATGGGCGTTGCATGGAAAGAATGGGACCAAAAGTTGGCAGTGCCCCCCCCCCCCTTAACTGAAGGTGTTCCGCCGCTACTGGAACCATTCCCATAATAGCGATTTCTCTTTGCCATTTCTTTTCACAAGCACAACAGTATTTCTGATTTCCTAGTCAATGGTCATATCGTCACTCCGCAATCTTTTAACTCTCACTTGTCCCTGATTTTCTTGATGATGGGCACGGGAATGTGGTCCTTGTCGTAGGCCTTGAGACTGTCCAGGAACTTGAGGTCGCTCAGCATCTTGAGACTGACGCCCCAGTACTCATCGACGGGCCGGCCGGAAGCGTCCGGTTTCCTCTCGGGTTTGACACCTTTCATCACACAGATGGCCTCCATCACCTGGTGGGAGGATATTGGGAAGGACGGCGTCATATCAAAACGTTATCGACGGTCTACAGGGTGTAACGAAATTATCCGGACATCTTTCTTCGCGCTGTAATTAAGAAGCAAGACATTCTGATATTTCCCCTTTTGAATTATTACATAGCCACCTTTCATAAGAGCGCAGGTACACATTTTTGGAGCATTCCAGCCACTGGATTTTCCAGCACAGTGGGTTTCATATAGAGTAGCGCCTTACTAACCTGTGCCCGCAGTTGGGCGGCGCTGGTGGCGGGTGTCCCCTCATTCATCTCCTGATGGACAATAGTCCATAATATATCGACGGAATTGCATGGGAACTATTTCCAAGCCATAGCCCTTTAGCCCAGAAGAACAAAAAGGTCCTCTCGGCATCACTTCTCATTCTGCTAGGGACTTGAAGGTGGTGCGCCGCCCCGTATGAAGACTGCGCGGCTTGAATCAGGTATCGGTACACGTTCAGAAACCGAGCCATCCTGTGCCGTCTGGTTGAGTGGCTCCAACCAATCGCTAGCCAGGATGTTGCGCCGGTAATACTCGTCACTGATAGTGGTTTTCTGTGTCGTCATGAGCAGCTTGAATATTACACAGCAGCTGAACATGCTCCAGGTCTGGATTTTGGCCGGATGTTTGACGCCGGCGACGGCCGGCACATTCGAGCTGCTGGCAGCCCACACATGGCCGATTTGACGGTTCAACGGGTATCGCAGCTCGAACAGCTTCCCATCCGACCAGGTCACCTCATTCGTGTCTTCCTTCGACCAGTGGACACGCCCTGGCCTGAAGCCAAAGGTGGTGGACTGGTTGTTTTCCCGTCAATTTCATTGTCTTTTCCAGTTTGAAGGGCAGTAAAACCAAGCTAAAGGGCGGGTAACGGTGAATCATGATGTGGGACCTCTTATTATCTACCTTGGTAAGAATTCGAGTCAGTATGCGGATTAATTGGTGCCGTTTCCTTGTCGCTATCTTGACAGCTCTCCTCACCACTTGGCAAAGGGCGCCTTTTGCGATCGAGGCCGGGCTGAGTCTGCCACCAAGTCCCAGCTTATTACGCCTCAGGCAGATGTGCTACTGGCTGCTGCTGATGTCCAGCTGCTGACAGACCAGCTTCTGGCTCATGCCACCATGCCACCAACACGTAGCCTTACTACGAAACGAGAGACTGTACTCCTTTCTCTCCACTGCCTTAAACGAAAACTATCAAATGAACCCGTCGGCGACTCGACTCTTACTCAGAGTAAGAGTCATTTCGCAAGGTCAGGTCACTGCTGAGTTGAGAGCAGATACCAGAGGTATGCATTCATCCAATTTTCCAGCTTCTGACATTAAAAGAGAAACTGTGCGAGCAGATATGGCGAAAAAATAGATGTCCGGATAATTTCGTTACACCCTGTATATGCAGGCAGTTTGAAATTATTTACCATAGTCGCAAGCCATAGTCGAAAATCATAATCAGACGGCTTACTTTCACAGCGTGGATACACTTACTGCATACAACATGGAGTCACAAATCACAATCAGGATTATTTGTCAGGCCTTGTAACTTCATTCGAACTCGTATCCACATACAAAACAGTTACTGCTAGTGCTGTCCCGTGCACCCTTACTTATTCTATTTCGTCCCATCCCGATTAATTATCTCATCACGTGCAATCCTTACCCTTTTCCACCCTATCTCACCCATCATATCTCATGGCCAGCCCCACCAATCTCATCTCTTTCAACTCCATCCTTTCCACGTCATCCCCCACTACCGTCACCTACCAGTCTCACTGCCGGCGGCGGGTTCTTCATGCTCTTCACCAGGGTGATGTCGGCAGGCTTTAGCGTGTCCAGAGCACTGAGAGCCGCCTCCATGGCTGGGATAGCCTCAGCCAGGTCACTCTCACAGTCATCCTTGATGGCCTGAGCCGCCGCCGCCGCTTCGTTGGCAGTCGCTTCATCGGCGCCGACAATCTGACGGAGAGAGGAAGAGGAGGGTGTGAGAGAGAGAGAGAGAGAGAGAGAGAGAGAGAGAGAGAGAGAGAGAGAGAGAGAGAGAGAGAGAGAGAGAGAGAGAGAGAGAGAGAGAGAGAGAGGAGGTGAGGAGCGGGTGGTGGATAGAGGCGTACTCGCATGGGGTAGGGGTAAGGATAAGAGCGGGAAAGAGGGGTGAGGTGAAAAATTTGCTAGACTGGGATGTATGCGAGTAAATGCGGAATGGGAAGAGTGCTGTTTCAAGAAGTCAAGTAAGCCGGTAGAGGGCGCTATTGAGAGTGGAGCCACAGTTCTTTCTGCTATGTAACGAGCAAGCACCAGCTGCTGCCTGGGTGCGGGGCAATGGCACCGGTGACGCCTCTGACGGCAATATTTGTAACTGCTTTACTCCGCTAGTCTGAACTATTGGTTCCACAAACGGCCGTTAGAGGTCCGAAAACGGTACCAAGCGATGTACACCTTATCATACATCAATTTTACACATGTTATGAAAATTTCAGACCAAGATCATTCAAGGTCAGGTCACCAGGTCACTTGAAGTGACCTCACCTCATAAAAAGTTTCAATGTCTGTCATAGCTACGCCGAGTGACCGATCGCTTTGAAACTTTCAGCGATTGCTAAGAGTAATAGCATGTACAACATGTATATCTCAGAATTTTGATATCGATGACCTAAGGTCAGGTCAATTTTGCGACCTCCCCATTATAAGTCCATGGGAGAAAATTGAAATGCGCCTCTTTTGGACGAAAGACATCATAAACACTCCCAAACACCGAATTACAAGTGGCTTAGACACACTGAACATGAAAATGGTGTCCGTGACCCTTGTTTGTGCCCTGAGTTCATCTTAGGTCACGAATGGTATCTAACAGTTTTTCGCAAATAACTTTTGATAGAGGCATGCTAGAGCGATGAAAACGCCTTATATGTGTTCGGCTCGACGTTGCGGATCGACTGATATGCAACATGACCCTTTCCGGTCAGGTCATGACCTTGACCTGAGGTCAAATTTTCAAGTTGACTTTTCAAGGTCAAGTTACAGTTCATTCGATGCGTCTTGACAAGGGGAACACGATGCCGGTGAAAGTAAGCTCGTACAAGGCTTGGGTCAAAAGTTATTGCAGAAAAACTGTTTTCGAAAAAATCGGCTATTTTTGCAGTTTTTACCCCCTGCAGGCAAAACCGTTGACGTTAGGTCAAATCTGAGAGAATTACTCAGAAAGGGCGTTAATAGAGCTATCGAATGCACTTTTCCACGGCGCTATAGCTCTATTGGTTCCCGAGTTATGCGTTGGCTTCTTGGAAATTTTCGACATTCGACCTGGAAATCGGCGAAATTTTGCCTTCAATGACCTCTGGTGACCTGACCTTTGACCTGACCAAAAAATTGACCGAAGTGATTTCGTCATTATTTTTTACGCTCTTTCGAACGCCGCCTTCCGCGTATCGCTACGTGGCCCAGGAGCCGAGTTACAAGGGGGGGTGTTCAAACACCCCCCCCCCCAGCAGGGCGTGGAAATCCAGGACCCCCAGCCGGGCGCGGGTTAAATTCATTTTCCGCATTTTTTTTAGCACACCAAGCAAACAGGCATTTTTTGTGCATTTATCGGCGACCCGTCTGGCCAGACCGGCACGGTGCCGTTCCATGGCATATGCCGTCCCGGCCCCGGGGAGAGCTGTGGGATCCCTCCCCGGCGCTCCAGACGGGCTGCCCGCCCCCCCCCCCCCTCCGGCAAATGAGTTTCCCCGGGAGGTGTCCCCTAACCGCCGACCGGGCGAGCGAAGCGTCAACCCGACCCAGTTGACAGTTGAAAGGATGTTGTTCAGTTTTGATGTCGTTGGTCATACATTTCCCTGTTGCTTTGGGAGACGTGAGAATTCGCTGATTTGGGTTTGACGGTCTGAGTCTATTACATCCGGCAATAGACCGTATTGTAGTACACCGGATGTAACTCACATCTGGGTTACATCCGGTGTGTGTAAGGAGGGAGGGGGTTAACAGACCTTCCATGGTTTCTATCTTTTACATATAGATGATAATGATGATATTTCCATCAAAGCTTTTAGCGTCTTCTCCCACTCACATTATGTACTCCTATACAAATTGACCGATGACAGTGAAAAGCCTATGATAGGTGGGCTGGAAATATCAGTAAAGTACCTATGTACAAGGCGTACACATTCATCATGCCTCATCCCATCACGTATCTGATATCCTCCCCCCGAACATTTCATTGTTGCTCATGCAGCCTACAACGCCCACCAACCGCATTCATCCGCTCAATAATTTGTGCAATTTCGGCTGACTGATGTATACCGCGGTTACAGCGGACCGCGAGTGCCACGCACACAGTATGCCGAATGGGATAACAGCAGACCTTGGATGGTATGCGTCATTACCCCCAGTAGCCGGACCGATCCTACGCGCAGCGGTTGCTTTTTATCTGGCATGATTGCGGACATTCCCGGCGCCGGAGCCGCCATCAGCAGTCGACACATCATCAACGGGCAGCCGCACACCGGATGCTGGATTCGTTTGTTTCCGGGCGGGTTGCCCCGCCCCGCCCCGCCCCGGCCACTCCCCGCTCTGCTGCCCGTTCCCGCCCCGCCCCGCCTATCGTGTCTAACCGATCTCGATTGGAGCGACGAACGACCTAGCGACAAAGCGACAAAGCGTCAGAGCACAGCGCTGGCCGTCCATGTGCGTTCATTCGCAACTCATCGTCCAACACTAGACTGGCCATAACTGGCGCGATACGCGGCAACAACACTCAGCCGAACGGCCGACGAGGCGTAACCGAGCGCCAGCCGGCCCGGCTAATGGGCAGGGAGCAAGCACGGACTGAACAGGCTGGTCATAGAACGAGCCAGGGAATACCGGACGAGTCTGGCATATACCGGTGTGGGAAACAAATAACGCATCCTTGCTCGCGTAATGCATGAAACTCAGTCACGCGATCGAAACTAAACCAGCGATAGGTCTGAAACAGTGTAAAATACGGGATGTAGTTTTTTTTTTTAAACAGAAGCCATGAGGCATTGAATTATATCCCGCGCGGGGCTGGGGGGGGGTAAATTTTACCCCCCCTCGCGAATTTTTGCGATATCTCAAAAACGGCGGCGCGCAGCGCCGCCAAACTTTCAGTGTACCTTTTCTTACATCAATTTGACACGTTCCCTGAAAATTTGAGCGAAATCCGTCGGAAATTTTTTGAGAAATTGACGTTTTAGTGACGTCATGTTCGCCATTTTCGCCTCAAAAACGGCAAAAGTTCAAACGCCGCTAACATCTTTATTTTTAAAGGAATCAAGACGTAAAAAAAAGGTTATACGTAATTTTACTTTGTCTATCAAATGGCTATCTCGGTTTTTTGAAAATTTTGGATTTTGGCCTAAATTTTTTTCAAAAAACTGATTTTTTTGGGAAAATCATTATAAAATCCAAAATTTTGAGTCTATCGAAAAAACCGGAATATATGTCAGAGAAGTGGTCTATGTGCACCTACATACCAAATTTTAGAAGAATCGGTTCAAAAATGTGGGAGTTATTCAAAATTTTATGACGTCACGCCACACAAAATTTTTGAAAAATGACTTTTTTGGAAGTTCTAGACCTCGTACGGAAACAAAAATAGCACCATTCGATTCGCCGTGAAAAACTGCATCAGATAGACACCTTTTTAGGCCTTAACAACCAACTTCAAAATTTGACCTCACTTGACCTGACCTTGACCTGACCTCGACCTGAAATTCATCCAGAGGTGGTCCATATCACTTATTGAGTGTGCCTATTGAATTCTATGAGTAAAATGGCCCATAAAACATGTGTCGCACATGCCCTTTTCTATATTTTGTTTTTTGGTGACCTGACCTGACCTGACCTGACCTTGACCTCTGAATGATATTGTATGCAACGAATATTGTCTTGGTAGCCTAAGAACACGTTTTGGGCGATCAGTCTCAGTCCATGACTCCATTCTTCGGCAACTACGGTGTGCAAGGCCGATACTGTAGAAACTTGCAATTTGTACCCTTGACCTGACCTTGACCTTGACCTCAAACTTTAAATTAAGTACATGTTTTTAGTAGTTCGTGATGAGATCTTTCGATTGGCGTTTGAATTTTCCAAATCGGACCATTAGTTCGGGAGATAACAGGGGGGGGGGTAAAATTTACCCCCCCAGCCCCGCGCGTTCGGCTGCAGAGACCCCAGCCCCGCGCGGGATATCGCTCTGAGGCTAGCTTTACGAACAAAACAAAAAAATAGCCACTTGCCGGATTTTTTTTTTGCCCAAAGGCCGCTTCACATACGAAGCGTAAACGGTAAAGCCCTATCCGCTTACGTGCCCATCCCGTTTACACTCCATACCTATGTGAAGCGGTCTTTAGGCAAAAAATTCCGGCAGGCGGCTATTTTTCTGTTGGTAAAACTGGCCTCTGCTCTATTTAGCAGTTTTACAACTAGTAGTTGAATTTATATACGCCAGTTCGAGCCATGCTTTGTCCAGCTTTGCTATAAATCAAACCAAATTCGCTTGAATACTATGCACTGGCTTTCTGTCTACTGGTAGTATCCGGATAACGCTACATTCGAAAGGTCAGAATCCTGACTTCCGAGCAAACAAGTTCACACATAGGCTGTAAACGATCGAAACAATGCCGTCTGCCACTATTTCTCAGTAGTAAAAACCGTTCTGGGTACAATGAGTGCGAATGCGAACACATCTACAGGTGAAGTGCTGGTGACGTGGTTCATGACGTGGTTGTTACTAAATACTCCGGTTCATCCCAACACGACTATAAGTCACGGGCGAGAGGTCCTGTTTCCGGATACAACAGAGTGCTTGGTGAAGTTTACAATAGCGTGAACCGTAGCGCCCTTCAGGGTGTAGCGACGTGAGTAATAAGCGCAGCGGATTGTAAACATTTATAAGACTTCTTTGTGAGCATGTGGAAATATGGAAAAGAGGGTTTCGGAGTCGGAGTCGAAGTCGCCTCGCCCGGAGTCGTGACAAGTAGCCAGGAGTCGGAGTCGGAGTCAGAGTCGGTCAAACTGCCTCGACTCCGACTCCGGAAAGTTAATTAACCCGCGCCCCGCTGGGCTATTCAGCCATATGCGCCCTGCTGGGGGGGGGGCAGATTCTGCCCCCCCCCTGTCTAACTTCCGAACCGATGGTCGTAGAAAGACGGGGAAAACGGCAATCGAAAGCTCTCAACAAGGCCGATCTTAAGAACCCCATTTTTTTTGCTTAAGTAGGTCAGAGGTCAGGTCAAGGTCAGGTCAAGGGTACAAAATGCAAGTTTCTACAGTATCGGCCTTGCACCGTAGTTGCCGAAGAATGGACTAAGACTGATTGCCCAAAACGTGTTCTTAGACTGCCAAGACAATATTCGTTGCATACAATGTCATTCAAAGGTCAAGGTCAAGGTCAGGTCAGGTCAGGTCAGGTCACCAAAAACCAAATATAGAAAAGGGCATAAGCGACACATGTTTTATGGGTCATTTTACTCATAGAATTCAATAGGCACACTCAATAAGTGATATGGACCACCTCGGGATGAATTTCAGGTCGAGGTCAGGTCAAGGTCAGGTCAAGTGGGGTCAAATTTTGAAGTTGGTTGTTAAGGCCTAAAAAGGTGTCTATCTGATGCAGTTTTTCACGGCGAATCGAATGGTGCTATTTTTGTTTCCATACGAGGTCTAGAACTTCCAAAAAAAAACATTTTTCAAAAATTTTGTGTGTCGTGACATCATAAAATTTAGAATAACTCCCACATTTTTGAACCGATTCTTCTAAAAATTGGTATGTAGGTGCACATAGACCACTTCTCTGACATATATTCCGTTTTTTCGATACACTCAAAATTTTGGATTTTATGATTATTTTCCCAAAAAAGTCAGTTAAAAAAAAAATTGGGCCAAAATCCAAGATTTTCAAAAAACTGAGATAGCCATTTGATAGACAAAGTAGAATCACGTATAACCTTTTTTGTTACGTCTTGATTGCTTTAAAAATGAAGATGTTAGCGGCTTTTGAAATTTTGCCGTTTTTGAGGCGAAAATGGCGAACATGACGTGACTAAAACGTCTCAAAAATTTTCCGACGGATTTCGCTCAAATTTTCAGGGATCGTGTCAAATTGATGTATGATATGGTACTGAAAGTTTGACGTCGCTGGCGTAACGCGTTTAGAAGTTATTGGCGAAAAACGGGAGGGGGCAGATTCTGCCCCCCCCCCTCCCCAGCGGGGCGCGGGTTAACTGGAATCCGTGATGTCACATATTGACGTGCTTTTTTACCTATTTTATGCGTTCAAGGCTGCGACGTTTCAGATGATTCTATAAATGAGTTTTACATAGGCACAAATATTGAGCTTATTGCTGAGCGGTCAACCCGCGCAATGTGTGTGGATGGTCTTTAAATCCCCTCTCGTCGGCTTCCTCTCGTCACATAAAACAGGTCGTTTTTTCGCGAAGCTCTAGCTCGATCTGGGGCCGAACAGGGGCGGGGGGGGGGAGGGGTAACAAGGGCGAGGGTTTAAACAAACAAACACTCATCCAAGCATGATATGCTAAAAAACACAAAAAGCCAAAAAACGAATTCGAGTAACAGAGAAACCCAACAATTAAATTAATGTATTCGACATTTCCTTCAAAAAGTCGCATTCAAAAATGCTGAGCCACGTCAAAAAAGAGACGAAGATGGGTCGTGGTTTGCACGACTCAACACAACTCAAGAATAACACACGCGAATTTAGACGTGCTACAAAGAGCTAGTTCATCCACAAGAGGTATATCGCAGACGGTGAGAAAGCAGCAGTGAAATGACGACCCAGGAATACGATATTCCAGAACATGTAACAATTCCCAAGTCGTACAAAACAGAAAAAACTAAAAAAAAATGAAGAGAGCCTGTTTTTTCTTGCTCAACGCATCTATTGCAAAGAAAGTAAAATAATTCAAATAATTCCGAAAAAAATTGAGTGGAACGTCGCAGAATACATGAATCTACATACATACATGAATCATACATGAATCAGAATCTATTTGCCAAAATCTGCCTATAAGCTATCTAAGGTGCATGACCGTGGAGTCACAATTCGTTGCGTCTAGGAATGATAACCATCTCTATCGCCCACACGCTCAATTATTGTCTTCACATGCTGCACACAGCCACAAATGGACGACACATGTCATGCGATCTCATCAGTTTTCAGTGCAACGCGCTCCTCGACAGTTTTCCATGACAAACGGTGGCAAAACACTTCTAAGTGAGGCGAGGTTGACACTTTGTGTCGTTTGAAAAATGCACATCCGATGTTATTGGCTGCCATTTAAGCTCATGAAGCTATATGGAGCAGCGAGCACAGTAGATTCCTTTCGTCTCCAACAAAAGAGCATCACGATGCACTGGCAGTCTCTCTGAGACCACTCACAGATTCGAAATCGTTCGCTCCTCATCATCGCCAGTCGGTCCTCCGACAAACGACTCATTGACCAGCCCACCCGGAGCGTCTGAAGACATGCCTTGGCCATCAGGATTATCCAAGCTGTCCTTCGCTCTGTCGAGACGCTCGTCCAGTACACCAGCCTCCACTTCCTCCACAGTCTCCGGGAGCGGCCTGCCAGCCGTCTCTGGCAGCAGCAGCACCGCCAGACTGGCCAGCAGACAGCCGCTGCCAAACACCACCGACGGGGCGGCACGGTGGATGTCGTGGGTCAGGTCAACCACGTACGGCGCCGTCATCGAACCGAACCGCGAGCACACGTTGGCGATCCCAAAGCCCACAGTTCGCACAGAGGTGGGAATGTACTCTGGTGTGTACACAAATATCATGGCGTACACGCACGAGATGAACAGCTTGCCGCTAAGTCCCGCCACGAGCCACAGTTTCGGTTGGTCTTCAACCAGGATCAGCATCATCGACACTCCGGCGAAGAAGAAGGTGCCAGAGGCGACTGGACGGCGTCCGAAGCGGTCCAGAAATGGCGCCATGAAGTAGGCGGGTATCTCCACCAGGCCGGAGAGCCCGCCGGCCAGGTAGGCGTTCTCACTCAGCTGGGTGACGTCGAACGACAGGCCGAAGTAGGCGCCACACACGGCAATCCAGCAGACAATGGTGGCCAGCATCCATCGTCTCAGCACCCGCGAGCTCCAGAGTTTGACCGTGTCGGCGCACAGGCCGCCACCCGCGGCGGCCTCCTCGGCAGCCAGCTCGGAGCGACGCACCTCCTTCAGCATCCGGTGCAGCTGCGCATCGTCGGGAAGTTCGTGACCGTTGACGCGTGCCGTAGTCGCCAGAACTTTCAGCGCGTCATCGTCGCGTCCGCGCAGTATCAGCCAGCGCGGCGACTCGGGAACCAGCCACCAGCTCAAGACGAAGACGAGCAGGGGCAAGGAAAGCGCCAGCTGCAGCTGCCACCAGACTCGCAGCTTGTAAGCCACTCCGGCAAGCACCACTTGGCCCAGGGCGTTCGGCAGCATGTAAAGCTGGCCGGCCCAGGCTCGCCAACGCATCCCCGTGAGCTCCACGATCAGCACAAAGCTGGTGCTGACGACGCCCATCCAGCCAACGCCGGATGCGAATCTCGTCACTAGAAACATCTCGTACAGACTCACGACCGAACCCAGTAGCGCACCCAGCACGTACACCGTCATCATGGCCAGGTAGACGGTCCTTCTGCCGAGTCGATCGCCGAGCACACCGGCGCCCAGCGAGCCAAACAGACCACCGAACTGCATCACCGACTGGATGGTGGAGAGCAGCGGGCGCCGCTCGCACACCAGGTCCCACTGGGTGACCACCGAGGAGCCGGTGAAGTTGGTGTCGTACAGCCAGCGGCGGCACGGCTGGCCGTCCGGCGCGCGGCACCGCTCGGCGGCCGCCTCCGAGAGAGACGCGAAGGTGGCGTTTTTCGGCTGGCCGTCCGCGCAGAGGTAGTCGGGTGTCTCGCCCATGAAGATCATCGAGAAGCAGGTGAAAGGGACGGTGAGGAAGAAGAGAGACATCCAGCTGATGAGAAGCAGCTGCCACCAGCCTGTGCCACCGGCCAGTGTCAGCACATCCTCGAAGTGGACTTCCTTCTCCAGTTTGGCCATGCCGATGCTGCCAGAGATAGACATGTTTACCACTTTTGACGACTATTTATTCAAGAGAAGATGTTTGCCAGGACCAATGGACTATGCAGGATGTTGAGGCCCGTGGGCAGATGTGGCTGGATTTTCACTTGGAGCTTGAGAAGAAGCACTTTTTTGCGGGAGATCCGTGATATGCGTAAAAAGTTATGAAGAACAAACGCTGATGTTACCGATTAAGTTTTAAATGAGGAGGAGGTGGACAATGATGGTCTGACGCTACGTAATTTGCCGGGCGTTTAAAAGAAGTGATCCACATCTTGCAGCTCCGCAAAAAAAGCATGTACAAGTAGAAATGTCCAAATTTCGGTTAAATACAAACTTAAAATTAGACACTTCAAATTTTTAGTAAACAAAAGATTCAATTGCCTAAGGATCAAGACATAAGGCGGCTACATTTCGTTAAATTTTGATGTAGGCAACTGCGGTAATATCTCATCACAAAACATTGACCTCTGTTTTCAATTAAAAATCATGCATCTTTTGCCAGCAGCACCCCTGAGCAATAACTTACACGTCACAACTTTTCCTCAGAAGTATTGCAGTGGGAATTCACACAGAGGAATGTGCCCATGGCAGCTTTTGTGTAAAAAGGCAAAAGTGAATGCTTGTATTAAATAAGCTTTAAGCTATAACATATCTAAATATACAGAGTTTAAAGATACAACAAAACTTTGATTTGAAAGCAAAAGGTAACTAGCAAGCTCAGCAAAACTATTCATCAAAGCAAGCTCAGCCAAACTATCCATCAAAACTGCCAACTGCCAAGCATGACCCTGAAATGTTCAGATAATGCAGCGAGATAATAGCGACATTTCGTTTTTGATATAAGATGTGACGCATATCCATTAAGCCAGCCCCCCAAGTAATTAACGGAACAATGCAAAGGATATCAGCACCTCACATTTGATACGCAGCATATGCATGCAGCATGATTTCGCACATTTCTCGAGCAGACATGCCATGAAATAGGTACTGGCTATGTGCGGATTAGATATGACTTGATTGGATATGCTCACGGGATTGGAAACGACACTTAAATTTCTCGTCGACACTTCTGTCACTCCGAAACCCGTCACGATTTCCATTCATGATACCCGGGCTCCAAACATGTTCTTGCGTACCACACAAATCTACCCGACGTCTTGTAAACATCCTGGCGTGTCCACCACTACCACCCACCGACCTGTGCACCGCCGATCCACCAGCTGAGGACGGTGTGCGCCCACAGCCCGTCTCCGGTCTCGAACCGCCGTCGGCGGCGACCCGGTAGTGAGTGAGCCTGGCCAAACACCTGTCCCCCCACACCCGCCGAGAGGAGCGCCCCCTGACACCGCCGTCCCCGGTCACGCCTGGCGAATGAACTCGCTCACGGCCCCGGACTGTGGACTGCACTTGGCACCGGCTGAACTAGTGTCAGCTCCCGAAAATAGCCCGGACGTCCGAGCGGAAAACTAGGGAGCTGCGGCGTGGTAGCGACAACATTGGAATTTGGAGGCCCCTGATGTAAAAAGACGTTCCCCGTCGGGCCTGTGGACGCTTTGACTCCATTACGATGTGCATTTTGTACGCATCTTTTATATGTTTGGACAATCATATGCATCAAAAATTTTCACAGCACTACCCTAAAACATTGCTGATCACCTGTCAAGCAGCATGACCACCGAAATGCTCAAACTTCTTAGGTAAACAGTGTGGTGATAACTTCTGCTACAACCAAGAGCCACGAAAACATTATCATCACAAGCGTGTAGTAAAGTCCAAACGTTAGAAGGTCTCTTACCAGGGGTGCATCGTACCCCCATTTACCCTACGACCCGTTTCGTTCTTAATTGAGCTTAAGTACCGCTGCAGAAAAAGGTATTTTGAAGTTACAAGATGCAGCGCATGACACCCAATTATTAGGTTAACCGGTGAACTTGTAAAGTCAGTCCATCTACTTTTTTAGCAAGTAGCTTCGGCAAAAATGGTTGCAAAGCAGCGAATTTGGCACCATCCGCGAATTTGTCGCAATTAGGCAACTCAGACAACATACATTTTTGCAAAGAAATTTTGGAAAAAGGCCACTGAGTGTTGCCCTCAAGTCAAGGCAATGTCAGGCCAAAGGCCGTGTTGCAGATCATCTGATTTGGAGTCTCACTCAAGAACTCTTTCGTGATTTTCTTGAGTTGCTGAACGATTTTCTTGATTCATGAAAAGTCAGATGACCTCAAGAAGCCTCAGTGACGTCACATACGATCTTTACCAAGATTCCTATGTCAAAAACGGCATATATTGGCAGAAAAGAAAAATAAATCATGACTTCAAGTGTCTGAGATCTGATACGAATGAACGGTTACAGAATTCCCACACTGAACTACAGGGGTCAGGTCACGTGACCAGCCTAAGCTCAGGTGACCCTAAAAAATCCGAAAGTTGGGACGTCATAGGTCAGCGATCTGACACAACCTGTAAATGTGGTCAATCTCAACAGAAATAGCTTGGATGAAAGGTCAAGCACGACTGATTTCAGTTGACAGTAGATGGCAACAACCAACCCCACCATCGCGGAGAAATGTTCATATAAGATGACCCATTATTTTTCGGCTAGCATAACATCTGATGTAAGGAGCTACAGCTCCTATTCAGCCTGAAAGTGGATCCGCTTAACCCTCGCCCGTATAGGGGGGGGGGGGTTGAACCCCCCTCGGTTTTTCGCAAATAACTCGCGTAAAAAGCGGCCGATCGCGACGAAACTTTCAGTACCCTTGCGTTAATCAATTTTACACCTACCCTGAAATTTTCATGACCCTGACCCTAATGACCTTTAACCTGTGACCTACTTATCGAGACCATGTTTGGCCGGAATCGCGATTCGGCGTATGTCGGCTTGCATTAGCCGCGCGTTTGCAGTCTTTTCGTGGTTTTAAGCGTTCAAACATAGGATATGATGTTGCTCCCATGCATAAGGGTGGGTGTCAAGGTCACCGGAAGGTCAGGTCAGGTCATTGACCTTTGATGACCTCGGTTCACTTTTTCGAGTTTTACATGTTGCTAGGCCAGTTTTTGGAGCTGAATTCGAATTTAGCAGCCTACCCTTACTGGTTGACCTGACCTGACCTGACCCGACCTGGCCTAAATGCATGAAGACATCATCTGTGATCAAAACTAACATAATATTCGTGATCAGTACCCCGAAAAACCCCATAGCGGCCACGCTTTACGACTTTCTAACAGGTCCCGATTTTCCCGAATTTTGGGTCATTGACCTGACCTGGAAGGTCAACCGATGACCTAGGACCTTAAAATTGGGTATCATCGGCTTCCTCTCGTCACGGGCAACACGCTCGTTTTTTCCGCGAAGCTCTAGCTCGATCAGGGGCGAAACGGCAAGGGGGGGGTCCAACGGACCCCCCCCCCCTTATACGTTCGCGGCTGGAAAAACACCAATACGGGCGAGGGTTAAGAACAGTTGTAAAAGAACAACTGTAAATTGTGCCAAATGTGCTATTACTGTTTTCCATTGCAGTGTGCATATCCGGTAAACAAAAACATCACTTACCGTTCGTCATCATGGGGGAAACACTACCCACAAAGTATCGCAGCATTGCAACCAGTTGGTTTATCAGATAATTTCTATCATTTCTATCAGAGGCCCCAACTAACGGCGACTCATCCGAGGCCACCCCATCCCACTGTTCACCATTCTGCAACATGAAACTGAGCTACCACCCGTAACTGCACAGAAGGGCAGGAAATAGGCGCGCCGCAAACTGCAGTAAAAAACACACAACCACGGCGACAGAGCGCCCACCGCCGGGCTAACCAGTGCTGCCAGAGTTTGGTAGGGGTCGGATTCAGTCGGCACAGTCACAGCAGAGAGGGAGAGGCAGTGGATGCTCATTACCAGTGGGAGAGGGACGTGTGTGGAGCAGGACAGTGGAGTGGAGCTGTGTGATAAACGGAACAATCGGCGGTGGCACAGAGGGACGGCGTACAGAGATGTTTTGATAATGCGTTGGCAATGTGCATGTACTGTGGTGGAGAGTGCGACTGTGCTAAGGATTCAGCGCACTTTGGCCAGTGAGAACATTTACTGCGAAAGGTGACGTGTCAAGAGAAATAACAGCATCCCGTAGAGCGCGAGCTAACGGGCATGCCAGGCAATGAGAGCGGCGGACCGAGTGCCTCAGAGAAGGACATTCACTTCGAGGATGTGCTGTCACTGGCGGGTGGCACCGGCAGGTGGCAGCTACTGCTCATCGGCTGCATGTCCCTCTTCTGTTTGTCGGTCGGCTGTAACAGCTTTTCGATGATCTTCATGGGCGAGACACCCGACCACCTCTGCGCGGACGGCCAGCCGAAAAATGCCACCTTCGTGTCTCTCTCGGAGGCGGCCGCCGAGCGGTGCCGCGCGCCGGACGGCCAGCCGTGCCGCCGCTGGCTGTACGACACCAACTTCACCGGCTCCTCGGTGGTCACCCAGTGGGACCTGGTGTGCGAGCGGCGCCCGCTGCTCTCCACTGCCCAGTCGGTGCTCCAGTTCGGAGGTCTGTTCGGTTCGGTGGCTGCAGCAGCTCTTGGCGACCGGCTCGGCAGGAGGGCCGTCACCCTCGGCATGTTGACCACATACATCGCTGGCACGTTTCTGTCAGCGATTCCTGTTTCGTACGAGCTTTTTCTCGCTGCCCGCTTCGTCCTGGGTTTCGGCTGGATGGGCAACATCAGCAGCAGCTTCGTGCTCATCATGGAGCTGACTGGACTCCGATGGCGCGCCTGGGCCGGCCAAGTCGCCACCCTTCTCACGGCCGTAGGTCAAATGGTGCTGGCCGGAGTGGCGTACAAGATCAACGTCTGGTGGCAGCTTCAGCTCATCTTATCGTCACCAGTGCTATTGTTCATACTGAGTTTCTGGCTAGTGCCCGAGTCGCCTCGCTGGCTGATCCTGCGCGGACGCGATGATGACGCGCTGAAAGTTCTGGCGACTACGGCGCGCGTCAACGGCCGCGAGCTTCCCGACGAGGCGAAGCTTCACCGGATGCTGAAGGAAGTGCGTCGCTCCGAGCTGGCTGCCGAGGAGGCCGCCGCGGGTGGCGGCCTGTGCGCCGACACGGCCAAACTCTGGAGCTCGCGACGCCTCCGGCGCTGGATGTTCGCGACATGCGCCTGCTGGACGGCCGTCGGCGGAGGCTACTTCGGCCTCTCGTTCGATGTCACTCAGCTCAGCCAGAGCCCACACCTGGCATGCACTCTGTCGGGGCTGGTCGAGGTGCCGGCTTATTTCCTCGCACCTCTGCTCGACAGGTTCGGACGCCGGCCCGTCTCCTGTGTCGCCTTTCTTCTCTCCGGCGTCTCCATGCTTCTCGTGCTCACTGGCACCAATCCAACCCTCTGGCTCGTCACTGGACTAGTCGGCAAGTTTTTCGTCACCAGCATCTACGTCATGCTCTTCGTCTACACACCCGAGTACGTCCCCACCTCCGTCCGCACGGTGGGCTTCGGAATCGCCAACGTCTGTTCACGAATCGGCGCGATGACAGCGCCGTACGTGGTTGACCTGACCCACGACATCCACCGGGCCGCCCCGTCGGTGGTGTTTGGCAGCGGCTGTCTGCTGGCCAGTCTGGCAGTGCTGCTGCTGCCAGAGACGGCCGGCAGGCCGCTCCCCGAGACCGTGGCAGAGGTGGAGGCAGGGGTGCTGGATGAGCGTGTCGACAAGGAAGACAGAACGACAGACAAGACGGAGGAGGCTGATAGGCCAGGCGACCAGCGAGGAGCGGTGAACGAGTCCTACATAGATTGAACGTCCTTTTAGACGGGTGATTTGATTCTCGCAAAAGCCAGCAGCTAGTTAAGATAGAATGGCAGTGCCAGGCATAACGCGACATCTTGCACAGAACTGTTACCGAAAGTGGTGTCAATTATCAAGCCTTGGTTTATTAATGCCGACCGTAGCTTCTGAGGTGACCATGCAACGTTGCCGTGTTCGAACATACCGCAAGGAGGTTAAAGTCCGCAGCCTGCTGCATATTAAGGTAACGAACACTAATGCGCCGCGCCTCTTCGGACTTCGGGTCATTCCGGAACCCTGCCACCCTAGGGGACAGGGTTGATGAATAGAGCATAGACCTCTGTATACCGAGGTCTATGAATAGAGCTATGTATATACAACGCCGCGGAAAAGCGCCTTTGATAGCTCTTTCTGAATAACGTTCTCAGATTTGACCTAAGGTTAACGGTTTGGCCTCAAGAGGCTAAAAGTTAAAATTCAACTTTTTTGCGGAAAACATTTTGACCTTACGTGACCTGGGGTCGAAAAGCTCACACAGGCTTTGGGGATCATTTTCATGCATATGTTATGCAGGTTATATGAAAAGAACGCACGCTAGCGGCGTTTGAACTTGCAAGTACCTGACATTCATCTTACGACAAGGAAAATGTCACGATATCTGACAATTCCACATGGGGCTGGTTTTACCAAAAACATGAAAATCGTGTTTTTTCAGACACATCAAACAGCTCCCAGACTGGCCATATTACGAGGCATTCGATTACGTAAAGTTAAGTTTTGGGCCATTGGGTACCTATTATTGGCCACTCGTGAACCCCATTTGCATCACTGTGGGGTAAGGGATAGGTGCCGTCGGCGCCCCGCCGGTAATAGACCCGTTTACAGCCGTCACAGCTGCAGAAATGCAACCCCAACGGGTCAGAGGTCGCCAAAGTGGTGCAGGTTCAACAGGCAGCTGGCACCTATTGGCTATTGGCACCATGTGCACGAGTATTTAGGAAATGAGACATCATCCTGCCACCAACTTATTTCATTGAAAACAATTTATTATGTCCTCCTCGTGGCTTAGAACAAGGTGCTCGGCTTAAGGCCAGGTGGAAAATGGCGAGAGAGCCACGCTAGACCAAGCTGAACCCTGACGTTTTCATGGACCTGACATATCAATTAGGCACTGTTCCACACAAACGAGACGATACACTGGCTTTTGAAAGCATGCGATGCTATCTGCAGTTCACGGAGGACAAAATCTGTAACATGAACTGCCCACGGCCCGCTTTGCTCTCTATCTACAGTTTGAGGTGCCACTTACATAACCCACTTAGAGTAGGTAACTAGCGAATGATCAGACATTGACCAGCGTAATATTCCATGCAGGAAATGTCTTAATTGTCTACTACACACCAACAAAAACATTTTAATCTTAAAGGTAGTGTGCCAGCTTTCTTGGACCATATGGAGTTAATGACCCGGATAAGGAGAACCGGATTTTTAGAACTTATCCATACCTTCAAAACTTATGGAAACGTCTTAAATTCTTCAAATTTTGAGTACCCCAGTGCGAAATTCGCCCCGACGGGTTGTCGGTCGTACCCCAACCACATTTCACACCACTATGAACAATAAATGCACACACTAAAATCGCTATTACCGATAGGCTCATCCAATCAAGTTTCGATAAACCCGTTCATCATCATCTCCTGCGGTTTCGAACACGCCTGTTAGGTGGCTTCTGATGCTCGTCGAGGTCGGAATTTCCAAATACGCGTGGTGCGTCGGGCCGCGCGCTCTGACTTCGGCCAAGAAAAATGCGTCAGCTGATCATTGTCATTTCTGCCACTTGCGTGTGGTGTAATGGGGTCATAACTTAAGAGACGGCTGTTTCATATAAATTATTTTACATAAAATCATATTTCAAACCACAAATTAATGTTCGACAGCCAAATTTAAGAAACAATACCAATACAGGCTTACAGTTTAAGGCTCGACATTGTGTTGTCTACGATTAGACAGCTGATAACTCATTCCCGTACGTCGTATGGTCGTAACACTATAATGACCTTTGCTCATTGTCACAAGTGCGCCGCATTCGCGATTGTTGCCCGACGCCTGTTTGCAGGTGAGCCCACTACAGTTGTTATACATATCTAAAAACCGATAAACTTTTAGGCGAAAAAGGCACTATTCCAGGCCCATTTTTGATTTTTTTTGCGATATTAGGTAAAAACAGAAGCTTCTTATCCTAGGAAAAATAAAACGGGAAATCTTTCAAAGGTGGCACACTACCTTTAATTACATAAACCGCTCACTCCCTTCCCCAGCACACACCCACGGTCCATTGTGATGCCAGCGATTGTGACAGGGCGTTTGCCGGTGGGAGCACCGGCCGTGACCATGTGATTCACCAAACCGAACTGGGTACAGACATGACACAAACCCGCCCAGCGGCGTTGTCCGAGTGCAAGCATACAATGCTAGTTATCTAATAACTCTAGCTTACGCCGCGACGGCGGAACCGCTTTCATATCACGTCCGCAGAAATAAATGCTTTCGTATTTTCTTCTCAAAAGCCCAACAGGCGTAATGCATGACGATCAAATAAGCAAGTGTAATTTCAGCAGCAATATGACATCCTTGAAGAAGGCTGCTCAATACTGACCAACAATTTTCTTTTCAAAAACACATTATTGAGACGATCTTCATGTGTGATCTATGGAACAATGGAAATGCAATAATACGATTGATTCGATCAAGCAATAGATGCAAATGATACATTCAATAAACATAGGCAGCAAGCAGATCAAATATGAAATAAACTTGATTTTCATATTTGCTTGTCTTATGGTGCTCTGTAGCCGTATATGCAACTCTCAAAACATAATATATATCGCTTTCGACATGTCAACATTTATAATTCGAAGAAAAGGTTACTTATACCTATTCTAAAATTATATGCAAGGATGTTCTTCGTGAAGCACTCCGCAATACATCTTAACTTGCCAGAACCTTTGACCCGAAATTATGGCACGACCTTCTGGTTCAAGGGGCTGAAATGTGCCCAAAGACTTAAAAAAATTGAGGTTACCAAAAATTGAGCTTGTCTGAGATCATTTGACAAGCTGAGAGTCGAACGTGTTCCTGATGCACATACTTTATCCGGAAAAATATGATAGGGTAGAGGATATCCACATTGCACAGCTCACTCCATGAAGTGTTTCCTGATTAAGAAGCTCTGCGCGGACTCAACTGTCACAGCAGACTTGTATTTTGTGGCGGCCAAAGTTCAGTATCACCGCCGTCCGTTTACACGCTTGCGTCAAAATTGACAGCGGAGTTTACCAAATCACTATCAACATGGGGACGATGCATCCCAGTTGCTGGTAACTCAATCGGGAAGCATCCGCTTAATATGACGTATACAGACCTTACTTGTCAACATCTCAGAAAGGGTCATCAGGTATGGACACGTGGCCATGCTGCGTGATTCCCGAGAAGGGTAATCACGTGAATGCTCTCACGGTGACCTACTGACCGAAGGTTATATAGGTGACAGGGGTCGACTGCCCCTCCCTCCGTACAGACATACACAGTCATCAAAGCTAGCAAACACAAGCCAATGATATAGACCGGCGTATGTCTGTGTTGGGAATCGTCTGCAGTACAATCGATTTCATGAACACCGAGAACGCGACAACTCCTAAATGAGCGGTCGACGAAGTGCGTTAGGCCGAACAGTAGGCGTAGTGTCGACCACTGTCGGTAACAGGTTCTGCAAAATAACCACGGCGGTACCCAATACCTCAGCCCTTTTCAAATCCGACCAACGCTAGAGCACCGGCCACCGCCACCCAGTCGGAGCTCGGTGAAACTCTGCGATCAAGCTGGGCGGAGACTCATACCAAACCTAGCATCTCACACATCCTCACAGCTTACATTCATTACGTGTCATTTACTGCAGGCACAATGCACGGGAGCGAAATACATAAAGGATAAATAAACAAGCAAAATAAGCCCCTTCGTGCACATTTATGCTCATGCATTTGGGGTGGTCAGAAAACCTCAGCGGGTTCATGCCACGCCGACTGACCTCCTTTTTGGCCTCGACTTCCATGGTGTCCTGCTCGATTTTGATCATGAGCTTCTCCGTCTGAGCGGAGGTCTCGATTAGCTGCGGCTGCAGGCTGGTCAGCTCGTCCTGCATCACCGACACCTGTTGGCGGAAAGGTGAAGCTTGGGTTGATGATCCTCCAACCGCGGCGCTGCAGTCACACATCGCCGTGAGTGGCGAAATGATAGAGTGCATGAGTCGCGAGTCCATACAGTATACAGATGATTTCACTATTCGGAGCGGCTATCAATCCTTATTTGATCCGCCCACTATTTAGACTACTATCGTAGAGTGCATGAGTCGCGAGTCCATACAGTATACAGATGATTTCACTATTCGGAGCGGCTATCAATCCTTATTTGATCCGCCCACTATTTAGACTACTATCGCGTCGCCTGCGTAATTTTCTATCAATCACCATCACCAAATGGCCATAGCGACCAAATCACCATCACCAGCGGCCATCACAAAGCGAGTCTTCTACCATCGACAGACAACACCGACTGAAATAGCCATTTGCATTGCCACAACGACTGCAATTAGCTAAGAAATCACATAAGTTGAAATTTCTATATTCTATCTCATATTAACAGAAAAAAAAAACAAAAATAAATCAAACCCAGTCAACCAATTCAGTAAATGGAACCAAAGCAGAACATCAGTGCAATGTATCCACTCTCATCCTTGAAGTCTCTCGCAGTCTCTGCCAAAACTAGCATCCATCTCAACTAGACTTTAATCGTCTTCCAAAGTTGTTTTCCCCACATCATCCTAACATTCTCTCGGCTCGTCCTCGCACTACTGACTGACCTGCGAGGCGGCGAACTCGAGTTTCTCCAGTCCGGTGACGTAGCGCTGCCGCAGCGTCAGGATCTCGTCCCGCTTCTTCTGCAGCAGTGCCTTGAACGCCATTATCAGCTCCAGGTAGGATGTGGGCGTCACGTAGTTGTGCCGACCCAGCTCCGCCAGGTAACTGCGGGGGCGACAGAGAAAGACGTGTAGCGACTAACAATATACCGATGCAAAATTAACCGCACGTTTCAGTGGTGCCGCGAGCCGATTCAATATTACTATTGAAAGCTAGGCAGTCATCATGATTTAACTCAAGCAACACAAAAAGGTATAAACCTGGCGATAAATTTTTCACCCATAGACACCTCAATTCAATAATCCCACCAACTACCTGTCCTGGATTCCTCTCACAATTATATTCCACTGCTGACTGCTCCGTTCTAGCGTCCCCAATCCCCTCCTTTCCACCGTCTTATAGGCCCGGGCAGCGCTTGTCGAACAGCACTGCGGATCCGAAGGTTGGGACTTTAATTGTGAAAAACCGCCCGCCCGCCCGCCACCAAACGCAAACACCGCAAAACGCGCAAAACGCACGCCTAAAACGCCAACGCAAACTTCGCAAACAAACAATCGTCCGCCCGCCGAAAACCGCAGAAAACAAAACGCACAAAATGCCGCAAAAAAACGCGCGTCCGCCGCAAAACACAAACACCGCAAAAAACGCAAACACCGCCGCCGCAAAAAAACGCCCGCATCGCCCGCCGCCAACCGCGAAACGCCGCAAAAAAACGGCCGCACGCCGCGAACCGCAAAACGCCGCAAAAACGGCCGCCCGCCGCAAACCGCTAAACGCCGCAAAAAACGACCGCCCGCCGCTAACCGCAAATAACGGCCGGCCGCCGGCAACCGCAAAATGCCGTAAAAAACGGCCGCCCGCCGCAAACCACAAAACGCCGCAAAAAACGGTCGCCCGCCGCAAACCGCAAAACGCCGCAAAAAACGGCCGCCCGCCGCAAACCGCCGCTAAAACGGCCGCCCGCCGCCAAACGCAAACAGCAAAAACACCCGCATCGCCCGCCCGCCCGCCGCCAAACACAAAAACCGCACAAAACGCAAACACCGCCGCAAAAAAACCGCCCGCAACGCACGCACGCCCGCCGCCAACCGCAAAACGCCGCAAAAAAACAGCCGCCCGCCGCCAAACGCAAACACCGCCAAAAACGCAAAAACGGCCGCCCGCCGTCAAACGCAAACCCCGAAAAAAACGCAAACACCGCCGCAAAAAACGCCCGCCGTAAGAAAAACGCTAACACTGACGCATTAAGACAAATATGGCGCCCTGCGGCAAATGTGGTGCAATCATATCTGCCGTTTAAGCAGCCATCCCTTAATTACAGCGCATCCTAATCGTCCAATGTTCGACAAAGTTACGCACATTCTGCGCTTTGCGGCAGAAATGGCGCTTTGAGACAAACGTGGCGCACTGCAACAAACATGGCGCATTCGTTCATGTCGCTTAACAATTCATCCACCCACCAAATTTGAACCCAATCGGACCATATTTGAGAAAGTTATGGACGTTTGAATATTTCACGATAAAATATCTCCGCAAAGGAGGAGCCCAGCTGAACACGTGTGCCACGTGACCACTGGTGATGAAAGCAGGACCTGTCCCCTCCCCGACTGACCCAATTTAGTGTTCTTGGCTGGTTCTGTTTCTACGCTATACGGCCACCAGTTGGACAAAACACCATTATGTGGGAGGTACTCGGCTCAAACACGTGGCCACGTGGCACGTGCCAGACCTTTGACAGCTTAACGGCTCACGCCACGTCATGACCAATATAAGTGGCCATCGGCATGTAAAAGATGACCCCGGCCGGTGTCACCGTCTCTGAACAGTGGACGGCTAAACTTGAAAAACGGGAAAATTTAGGGAAATTTTACCTTTCGAATATATAATTTCCCCAGAATTTTAAATTTTTCATTTTGCAAAAAATCCGAGATAGCAGTTTTTTAGGCCTTTTCATTTTGTGCCTATACCCGTTTTCAGATCGACCCTATCATAAAAACTGACGGCCTGACGGCCATTTCCCCCATTCCTTGCATTTAACAACGTTGGTGTATTTAAGCACACAAATTGACCTCGTGCCACGGCACGTGCAATAGCACGTGCGCCACGTGACCACTAGTGGGACAAGCTGGACTCATCTGCTCACCGGCTGCACTTATTTGGTGTCGCTAGGTGGAGTGGTTTCCACGCCATAGGACCCCCAGTTGGCCAATGTCGGATTTTCCCGGAGGTTACCCCATCAAACACGTTTGCACGTGGCACGTGCTTTTCAATCGCCCCATATCTGACCCATACCATGTGGTAGCCGACACCCCGGGGCACAACATATTGGGATATTTTCAAAATCTAACGTGGAAATTTTTTGCAAAATCGATTTGAAAATAATTTTTCGAATTCACCATAGGCTCAACATGGGGTAACTGTCTGTGCCAATTACCCGAAAGTTCTCTAATTATATTTTAAGCGGTTACCACCGACGGGAGGGGTGCCAGCCCGAGAGCCGACCCTAAAAATGTGGACAAATATTACTGAACAGATTTTCCGTAAATCGCATTTTTAATTTTTCCCCATGTTAACCCTATGGGAAAATGCACGTGCCGCTTACCCCAAAACGTGTCAATTATATTTTTTGTAACTTTGCCAGCCGGTAGCTCCCCCACACGGGACCAAACGGTGAAAATGGCAAGAAAATCTAACTATCCGTTTTCGAGGGATTCAAAATGTCCTAAATCGCGGCAGAAACGCTAAACACCCCCCTAGAGAGGTAGCTCAGGTTGGGATTTTCAATAGAAAATCACAATTCTAAAGAATAGTGATTGTCTCATTGAAAAGTCCCAACCTTCGGATAGGCCCGGGCAGCGCTTGTCGAACAGCACTGCGGATCCGAAGGTTGGGACTTTAATTGTGAAAAACCGCCCGCCCGCCCGCCGCCAAACGCAAACACCGCAAAACGCGCAAAACGCACGCCTAAAACGCCAACGCAAACTTCGCAAAAAACAATCGCCCGCCCGCCGAAAACCGCAGAAAAACGCACAAAATGCCGCAAAAAAACGCGCGTCCGCCGCAAAACACAAACACCGCAAAAAACGCAAACACCGCCACCGCAAAAAACGCCCGCATCGCCCGCCGCCAACCGCGTAACGCCGCAAAAAACGGCCGCACGCCGCGAACCGCAAAACGCCGCAAAAACGGCCGCCCGCCGCAAACCGCTAAACGACGCAAAAAACGACCGCCCGCCGCTAACCGCAAATAAAGGCCGGCCGCCGGCAACCGCAAAACGCCGTAAAAAAACGGCCGCCCGCCGCAAACCACAAAACGCCGCAAAAAACGGCCGCCCGCCGCAAACCGCAAAAAGCCGCAAAAAACGGCCGCAAGCCGCCGCTAAAACGTCCGCCCGCCGCCAAACGCAAACAGCAAAAACACCCGCATCGTCCGCCCGCCCGCCGCCAAACACAAAACCGTAAAAAACGCAAAAACGGCCGCCCGCCGTCAAACGCAAACCCCGAAAAAACGCAAACACCGCCGCAAAAAACGCCCGCCGTAAGAAAAACGCTAACACTGACGCATTAAGACAAATATGGCGCCCTGCGGCAAGTGTGGTGCATTCATATCTGCCGTTTAAGCAGCCATTCCTTAATTACAGCGCATCCTAATCGTCCAATGTTCGACAAAGTTACGCACATTCTGCGCTTTGCGGCAAAAATGGCGCTTTGAGACAAACGTGGCGCACTGCAACAAACATGGCGCATTCGTTCATGTCGCTTAACAATTCATCCACCCACCAAATTCTAGCCCAATCGGACTTAAACTGAAAAAGTTATGTACATTTGAATATTTCACTATAAAATATCTCCGCAACGGAGGTGCCCAGATTTGCACGTGTGCCACGTGACCACCGGTGGTGCAAGCAAGACTTGTCCCCTCACTGATTGCACCATTTCAGTGTTCCTGGCTTGTGCTGTTTTGGTGTTATATCGGCAAACACACGATAATCTGGGAGGCACGCGACTCAAACACGTGGCCACGTGGCACGTGCCGGACCTTTGATAGCTTCACCGTTCACGCCACGTGATGACCCATCGACGTGGCCATCAGCATGTAAAAGATGATCCCGGCCGGTGTCACCGTCTCTGAATAGTGGACGGCTAAACTTGAAAAACGGGAAAATCTAGGGAAATTTCACCTTTCGAATATATAATTTCCCAAGAATTTTAAATTCTTCATTTTACAAAAAATCCAAGATAGCAGTTTTTTAGCCCCTATCATTCTGTGTCTATACCCGTTTTCAGATTGACCCTATCATAAAAACTGACGGCCTGACGGCTATTTCCCCCATTCCTTGCATTTCACAATGTTGGTGTATTTAAGAACAAAAATTGACCCCGTGCCACGGCACGTGCAATAGCACGTGCGCCACATGACCACCAGTGCTACAAGCTGGACTCATCTGCTCACCGGCTGCCTTGATTTGGTGTCGCTAGATAAAGTCATTTCCGCGCCATAGGACCCCCAGTTGGCCAATGTCGGATTTTCCCGGAGGTTACCCCATCAAACACGTTTGCACGTGGCACGTGCTTTTCAATCGCCCCATATCTGACCCATACCACGTGGTAGCCGACACCCCGGGGCACAACATATTGGAACATTTTCAAAATCTAACGTGGAAATTTTTGGCAAAATCGAGTTGAAAATAATTTTTCGAATTCGCCATAGGCTCAACATGGGGTAACTGTCCGTCACGATTACCCGAAATTGTATCCTATGATTTTTAAATAATTAACCCCAAATGTTGAGGTGCCAGCCCTAGATCCGACCCTAAAAATATCAGCAAATATAATTGACGAAATTTTTCGCAAATCGAATTTTAAATTTTTCCCCATGTTAACCCTATGGGAAAATGCACGTGCCGATTACCCCAAAACGGGCCCATTATAGGCCCGGGCAGCGCTTGTCGAACAGCACTGCGGATCCGAAGGTTGGGACTTTAATTGTGAAAAACCGCCCGCCCGCCGCAAAACGCAAAACCGCAAAAAAACACGCCCAAAACGCCAACGCAAACTTCTAAAAAAAAAACAATCGCCCGCCCGCCGAAAACCGCAGAAAAAAAC